TAACTCAGTTCTTGAAAACGTGCAGTTGGGTAAACATGCCTCCATGGGTGGTAGCTCAGTGAGTGGTATGGGCATGGGTAGTATGAATGTAGCGGGGGTGCTTGCCTTGATTAGTCTTATCAAAAATCGTTTAGTGATCCACTACTAGCTCTAGCAAGCAAACAACTGGGTGCATGCAGGAGTAGGTGCAGACTCTTCTATCTAGATTAGGCGAGAAGGCAGAAATCATCATGACTGTATATCTGAAGTAAAATAGAATCAAATCAATCGATTAAATAATCACTGATCACGGTAATATCTATTGTACACGTCCAGCACTTGGAATGGACCAGTTGTATAGGCCTACGTTGTACTGTATTCAGGGGATTTGGTTCAGGGTTGGCTGGTATTACTATCCCAAGTATCCATGTCTCCTTTGTGAATGTGAAGAGGTGCAAGGGCTAACTACCCCTGCAGGCCACAATCACCATGGCAGGTCATAACTTTACACTCGGGTTCAGCACAATACCTACTCAGTCTGGTTTGAGAAGTCTGCTGTTGGGGCAATGCTTCGTGCGGGCTTTTCCTCTTCCTGATTTCCTCTCTGATTTGGAGCTTATTTTGAGACGAACATGCTGCTGGAATCCTAATGCCTAGCGGGTGGGATTTGGCATTGGGAATAGGTCTGCAATGGTCCTTGTGCTAGTTACAGGTTCAGAGTCCTCCATGGCGGTCAGTCTGAATCTGTGGAGAACATGGCCAGCCAGCTAGCTATTGAATTAGTGTTAGCAAGTGGTGCAATGCTAATCAGGGCTCTAAACTATGTTAGCTGTGTTGTTGTGCTGGTAATGCTGCTGAGTGGCTAGACTGCCACACTTGCTTTATGCTAATACTAATGAAGTGTACACAAACACAGGTACATGTACATGACTGTACTAGTAGTAATCTGTGTGCGTGTGTGTGTATGTTACTATGTACTCCAGTTCCCATCTTGCAGAATATAGCCTGCTGCTGTATATGTTTGCTGCAGTTGTTCCATGCTAAACAGCCTAACTCAGTAACAGGCTTACTTGTAGTAGTTGGCTGGCACATCTCTGTGGTGATGAACTTAGTTCCTTGTTATGTCTCTTGTTCAGTGCCTTGTTGGGACACTGCACATCTGGTGTGACGTGCCATTCCGTGAATACTGCAACGTCTACTCCGAAATGAACTGTCAGATTCCGTTCCCGATCGGGTTGCGCACTGCCAGCAGACTTATGGGGGACGACAACAAACTGAACATTGACATGCATCCATGAAATTGTGTTGTCTGGATGCACTCACGGCACACTGGCACCAAATTTGTTGCCGTCAGCTAGCACGTCAGTTCATTGTTTACTCCACAATGGGAGCCTTTTCTGGATATGCGTGTACACAAGACTCTTGTGACAGTACCACTGGCAGCATGGACCTTGGGGAAAGAATTGGAAGTAGTCGTCCTGACATGACATGCTTCAATTTCTTCTCATTTGCTGTCGTGATACTTGATACAGATTGATACAGTGACACAATCACCTGCTGTGTGTTCAGACTTTCTGCCATAAGCCTTGCCAATCCCAAGGGGGAGCTCGCATTGTTGAACCTTTGTGATGGCGGCGTTTGTCGTTTGGCCTGAAACGAGATGCGTTTGAGCACTACCGTCCGCTCCTGTGGACATCACTTTGCACATTCTATCGTTCAATGGTTGTGGTCAGTTCGTCACGTTGGTCGTTTCTTCTTGGCTTCACAGGTGTGAACATCCTCCTCCTTCTGTGATACAAAGTAAACGTGTCACTCATCACTGCTCCATTCATACTGGTGCATGTACATCATGTACATCATTGCTCTGGCACTGGCGTGCTTGATTGTTTTTGAAAAGGAAACAGTGTGTCTGGAAGGAACCTTGTTTGGCATGCAGCCCAGATACTGCTGGCGTGTACTTCCGCTCTCAGCCTCTCCCTGCCTCCATCCGCGTGACCGTTGGTTCCCGGTGCCCTGCCTTACCGCTCTGGTAGACCCGTGTCCCTGCGAGACGCGTGCACTCGTGCGTGGACGATTGCCTCAAAATTACTTCCTCCGAGTGGGACACAATTGGCGTGATCAGAGTTGCCAAACGGTGTGGCCGAATTCACCTGGCATTGTGTGCTGTACAAACCCTCTTATTGGACCTGTGATTAGTAACCTACTGAGTCCCTGGGGCCGTACCACAGCATTGACTTCAATTATTTGAGTTCAGGATGGACTCTAACAATGTTTTCATGTACTAACACCATAGACAATGCCCATCTCCTGCCTGAATGCCCAAGAGTAAGACTAGAAATAATTGCATCTGGCTCAATGGGTGAAAAATAATTCACGAATTGCTGTATTGTGGGAGAGTGTGCGGGACATTGTGGGAGATTCCTCAGATTCCAATCATCTGGATTGATGTTTGATGGGTCAGCATGTGCATGTATGCCGGGCAGGTGTGTGTGGCATTGTGCCTCAGCTCCTGATCATCTCATGCAGTTATGCCTATGGTCATGATCGTGTAACTGTTGGTTGCAGAACACCTGTCATAGCAGCACTCTGATTTGGGCACTGATGGGAAGCTGGCTGTTGGTCAGTGCACAGGTTCTGATTGGGTTAGATTCAATTGTGTTTGACTTCAGAAGTGTGCAGATTTCCTGCACACTAAAAGAAAATGTCTGGAAGGGATAATTGGTGTTGGTCTGGATGGTAGTGGGTACATGTCCATTAGCACCAGGCACAGCACAGGACCACATATCTGTATACATCGACAAAAGGAACAGCACTGCATGCTGGGACTGTACTGTGGGACTTCTTTGTATCCATCAGCTCAACACAGCCTACCGTGTGACTATGGCCACGCATGCACTGTGCTGGGGTTGTTGGTGTTGACCATTACCTTATTGGCATCTGCTGGTCAGTGCAGTTGGTCGGCTTCTTTGCACGATCAGTGCTTAGGAGCCTGAGCCAAAGTGAGCTCAGTCAACTCAAGGTCTTTGTATGGAAGCGTCAGTATGCATAGAAGATCTGGGAATGTAGAGTTGTAATGGTAGCGGAACCATTATCCTCTGCATGGAACCCCGCTCATGTACCTGAGAAGTCATCCGGAGTCACTGGTCTCACCTGGCTGTTCCTTTGGCGTATTCATGTGGTGACTGCTCTCCATAAGGCATGCTCTAGTGCAGCAAACTCCTGCTGTGAATCGGAAGAGCTCTCATGTTCCTCAACTTAGCCAACTAACTTGGCCGAGTGCATCGAACTCAGCCTTGTCACAATTCCTTACAAAGGGATTCTAGGCCTGGACTTCCTTGATGGGATTCCGTCTTGGATGAAATTTCATGATCTGATGTCATCTTCCAGGAGCAAGCATTCCTTTGGGGAACTAACTGAATTTATATTGATAAAGACTGTGAACTTACTCATGCAGCAACATGGCCGCTTTGGAGACCGACTTGTCACTTAGTAGGAAAGCAATCCACTGGACCGTTTGTTCTCTTGTGATGCTGAGCAGAGAGAAAGGTTTTCAGAATCTGGTAGCCTGACTTGCCACCCAAGCCATGGCAGGGGAGATGCTAAGATTCTACTTCGAAGTACCAGACCGTGTCGAAGTAAACATGTCTGAAGTAGGAAAAACTGCCACTGACTCAGTTCTGTGACTCCAAAAGTCCCAGCAGATCAGCAATGGGTTGGAAAACCACTCGGTCTGTGCAAGTCTCTTCAGTCTTCTTCAAATGGAGTACATTGAGGAGTCCGGCAATTGCAATTGACCTGCTCACTTCTTCTGCCAGAGTTATTGTTGTCTCAAGTGCCATCATTAGCTGAAGTGGAATTCCTGAGAGAGTGCACATGAAAATCATGTGAACGTGCCACCACCATGTACCACCATCCCGGCCTTGATTGAACCATTTTATACCAGGGATGACAGCATGGAGTTAAGAGGTTGTCAGGCTTAGGGGATCACTGCGGCTCAGCAGAAAACCCCGAGCTCATCTCCGAGTGTGCATGTAGCTCTAGGTAACAGTCCATGGCCAGCCCATAGAGATATAGGCAGGAATGCAGCACAGTGAGAGTTGTCAGCCAAAGCCGTACTGGTAGCTAACTGAGTTAGTCACAGTGCATTCTGTCGGTGTGTATGACAACAGGCTTGGTTAACTGAGCTGGTGGCGAGGCACACTCAACCCGTGCTGGTTGCTGCTGCTGCTGCTGCTGCTGCTGCTGCTGCTGCTGGTTGCTGCCCGGTATTGGTGTGACGCTACTTTTAGATGCCAGCGCTATGAATGGTGATGGCAGCCCCGTGGCGCCTGACACTCCAGTCCTGTTCCCTGGGAGGCACTGTTATATAGCCCGCAGACCTCCGCCGTGCAAATCATTCCCTAAGCAGAGCCCACGGCTGACCTTCCGGCGCAAAACACTATCGGTTTCTCTGTGTTTTCGGAGCTGCAATTGGCTCGGTCCTGCGCTGCTGGCATTTCACACATAAGCATTCCGGAGAGTTGGGTATTTCAGCATAAACACATAGGCCGCTGTGTCAGTTCAGGGAAGATTCCGTTGCTGGTCGTTGGGGACATCCTGCTGGAATAGGTGACAAAATGTACTTTGGACGGTGGTCCCTCCTCCTGTTGTCGTTGGTAGGTTCCTTCTAGTTCTTTGAGATGATATTTAGGTAGTGACGTATACACAGTGCATGCTGCAGTTAAAACTCAAACTAGTGTACCCGTACAATATATGTACAGCATGCACCATGTAAAGATGGAAACGTACCCAGTGCTGTATCATTACATGTCTCTTGGTCTGCAACGCACAACGTGGTCTTCCGGTCGCCGACAGTAGAATACGGCTGCAGGACATTGCTGCAAGCTATGTCTGCACAGTGTGTGTGTGTGCGGAGCAGTAACATTCCTAGTTGAGAGTTGACCGGTGCCACCCTGTCCTTGATATATTACAACTCTTGTGCCTAACATGATATGTGTGTGTGTGTGTGACTATTTTTGCAGCTTGGTGTACTCGCCACAAGCCATGGGCAGGGTAAGGACATTGTCATCGCTTATAACAGCAACAGCAGTGTTTGTGGCTGCTGGTGCCCGGCTTTGTTTGTGTCCACTGTCCTGTTTCGGTGCTCGCCACGGGGTGCACTTTGATCTAGTGGATGATAAGCTGCCTCACGCACACTGGCTGTGTCCTTCCTAGCTAGCTACCTCTGCCGTGTGTGTTGGAGTGAGCATGGACAAAATATCCACGTAATAAATTCCGATACGAGAAGTAGAAGTTGGTCACCAGCGTCTGACACCCCCAGTGGCAGGTCTCTGTGATTGTGTCCTGCCAGTAGCTGCCCGGCATACACTATTGATCTCTCCGGTGTGGATAGCACTTAGCATAACAACAGGCATATCTTATTGCATTCACTGCGCATTCGATTGCGATGGAATACTCTGAGCGAGTTTCCAGTTTCCCTGCAACGCGCGTACACTATTGGGATAAAGGGGAACAGATCGCCACCGGTCCTGACCTGCCAATGTCACCACTTGTCTGGTTAAGCCACTCCCCAGCAATGCGGCATCCTAGCTAATGAGTCAATTTCTTGTCAGGTATACATACGTCCACAGCGTACACTGTGTTCCAATGATCTGATCCCAGCTCGACATTGATACACTCTGTGAAGTGAGAAGTTGAGAACCCTGATTGAAGTGATGTAATTCGTTAGAAAAGTGCTCCTGGGGCCCTCTGTAACGTCACAGGCATTGTTATACGTGACAAGTAGAACTCCTATAATTACTTGAGGGTTCGGCCAGCCAGGGAGTCTGAATTAATTCATTATTATCAGGCAGGGCATTGTTCCAGCAGTGCCGACAAAAGACCAGGGCGAGTCCATCCTGAAATCTTATCAGGCGTCTACAGTGATGCGTGTTGATAATTAGCAGGTTCCTTAGCATGCTGGGATAAGGGGTTGCCACATTAGATGCTTCCATCACTTAACCCATACCGTAGTGTCTTGTAATAAAGCCTGTCCCATTATAGAAGCCTGTTTTGAATGCGAGCCTGGTTTTCAAGATGCAACGTCGGCAGATAAACCTGGCTGTCGTGTTGACAAGCATCTAGTAGAAAAATACCTGGTTGAAATAGAAACCTGATGTGAATAGAAACCTAACCCTGAAATTGGCTTCTACAGGAACATGCCTGGCTTTAACTACATGACGTTTCGGTACTATAGCTAAAGCTGTCTTCTCCCCCCCCCCCCCCCCACCGCAGTGGCTATCGTAGTTATTCAGTGCAGGAATAGAATGGAAATGGGTGCACATACTAAACTGGTAGACAACTCTCTGAGTGCGAAGGCGCCCTGGATGCAAATGATGTAAACACAGAGGGTCAGGACCTAGGGCTAGGGGTATGGAGACTCCACCAGTCACCTTGCACCATAGTGAGACACATAGACGTAATGAGTGTGCCAGCACTCCGAATCCATGTCGCAACTCTTCAGATAGGAACCAGTCGCTCTTCAGTGGACGATAACCCCGTGTCAGAGAATACTCTGCCCGGGGAGCAGCAGCACTGGTGGTCCTGGCTCCACTACCCTCTTAGAGGTGACGTGTACTTTCCTCGTTTTAGCACAGCTAGATCTAGATACAAGTATGAACTGCAGGATAGTAAAATTTAATGAAGCCACTATGCCCGGCCTCTGGCTTGTTCATTACATTGTTATGCAAACCAGGGGATGGATTGGCTTCTTTCAGGCACTGCATAGGAACGTGTGTATTTGGGGAGACGGAGCGCTTCCTGAGTTTGCCCAGTGACAACGCAGTGTTACAAAAAGTAAAGCTGGAGCTTGTCACATTTCTTGAAGCACAGGGCTATTAGCAATATGCGTGGGTCTGATCCCAGTGGCACCCAGTTTGAGGATTTCGGTATCGTGTTATTAATGCTGACACTATCTGTGCACTATTCCTTCGGCAGGCATCGTGGTGTCGCCCCTGATCGCCATGCGCAATGTATCCGAATACATCAGCCTCAAGTGCACGGTCAGCGACCTGCCGGACGTCCAGGAGATCTACTGGACCAAGCGCAGCGGCAGCCTGGACCCGGGCAGGAGCTTCACCTACTCTCACAAGCCGCTGCAGGTCAAGCACCTGCTGCTCTACAAGATCAAGACGGTGGACAGTGGCGAGTACGTGTGCAATGTGCGCACCGGCAACCAGAACAGCGGGTCGGTAGCGACGGCAACGAGTCTGCTGCGCGTCATGGCACGTAAGGAGATGCAGTTATTATTATTATTTCTTATTTTGAAACTCGGATGTTGAGCCAATAATAAAAAATGTAGAAAGAAAAAGGACATACGAATACGAGTTTAAAAGAGTAACTGTCCACTAGTTGAACAAACGGCGAGGAGACAACAATTTGATAACCGCAATCAGTAATACAAGCTGGATCGACATTTTGTGTACACTTTATCGTTTTATTGCACATTGTCTCCACAGTTTTACATTACATGAATAAAGGGTACACAAAATGTCGATCCAGCTTGTATTACTGATTGCGGTTGTCCACTAGTTGTTGCACTTTCTGACTGTATATAGTATCTAGTCACTGTGGTGGACAGTTACTCTAACTCGTATCCATATGTCCTATTTCTTATTGTGTTAGGGATTTCCCAACAGGTAATGCTGCCTTACTGGGAACCCTAAAAGCAGTTGATTCCGATAACCACTCCGCAAATACTTTATACAGATTGTGCAAACTAGGCACTTGCCAAGAGCAGGCTTTACTAAAATTTGTTCAACAGAAGTAATTTTTGTGCTACAGAGGAATTGTGATTGTAGGATTAACAGGACGAAAGCCAATGTCCCAATGAACATACCTGTCGTGGGATGAGAGAAGGAAGATTTGGAATGACAAGTGGGGAAAGACTTGTATCCTTACATTTTGAGTGAATTCTATATACAGTGAAACCTGTCTAAGACGACCGCTCATGGGACCTTCAAAATGTGGTCTCTGTAACCAGGTGGTCTTCTTATCCAGGGTCATTTGACTGGAATTAGCATCCCTTGGTGCTAGTTTCAGTGGTCTTCTAGGACAGGTGGTCGCCTTATCCGAGTGGTCGCCTTGACAGGTTTAACCGTACTCAATTGTATGCGCGCGTGTACATGTATAGAAAGTAAAAAGGACCAAGGAACTACAGGTTACGCTATAATGTCCACTACCACCACCAGTCACTAAACAGTTCCTTGGTCCTTTTTCTTTTCTATAAATTTATCCTTGGCTCTCCGTCCGAATCCATGCGTGTACATGTACCTGCTGTTCTTACGTCCCGCTGGTGGCCTGCAGCCAAGCCAAAGGCCGTGTCACCGTGCCTGTCGCGCCCCTGCCAGAACGGCGGCCACTGCATGGACATCCAGGCGCCGCAGGTCTCCGACTATGTGTGCCTGTGCCAGCTGGGCTACGGCGGGCGGCACTGCCAGGTGATGCCCACCACCGCACCGCCGCCCACCACCGCCGCGCCGACCACTGCCGACCCGTGTGCAGCGTCGCCGTGCAACAACGGCGGAGAGTGCGGCGTGGCGTTCGACGGCTCCGTTACCTGCAGTTGCACTGGCAACTTTGTCGGCAGCACGTGCGATGTGTGTAAGTATAAGCATTTGCATATATGGCAGGTGTGCATGTGTGGTGTATTATGGAACCTTCTTGTACATTAGGCTGTAAACACCCTGCTATCACCATGCAGAGTGGTCATTGGCTACCCCAGCCATGTATTGCTTGGAATAAAAATAGTAAAAAAGGTATTTGTGTATCTTGCAGGACTATACATGTGTTGTATAGGACCTCTGTGTAAGTACTACTAGTATACGTGTTTGTGTGTATAGCAGTAGCTGTTATACATGTGTTGTATGGAACCTCTGTGCAAGTATGCAGTTTGTTTAAATAGCAGGTATACAATCATGTGTTGTATGCGTGGAATCTCTTCGTAATAGGTGGTGTATATTGTGCGTGGTTATAGGATTTGATCATCATCAGAAGATGGCCCAAAGTGTGCACTGACTATGATGAAATTTCAGGATAGCATCATACACTGCTCAGATGCAGTACAGCTGTGTACGGCACGCTACCTTGATTTGCTTTCTCTCGCGCCTTGCATCCAGCCATTGTAGAATTGTGGTATTGCCCAGTGTAAACCACTTTGATTCATGCTGGTGTTGATTCTGACTCGCATCTTCTCGCATGCTTCTGCCGGCAGATGACAACTGCGCCAACAACCCCTGCCAGAACGGTGGTCTTTGCCACAACCTGTCCAACCGCTCGCAGATCTGCGGCGTGAGGCAGTTCGAGTGCACATGCCCCGTTGGCTTCACCGGGCATGCGTGCGAGCAGAGTAAGTGATGATTCGTGATGAGTTGTGATGTCATGATGAGTCGTGATTGAAGTGCTGCAAGTCCGCAGGTGCTGCATGTATACATGGATTGGTGCTGTGAACTATACGCGGTGTATGAGTCGGACCCTGCAGCGCTCCATGGTTTAGATTGAATTGCGGCGCTGTTTTCACTCTAGCTGTTCTCTTGCTTCAATTCTCTCGTGCTCTCCAGGGGACTTCTGCGGTTCGTCCCCGTGCTACAACGGCGCAACTTGTGTCAATGTTGACGACGTGTCTTACGACTGTGTGTGCATGGATGGCTACGTTGGAGAGAGATGTCAGACAAGTAAGCAATGGGATTACATCATTACACACAGTGATAAGCAATGGGATTACATCATTACATGTACACACAGTGATAAGCAAGGGGATTACATCATTACACACAGTGATAAGCAAGGGGATTACATCATTACACACAATGATAAGCAAGGGGATTACATCATTACACACAGTGATAATGGTATTTCCCAATGCTGGCATTGGTTTATATCATGCAGTATCAGGTGCAGTACGTGTAGTACTTTATAGCTTGTCAAGGTGATCGCTTTGATAAAGGGAGCCACCTGCCCTAGAGGACCACTACCACTAGGGCCAAAGAGCCCTAGCGATCACATGTGTGCGTGTGTGTGTATGTGTGCGTGTGTGTGTGCGTGTGTGCATGTGCTAGCATGTGCGTTCATGCTGAACTGGAGGTACAAACTGTGGAAGTAAGCCTCAGTATCAGTGTTTGGGTGTGCGTGCTTTCCCCCACACACGTGTATGGTGAACAAGAGATACTAACACACATTTGGAGATACTAACACACATTTTCACACATTTGGAGTAAACGTCGTAAAAAGGAAATTTAACTCGGATACTGAGCCAGTATGAATCGCACTTTCTGACTGCTTATTATCTTGTTTCAGCCGTGGATAGTTGCTTCGCAACTCGTTCCCACGTGTTTTCTTCCATTTAAAAAAGGAATTTGTGTCTATTTCTTGTCATGTTTTCTTGTGTGTGCACGTGTACAGTGCCGTTCGATGGCTGTGGTAAATACGGCCAGCGAATGGAGTTGCGCGAGCTGAAGGATTTCTTCTACACGGAGACGACGCGCAGCTCCCCGCCGTCCGCCGACATCGTGTTTGTGATCGACGAGTCGCGCTCCATGATCACCGAGCACCAGTGGCTGCACGAGGTGAGCACGGCGCTGGACACGTCGCTGCAGGGGCACAAGATCGGCGTCAAGGTGCCCAACCAGTTCGGCCTGGTCGGCTTTGCGCGCGACGACCCGATGGACGTCACCGGCCGCATCATTCACATGGACACCGGCTGCAAGTTTGGACAGGCCAGTCATTTCAAGCAGGCCACCTCCAACCTGGCCATCAACGGCCGACTTGAGGATATGTACTTGGGTATCATCCTGGCGCTGGATCAGTATGATTTCCGGCCCGGCATGGCATGTCAGATTATCGGCGTCACCGACGAGGGACGCAACCCACTGAACCCGTCGGCGAACCACCGTGATTCCGGCAACGTGCCCTACGAGTTTGAGTACATGCTGCGGCGCTTGACGGAGAAAGGCTGCGTGCTCAACGTCGTCGTCAACCAGCAGATGGACGTGGGCGGAAAGCGCGGTCTGGGCGTGGGTAGCAACGGTGTGGGTTATGTGGACGTGGCCGGTGGTGCATTTGACGTCATTCCGGACAAGGGCCGTCCCATTCCGGACACGGGCCACGGCTCCACTCACGAGTCCTACACGAAGCTGGCTCTTGCCACGCACGGCGGCGCCTGGGATTTGAACAAGCTGCGCCTCGGCGGTGACACTGGCATGGCGTTCACCAAGGCATTCGTACACCTCAAGCAGCGCGAGATTAGCAACCAGCTGTGCGAGCGCTGCACGTGCGACGCGGCGCCCGAAGCGTTCTGCAGACCCGGCTGCCTGGGTAAGATGATCAATGCTCAACACACACATGTACACGCGCACACACACACACACACGCACACACACACTCACACACTGCAATTCCACTCTTTCTGCGTACGGAATAATCCGAATTGATAAGCACTGCATGATGGAGAAACCTAGACCTCAGCCATGATGAAGAAACTGATCAGCCAGTAGATGTGTTCTGTATTGTGATACGCCAACATCTCTGCACACACAGCCGTTGAAATCGATGCCCTTTTCGTCTTGTCTTTGTAGGAGAGCCTCCAGTGAGTGTCAGCGTCCAGTCTCTGTACTCACATCTCAGCGAGGCCGCGGTCAATGAAGGTGGCTCGGCGCTGTTTGAATGCCAGTCCGGAGGCGACCCTGCCCCGACCTGCAGCTGGTCACGGGCTGACGGTACCGCCCTGCCCCCATCGGCACGCTACCTCGGCGAGGACAATTGCACTCTGATGGTTCCCGACGTGTCGTCGATCACCTGCGTACAATGTTTGGCGAGTAACATCGAAGGTGCCACGGAGTCCACCGTGCAGTGCCTGGATTACGCCGGTAAGTTAGGCAACGTCAGCTTCTCCTACATTCGACAGTGCGTGCTTCTTGTAAGCAGAGAGTAGTACTCTCTTGGAGGGGCTGACTGGTCTGTACTGTGCTACAGTTTCAGCAGCGGCATTGCTTTGCATTGTCTCTGGCTAATATATACATGTGACATGAGAGTTGACGGGGTAAGGTGGGGAGTACATGTACTCAAAAGCAAACATGCATTGTTGTCTAGGACGGTTGACTGGTCTGTTTTTTAATTTCTTTCTTTATTGACCAAGCTTGAACATTCCACTTTCCGTTGCCTTTATCTCTGCGTGTCTGTCTGTTTGTGTAGCTAACTGTGAGCTGCGAGATGGCCGCAAGATCCTCCATGGCAGCACTGCCCGCAGCTACTCTGAGACCAAGCTGGAAGACCTGCGCACGATTTCGGTCAGCTCTGCCGTGGTGATCCTGGTTGTGGACGAGTCTGGCAGCATGAGTGGCGAGCACCAGTGGCTCAAGACGACCATCACAGCCCTGGAGAAGAACCTAATGGAGCGTGGTGTCGGAAGTCAGGGCCGTGCCAACCAGTACGCTCTGGTTGGATTCGCCAGCCCGCGCGCCAACCGCCTCGGTCACATCATCAATGCCGCGGAGGGCCGTCACTGCGGCACAGCCGACGAGATAAGCCTTGCGCTGAAGCGACTGCGCCAGGATGGCCGCAAGGAAGACGGCTACTCTGCCATCGGCATGGCGCTCGACTCCATCAGCTGCGTGCAAAACCGTCAGGACGGAAACACAGCACTGCAGGTAAGAGGACGTTAGTCAGAAACACCTAGCCCAGGCCAGGACAGGTTACCGTCTGTACGATGGGTAGTGATATTATTGGTCGCTACTGTAGTTATAACTAGCACTATCGATGTAGGCGGTGAATGGGTAATGTGTCCGTTCTAGTATTCTCAAGTTTTACAAACATGAGCATGCAATATGCATTTGACTACCTTGCACCATAGCTCCAACAGACTGTTAAAATAACATTACACACATGACATATTACGGCAGCATTCTGAAAGCTGTGTTGATCCATTTGCAGACCTGATATTCTACTTCGCCGTCGCGTTTCATTTTTATCTTGCTGGCATCGTAGGTTATTCTCGTAACAGACGAGGACCGCGATGTCCTGAAGCCCGAGTGGACAAAGGATACGATCCGCACGGCCATCATGCGCCGAGGTGGCGTGCTGAACGCTGTTGTCAAGAATCGCTTCCACGGCAAGGACGATGACATGCGTAATGTGCGGGCCATGGGCATAGATCGACGCCAGCGTGCCGTCATTGTCAATCGGCAAAAGAACGACTTCTATTTCCTGCCGCACGGCATGCCGACGACGGACAGCGGACACGGCACCACCGAGCGGGATTACGTCGACCTGGCCACTCGCACCGGCGGTGGAGCGTGGGATCTGGACATGCTGAGAGACGACTCGTACCGCGAGGCCTTCACCAAGGGCTTCATCGCCGCCAAGGTCGAGGAGATCCAGGTGCAGCTTGTCAGTCGCTGTGAGGAATGTGCGTGCAGGAACGGCACGACGACGTGTGACATACTGCCCAACATCATCAACGAGCAATCTTGTCTGAACCCAATTGGTAAGGTCGTGCATAGCACGTGAAATCCTACTGCATGTACTGTGTTGTGCTGTAGAATGCACAGGCACCAGTTATAACTGCTCTCCTGTATGTACTGTGTTGTGCTGTAGAATGCACAGGCACCAGTTCTAACTGCTCTCCTGTGATGTACTGTGTTGTGCTGTAGAATGCACAGGCACCAGTTATAACTGCTCTCCTGTGATGTACTGTGTTGTGCTGTAGAATGCACAGGCACCAGTTATAACTGCTCTCCTGTGATAGCGACACCTACTGTACAAGCAGAAATATTCGTCTTTTTCGTCCAACGAGCTGTTGGACTAAATTAAATGCCGGACTAATGTTGATTTGTCCAGCTTCTCAATACACTCTCGTGATCCATGGACGAAATTTACAACCGGACGAACTCCCTTTCTTTGGAGTTGGACGAAATTATTGACCGACGAAATTTTCTGCTTATACAGCATTCTCTGCATGGTTACACCACTGAATGCAGCTACAACAACCATGCACCGCTCTCTTGCCATAGTGATACAACCATGCACCGCTCTCTTGCCATAGTGATACAACCATGCACCGCTCTCTTGCCATAGTGATACAACAACCGTGCACCGCTCTCTTGCCATAGTGATACAACAACCATGCACCGCTCTCTTGCCATAGTGACATTGAAGTACGTGTGAGTATGTGCAGGTGCGGCTGTACAGTTTAATTTAATACATGAATTTTTCAAACACGGCGCATACGCGCACACGTGGGAACCCAGAAGAGGTCAGGTTACCCCGGCTGCAGAGCCAGACAACATGAATGTTCGTTGACAGTGGAGAAGTCTTACTACAATGTACATGCACTTAACAAAAGCAGCTGGATAGTTGTGTTCCTCTATGTAGGAAGTGGCCAATATTCAAATTGTTATCACATGAAGACTATCCGCACTCCAGCTGCGCGTGAATTGTAATGTGTATGCCCGGCATGCATGCACCACACCTTATGGGTGACACCGTGATGATGTGCTGCCTGTGTTTCACTGTTCGCTTTCCAGCCAACGCGGCGCTGTCTGTACGCATCCTGGGCGAATCGTCGGCCGTGGCGGGCGGCTTTGCCAAACTCCAGTGCCAGGTTGAGGCTCCGGCGGACGAGGGCAGGCCCGCCGTGATGTGGGACCCCCATCCGCTCAATGCTCTCCAGTACAACGGCGGCCAGTCGAGCGAACATGCTCTGGAGTTTGCAGTCGTCAGTGAGCATGACGCCGGGATGTACAAGTGCATCGGACGCAACCAGTTTGGAGCGTCGGCAGCAATAGCGGACTTCAATGTTGGTGAGTTGTTGCCCTCCTCTCTTGCTGGTGCATGCATGTTTCCATGGTGACCTGGTCTGCACGTTTAGCATATCTAACGGACAAAGCACAGCTTCCTGACGTTGGTATTTGAAATTGGCAAGCCACAGCACGAAATTGGTGGCACGAAGAATGTTCATGCAAGCGGCGGAATATCATCTAACGTTTGTTGACACACAAACGTGTTGTCTCTCTGTATGCCCCATGCAGCTCCTTCAGCAACCAATCCTTACCAAGGTATCCGATTCGGTGGCTCGAGTGGCTCTCAGGCATCGGTATCCGTACACAGTGGAGTCATTGAGACATCCGGTAGAGCCACCAGCTGTCTGCAGACGGCGCACATCAACACGCACGAGGAACGAGAGAGCACGATCCGCAAGTTCAAGTTCGGAAGCGCTGCCAGTGCGGAAGAAGTGACGGTCCACTGCATTGGACAATCATCGGATGTGGAGATTGGCTACAAAATTCACAATGACCCGTCCATGCCCACACTGGTGTTCCCCGGTTTCAACGAAGAGCTACCGCATCCATTGACACGGGACGTTGAGAGCGTTGCGGCACTGAAGTTCACGCCCAATGATATGCAAGACACGTCTGGTTTTCAATTCGGCTGCCGCGCCAGAGGATCAGGTCCTGTGACGTGTGCTCATTCAGCAGACAAGTGCCTCCGACTTGCCGTCACCAGGAGGCACATGCTCGTTTTCCCCAAGGAACGCATATGCCCCAACGGCCTGTGAGCGGCAGCGACGGAGTCAGCACGACGTCGTCATGACGAGAAAACATCCCGAGTCATGCCGTCAAACTTGAGGAGAAGCTACGTACAGCAGCCACCGTTAGTAGTGTAAGCATGCGCACACGGACAGAGCCAGACTTTCTTTCTTGTTGTTGTTTCTTCTTCTTCTTCTTCTTCTTCTTCTTCTTCTTCTTCGAGACGTCGAGACTGTTCCTATTATCATCGTTGACACTTATTTTTTTTGTATTCTTCCAAAATAGCTTATGACAACTCTAGCTCAGCAATCTAACACTTAATCAGGAGTGCACCGGGGCGCATGCCAAAAACTCGCCAAACGAGTCTGAATCTCCCAGCCCCCCCCCCCCTGGCTATCATTGACCCTGTTGGTCCTATGTTACTTCTGCAACTTGAAGACAGCTGTATATTATTATTAACTACACACTCAATATTTTTTTGTGCCTTTTTCTATTCATTTTCGTGCCGGGGCTAGCGTGCACGGGGCTCCTTTTGACATGCCAAAGGACATTTGATGCGTCCCGATCGTTATTGTTCGTGGCACCTCTGTTTTCACAGTTGTGTCATGCATTTCCTTGGTGTAATGAAGTGTACGGGGTAGTTCCATTTACAAAATAGATCTCTATATCACCGGTTTTCACGAATCTGTTTCACCGACATGCCCAAGTTTATCAGAGCAATATTACTAGTAGCTTTTGATCAATGTAGTAACTGTTGGATGCTGTGAGCAAGGGGGACGGCGACGAAGGAGAGGTACTTGCATGGTATGCAAGCGGGAATGGTCGGGATGGGTGTCAGCTATGGAGACGGCAGCACTAGTGTGTTGTGCTATCCTGACGGGGCAAGAAGGCGAAACTACTCTTAGCTACCGTATTCTCCTGAGTACAAGCCGCACACGTACTCCGGAAATATGAAAAATACGGTAGTCGTTATCCACATTGGTGCCCTTGTACATGTAATTAGCTGCAGGTGATAGTCACCGTGGTCACCAACGGGAGGAAAGGCGAGTTTGTAGCACCAGTTTATAACCGATGACAACTGATACGTGTATGGTGAGACGGCTTTGCTGTTGCTGGCATAGGAGACCGTGCTCTTGAGCATTTCCACACTCTCACACTGGTATTCTCCGTTAAATTTTTAGCCTACGGTAACGAACTTACTTGTCTATGATTGACAAGTAGTTCAGCTCTCAGTGTTGCCAACTGCATGCCCTGTGTTTGTCAGTATTTTTTTACGGAAATAATTTAAAAAAATTCTTTCCCTGATATACATGACAAGCTGCCGGTCTCCAAGAAAGCTTTAAATTTCCAGGAGAATTGAAACATAAATATGCTATGGCATGGAACTATTTGAGAAATAAGTGGTCGAACCAGGCAGAACATAATAATTATTATGTACACTGTATACTGCAGTACTATAGGCACCGGCGGATTATGCTCGAAAAGGTGGCAGATTCTGCTCGAAAAGCAGTGAAATTGGCAGAACCATACAAACCTTATGGCGGGCAATTCCTCGAATTCTGCTCCATTTCTTTATCCACATACCAAACATGCATGAAACTTACCAGAAGAAGTACCGAATTCTGCCAATTTTTCTCAGCGGCCGGCATAATCATGATAATCCGCCGGTGCCTAAACTGCAGTGCCGCTGAGCCTATTTCAATGTTTGCCACGGCTTATCAGGGGTCCTACCTTCCAGAGCCATCAATCACTGATTTCAGGACAATTACTTTCTGAGCGGGGTTCGGTGACAGAACTCTAGTTACGATGTTAATTTATAATAAAATATACAGTTAATATCGCCGGCCCGGTGCATATTTCATATTCCATTATTTCATGGATTTCATTGACAGATGCGCTAAGCCCATGGATCCTTCCATGAGTGACATGCGAACTGTAACTATTGTTATTACTTATATGTCAAATTATCGTTGCTAGTCTACTCACTTACTGGTTGGATTCTTGCGGTGTTCCAGACTTCTCCTGCAAATCCAGTACTGACTACCTCTATCGATTACGTATGATCTCTCTGCCAGGTTTTGCTGTCACCTCGTCGGGTGCAAGCACCCTCTGACAGAGCCAACCAAGCAAGAATAGATACTCTAGTTTATTTTCTCTTCGGTCAGGTATTATAAACCAGGGCCTATACTATAATTGTAGGACGTCGTACAAACATTTGCTGTTGCGACTCCCTTCTCTTATCACACTGTGACAGTTTGGTTTGTTCTGCATCACACCATTTTCTCATCCATTACCGGTATATTTATGCGCATGCTCCCAGGTCCTCCTTGTTTGGATCAACGGGATCAGGGAGTCGTCAAGTAAATTTTAGTTATGGTGTTTGACGACCCCTTCGCGATCCCTGAGGCCGAAACGCTTTCCATTTCCTATATACGGTAGGCTACACTAGCGCGAGCGCTCGGTCGGCGGGCGCAGGCATGATTTGTACATCTGACATTAGGCTTGTGCAGGGCCTAGGCCAGGGCGAGAGGTGGCAGAGTTCGCAACAATGCGACAACAAGGCACAAAACAGGGATACTCTACGTTTCTCTTTCGATGTGGTTCTGGCTGGCGTCTGTTGGGAATGGTGTTCTGTTCGTAGTGTCGCAGAGCAGTGACGTTGAATACAGGATGACAGCGGAAAACGGACGGCAGCTCCGTTCGAGCCCACCTCCCGAACGACGCGGAACGGCCCAAACCATTTTGGTTGTAGCTTCCTCGATGGCTGTTGTCGGGCCTCTGGTGATATCAGAAAGTCTAAAGTAATAGACTAGGGCCAGGTCTCCCACCTTGAGACGGCTAGGATTCCTACCCCTGTCGGCATACAGGGCCTGGCGGGCTTGAGCCGCGACCTATCCTGCGCTTTCTTAAAGGGGAAGTATACCCTAAAATCAAATTTTCACCAGTTGTAGTCTTCTGGGTGCTGAGTCGAATGGTCGTGGTCCGAGGAAGCTGCGACGCTCCCTTCCTACTTGAATCCCAATCGAACTCGCGCACTTCCACCGAAACTGGGTGACTGCGCCCTACTAGATGGGGATTTGTATGCAAAATGTCACTAAAAGCGCCATTTCGTTCTTATAAAAGCACGGATGACCGCGATTGGCCCATATGTTGTAGTCTTTTGGACGCTGAGTCGACTGGTTTTGGTCCGAAAAGGCTGCGATGCAGCGTTCCTCCTTTATTCCCAATCGAACATGGTTGAACAAGCGGTCACGTGCTCCTGGGTGCCCAAATCACCTGGTCACCGCGCCAGCAGGCGACAACTTTCACACCAAGGTTCAACTCGAGTTCAACTCGAGTGACAGGACTGCACCCAAAAAAGGTCAAACAGGCTAGTAAGTTGTACCCTGCAGGCACGGTGACCAGGTGACTGGTGTACGCAGGAGCACGTGACCGCTTGTTCAACCATGTTCGATTGGGAATAAAGGAGGAACGCTGCATCGCAGCCTTTTCGGACCAAAACCAGTCGACTCAGCGTCCAAAAGACTACAACATATGGGCCAATCGCGGTCATCCGTGCTTTTATAAGAACGATATGGCGCTTTTAGTGACATTTTGCATACAAATCCCCATCTAGTAGGGCGCAGTCACCCAGTTTCGGTGGAAGTGCGCGAGTTCGATTGGGATTCAAGTAGGAAGGGAGCGTCTCAGCTTCCTCGGACCAAGACCATTCGACTCAGCACCCCGAAGACTACAACTGGTGAAAATTTGATTTTAGGGTATACTTCCCCTTTAAGCGCATCAGATCTGGCTTGGATCCAGTCTGGCCTAGTTCTCCGCGCTCCCGTTCCCAGAATGAAGTCTGCGGGCACCTTCTCCATAATTCAAAAAAGGGAGAATTACCAGTGGATGCTTGCTGGGAATTGTTGATGGCATACTCACATATGGGTGATAGTGCGGCCCAATTATCTTGCTTGTGGTTAACAAAACACCTGAGAATATCTGCAATTAATCTGTTCATTCGCTCTGTCTGTCCATCTGTTTGAGGGTGATTAGCCGTGGAAAATGACAACTTAGTACCGAGCAAACGAAACGCTTCCTGGAAGAACTGGGCCGTAAATCGTGGGTCACGGTCACACACTATAGTTCTCTCTCACACCTCACATTTGCAACAGCAAAACCACAGTGCAGGGTCGGCTGCGGACAGCCACATTGCCTTGTTTCAAGGGGAAAACAGAGTTGCCAGAATTCGAGGCAAAATGATACAGCAACAGTTAGTGCAGAATGACCATCCAGATAAAAATAAATAAAATAATAAGCAAATAGAACTTATAAAATCAGCAGTGCAGAAAGATACAGCAAGGAAACCACCGCATTCACAATCAGAGCAATTATATATATACAGAGGGTGGGTGGGCGGGCCCTTGATGAGCAAGACAAAAAGAAGGACAATCTTTTTGCGCAAGCGCTGTTTCACAGCACTCGCTCAACAACGATTACGTCACTACAGTGACGTCAACCTGCACTGCGTGCCACAACAAAAAATAATACAACAAGCTTCGCAAATTTCGAAGTAATAATTAGTTCGAGAGAACATTGCTTCTCGTTTCTTTCGAATTCTCAGCCAACGAGAAGCGTACACAAGAGCTAAGACCGTGAAGACGAAAAACATGCTGAATATACAAATTGGCACTGCCTTCGGCATCTATGCTTGCCGTTGTGGGTACTAGGTGAACACATTTTGTGAGTCTATCTACAAAATTAATGTGTAAATTGCATCATGACCTTCGGGTGACTTGGGTAAACCCATAATGAAGTCCATGGTAATATGGTCCCAGGGTTGCTCGGGCACAGGAAGTGACTGGAGAAACCCAGACCTTAATTGAGCACCCTTAGTGCGCTGACAGACATCACACGATTTAACAAATTTCTTAACATCCAGCCCCATGCGCGGCCAATAGAAGTGACGAGCGAGCTGGAAATACGTTCTGTCTCTGTCGGGATGACCTGCGGCAATGCAGTCATGGTGCTCCTGCAAGAGTTGTAGTCGAAGTGCGCATTTGGGAACGCATAACCTGTTACTGGGGGAAGATCGCAAGTAAAGATGATGGGCGTCACCATCCCAGAGGTATGCCTGGTGAACGTTGTCACTCGGAGAACGACGCATCTTCTGGATGATAGGCCATAACTCTGCATCGTGTTGATATGCTTCTGCTACCGTCTTCGAGAACTGATCATCAATTGCCAGAGCAAACTCAAGAGCTTTACACTGTGCAGCAGTCAGTTCTGTTTGAACTACTGAGATCTCACCCGGCTGAAGGTCAGGACGACGAGACAAGGCATCAGCAGCCGCATTGTCCCTTCCAGGTTTATGATGGACCGTAAAGTCGAGATCCGCCAGTAACTCTACCCAACGGGCCTCCCTTTTGGTGAGGGTAGGTTTGGTTCTCAGGTGTACAACGGCCATGTTATCCGTGAACACATCGAAATGCCCAAAGAGGTACACTCGCCAACACTTCAGGGTTTGGACTAGAGCGAGGGTTTCTCTTTCTCCGGCTGTGTAGTTGCGCTCGGCGGAGGACAGTCTCCAGCTAGCATAAGCGACTGGATGCCAGAGATTTCCTGGTTCGCCTTGCTGCAGGAGCACTCCAGCAATGGCGAAATCGCTAGCGTCGGTTTCTACTCTGAATGGCTTTTTAACATCAGCAAGTCGCAATACGGGTGCACTCAGTAAGGCCTTCCGCAGCTTCTCAAATGCAGACTGACGTGCGCTGTTCCACTCAAAACGCGAGTGTTTCCCTGTGATTTCCTCCAAAGGTCTCGAAATCATGGAATAGTGATCAATGAACCGTCTGAAATACTTCGCGAAACCCAAGAACTGTCTCACTTCCTTTATAGAGGACGGCGCAGGCCACTCCTTAACCGCAGCAATTTTGTTTGGGTCGGGAGAGATAGATAAACCACTCAGCTTGTGGCCTAGGAAGATGGCATCCCGCAACCCAAATTCACACTTTGAGGGTTTGCAGAATAACTTGTTGGCTCTCAAGGTTTCCAAAACAGTGCTGACATGCCTCAAATGCTCGCTCCATGTTTTACTGAAGATAAGGATATCATCAAGGAATACGACCACGAAATCGCGTAAATAGGGCTGCAGTATTGAATTCATAAAGGCCTGGAATGTGGCAGGCGCATTGGTTAGACCAAATCCCATTACCCGAAACTGGAAATGTCCAAAGGGGGTATTAATTGCTGTTTTGGGTACATCTTTTTCACAAATTCTGATTTGTTTGTATCCCGAACGGAGGTCTAATTTCGTGAAGTAGCGAGCCCCTTGGACGGTGTCGAACAGATCGTCAATGTTCGGAAGGCAGGCTTTGTTTTTAATAGTGATCTTGTTTAGATCCCGCCAGTCACAAACGATTCGTAATGATCCATCGGCCTTCTTAACAAAGAACACCGGGGCTCCGTACGGGGACTTACTAGGCCCAATGAATCCTTTACCCAGGAGGGCTGTCAGCTGCTTGTGTAGTTCATCCATCTCGGGCTTGGATAGTCGGTACGCTGCCTTGGATGGTGGCGTTGAGTTTTGTTCGACCTCAATCTCGTGGTCCACCGACCTTTCTGGGGGAAGCTGTGAGGGGGAAGCTGTGAAGGGAGGTCATCGGGGAACACGTCCAAGAATCTGTGCAGCAGCTCATCGACGTCACGCTGCTTGTCCGGAGGTACCTCCTTCCGAGGCCCATGTGACGAACTGTCGTCGGGGGAAGATAGCCAAGCCAGGTAACCCTCTGCGCCTTGCCGTAGCGCACGTCGCGCTTGTTTGCCAGAGATGAACATCAGCTCCGAGGGAACAGCAGCGTCGCCTGTGGGTTCACCCGCGATTAGGGATTCGGCACCCAGTTTGACCTCGTTGGTGCGGTAGTTGATAGCTGGGTTATTCCGGGTCAGCCAGGGTTCTCCCAGGATCACATCGTATCGATCAAGGGGAAAGACCGTCAGGCGCTGGTCATCGCCATAGCCTCCTACGGCCAAGCGAGCGTGGGTGGTCTCTAGCGGCCGCGAACTGGTTGATCCGTCCGCCAAGGCCACCTTTAGAACCTCCTCCACGATCTTCGTTTTCATCTTTTGTTTTCTTGCGAATCGTTCCGAGATAAAATCGTGTGTTGACCCTCAGTCGATTAACACTGTCGCTCGGTGGCCGTTCACCTTTCCGTTCACAACAAGGAGATCGTGGTCCCGCGCGTGCGAATCCAGGGCAATGTTGCTGACGTAGCTCCGCACGCACTGTGCATGTGGGCCTTGAGACTCCATGGTGTCGTCGCCGTCATCAGTCTCCACGTCGTCTGTCTCCAGGCAACTAAACCTGTTGGTGACTGGCACGGTGACCTTGGGTGCTCTCTCACACGCCAGTAATTGCACCCCTCTTTTTACTGGCGTCCAGCGTTTGGGTTCGAGTCACATTGACGTGCCAGATGACCAGGTCGGTGGCATATGTAGCATCGTCGTTCCGTTTCCTCGCGATTGGAACGGGGACCAGGAACCGACAGTGGACGACGTACCGGGTTCCCCTGCTGCTGTCGTACCGTAATGAAGGGCATCACTTGCGATACGGCGAGCGCTGCTTCTGTCGCCTTCTGCAGGGTTGTAGATGCTCCTTCATGACTTCACACCTGAGCTCCGGGGCCAGGCCCCTGACAAATAGTACTGCGCGAGAGTGGCCATCCAGGTCAGTGATTAAAAAACTGAGCCGCGAGAATTCTGCGATGTAGTCTCCTTAGGCGCCGGTCACACATGCATGGCGCTTTTGCGACACCACCAAAGCTGCACCACAAAAGTTGGGATATCCCCGGATCACCATGGATACTGCGCCTGGCGCCACTGGCGCCACGGCGACAATCTCAAAAGCGCCACAACCAAAAAATTGGTGGCGAAACACAAAAGCGGTAGTGCAACTTTTGCGGCGTTGTCGTTGTTGGATCTCTTGGATCTTGGAAAAATTAGTTTTTCATCTCTCGTCATGAAGTGGACTGCTGACCAAGAGCAACTGCTCCTCTCCCTCTATTTCGAGGTCAACCATCCGACATGGGACTCGACTCAGGCGTCCACCGATGCTCAAGGAGCTTCCGCAAGATTCAAACGAAGAGAAATTGAACAACATGAATATTGAGGCAATCTCCATAGCTCTCCGCAGTCGCTGGTCACGACGTAGTCGGCGATTCTGGGCGTTTCTGCGATCCATACCAGCGCAGGAAAGGAATTTTGAGGCTACAGTCTTTTTCAGAGAAAAGTTTTACGACACCTGTGGAGACCCGTGAAGCTGCGTGCGTACCAAAGCCTTTGCATGTGTGACCGCCAGCAGAAAAGAGCCGCAAAAGCGCCCACTGCCAGCGTGTTGGAGGCAGCCGCAAAAGCGGTGTCGCCGCCTGCATGTGTGACCGGCGCCTAAGGCTGGGAGAGGGAGAACAAACTCCACCGAGCTCTCTCTTGGTCGTACTTCACACCGTAAGCCGCCTCTAATGCCTTCTTCAAGGATGCTCGCGGCTGAAGCTCCTTGGAGTGACGTTTGATGCCCATCTAACATACTCGGAGCATCTTCGAGGAACTGCAGTGCGTGCCACACAGCGAATTGGTTTCTTCCGGAAGGCGTGCCATGTCCTGGACCCACCGGGCCGGGCCACAGCATACCGGGGTTCATTCGGCCTCTAATGGAGTACTGTCCACTTGTATGGATGGGAGCTGCGGCTACCCATCTCTCACAGCTGGACCGAGTCCAGCATCGTGCCCTCACCCTGATTGGGACAGGGGCTGCAATGGACACTCTGTCCCTGCGGCGCCGTGTGGCCGGCCTCACAACTCTGTACAAGCTCCATTACATCGCAAGCCCGCCAGCTCTTGCAGCGACACGCCCAGCCAGAGCCATCGCACCCGCCATCGCGCCTGCCACACGTCGCCGCTCGGCAGCCAACCTTGCGCACGAGCTTCAACTCCAGACAGCCCTACCTGCCAGATCGTGCAATGTTGCGCTGCGCTCTTTCCCGGAGTGCCTCATCGAAGCCTGGAATGAACTGCCAGCCACTCTCCTCCGCGATGTACCGTCTGCCAAAGGGATGCAGCAGTTCAAGGTTCAGACCTACCGCTACCTGAAACGGTCGGGTTGGTCATTGGCCACGGACATCGCCCCCTAGGCTACTGCCTGTACGACCCTGTTCATGTTCTCGGAGCACTCCCTTCTCATCAAACTCCCAATCCATCTGTCTTTATCTCTCTCTAACTCTCCTCTAATCTTTCGTCAAATCTGCACGGCAATCAGCCTCTACTTTCGCCTCAGCATCATGATCTTGATACTGCTATATTTGTACTTGTTTGCGTACTTGTTTGCACTCATATCTTGGAATAACAAGTTTCCTGGTTTCCTACCCCCCCCCTCCTCTCTTTCCTACCCTTAGAGTTCTTGCTCTCCTGCTCCCCTCCCCGCCCTTCCACTCCCCATTTTGTTTCCTTTGGTGCACATGTGCAGCTGTGATGCCGAGACCCTTGGTCGGCTGAGCTTCACAGGTCCCACCCACTCCGTCCTGCTGGATATGTACCATTGTGTCGAGTTCTTCTCCTCATTTTAGTTCATCATGCAGTGAGTGTTCAATAGTAAAAAAAAAGGACGACCAGTCTGGGTATGCAGCGCCGGCTTCCAGGGAAGTCATCAACCACAGACGCGGATTTCCAGCGATATAACTGGCTGCAAACTCAGCTTCACGTTTTGGATCCGCGAAGCGCCACGAAGCCAAGGCCAACTCGACGGCAAATGCCCATTCCCGAAACGTGGTGGGATCTCCGGTGAACACGGGCGGCTCCCTGACGTGTGGGCGATCACGCGGTGCAGGCTGGGAAGCTGAAGCACGAGACTCAGGAACGCACTGGGGTGACGACTGAGTAGAGGGTAGAGCTTCCTTCCGGAGACGGTTGACGATCCAGATGCTGACGACGATAGAGCTGATAGCCGAGGCCAGAACTAGGCCCACGAACGACCACAGGGGATGGAGATCCATCCTCTTGCTACCAATGTAATAGTTCTTCATTGAGCGAAGGAAGAAGAGAGCGTTTATTACTCAATATACTGGTTATGTATATGAGAGTAGGTGTGACACAAGGTGATAAGGTGTGAGTGGTGAAAGTAGGTGTAAAACTGTTACAATAAGAATGATGGCAAAGTGTCAATAATCATTTTGTTGTGGATGTACCTATGTACCTATGACTGTACTTCTTGAAGAGCGGAAAACATGATGTGTACATGTACAGTTTTGTCGACAATTAAAATAATGTTCCTTATGGCAGGGCCAGGCAGGCACTTCCTCACTGTATTCAGTCTCTTCGTCTTCTCTGTTTTACGTACGGTATTCCCTTTCACTCTCACCTGCTTTTTTTTAATGCTGATAATGAGGACCCCTCGACAGGCCGTCCAGCCTCTGGGAATCCAGAAATACACAAATACAGTAGAATCTGTGACTAACGACCACCCCTTGGGGCCAGAGAAAGCGGTCTTTAGTGGCAGGTGGTCCTTAGTTAGAGGTTTGCACCGCACAACCATCATAATATGAATGTGAGACCGTCCGTGCCTGGCGAAGTGGTCTGTAGTACCAGGCTAGTCGCTAGTCACGGTGGTCTTTAGTTACAGGTTTTACTGTAATTACAATTAAAATTACTGAGACGTCCAACGACCTGACACTTGCAGCTTCAACACATCTACAAAGCGCAAACCAACAACCTTCCAACTTGGAAGGCTCAGCGTCATAACTCGTAACATTGTGGTGCTTTCTCTAAGACGGCTCACCACCCGATTATACCAAGAGGGTTATGTACTCTTGATTACACTAATTTCTAACAAGAGTATAATTTTACCCTCCTAACTCCCCCTCTTCCATACTCTTGCCAGTATGCTATCGTTTTCTCAATGAATATTATCAAGAGTACATAAACGTTTATGTACTCTCGATATTATGTACAACTTCTTTGGAGACGAAAAGCTACAACAACAAAAAAAGTACAAGTAATTAGCACTTGGCGGATAATGCCGGCGCGGCAGGAGAATGGGCAGAATTTGGTATTTTTTCTGGTATATTTCATGCATGTTTGGTATGTTGATACAGAAATGGAGCAGAATTCAAGGAAGTGCCTGCCATAAAGTTTGTATGGTTCTGCCAATTTCTCTGCTTTTTGGCAGAATCTGCCAAATTTTCGAACATCATCCGCCAATGTCTAGTCTGCTCCTATTTCCAAACTCGCCATGTTACCTCACAAGAAATACCCTATGTTTGTGGCAGCCTGAGGGAAAGTTGAAACAGACCCGCACTGATTGCATCAAAAGGTTTCGCATGTGCGTGAGCTGGACCCTTCGATTCGAAACAGGAGTGCACTACAAAGCTCGCTACGCCAACTTCGCATGCACTTTTCTCGAACGTAGAATGCGCGAGACCCTGTGCAGAAGACGAGTTTAGGCCACCCTTTGTTAATTCATTGTTTAACGTCCTTTTTTCGCGAAAAGGTACGCGGGAGGGCGAAAAAAAAACAAAAGCCCATTCCAAAAACTGGAAACCCCAATCAAACATTTTGACCAGTAAAGCATGTGATTATACAATATTTCTGGGTCTAACGGCACTTGCAGGCATAGAACAACACTCTTTGATGGTACATTGGAGCACATGCCTGATGAATCCAACAAAACAGGTACATAGCATGGAGTTAGCATGTCATGAATTCATTACATCTGGATTTTTACTAGGACACACACCGTACGATATTTAAAAGCCAACAAAAAAAGAAAAAGAACACAAGACAAAGGCATGCCCGGGAGGCAAGATTATAAGTTTAAGGTCATGATCGGCACACTGTGAAACTACACAATCATGTATTTACAACTTCGCATATTATTGGTACTACTAATTTCTTGTTTTTTTTTCCCGGTCGGAGGCAAAAAGGTACGCGGGCGCGGACGTTAAACAACGAAAAAAGAAAGGGTGGCCTTAGAAATAAGGGCGAGCCACCTTACCGGTACATTGTACCAAGAGTATTATTATTTGTAAGAAATGGTTTGCTCCCCACACCGGAGCTCGCGTGTTTGTGCCTGGAGAGCACTATATACATGTAAGTGGTGCTCTTCAGGCACAATCTTCCTCAGCCTACTCAAGCTCAACTGATGAGGGGTGAATTCCCCGAAACACTGTGTATTGAGCAGGGAGTGGTGCTTTCTTGCAGGTTTGCCGAGTCGAAGGTTCGATGGACTTCTCGTGTGCTCTGGATGGCAGTCGTGAGTCAGTCAAGTGTCAAGTAAAGTCGGCGGAATAGCGCGAGCTCCGGTGTGGGGAGCAAACCATTTCTTACAAATCATCGCCGAAGTCGCAACCACTACTTCGTAGTATTATTATTATAATTATTATTCAGACTTCTCCCGTTTGTCTCTTTCCCTCAAACCAGTTAATATTATTATTATTATTATTATTTTATTTATTTTACTAGTACATAACCGTTATGTATACGTATTCTTGGTTGTACATTGTAGTTTGGTTGGGCTTTTGTTTAATACAAGTGTCAAGTATTGCTATTGACGTAGCAAATACATAAATTCCCAAGCAATGGCCCTGCAACTGGACTAGGCTCCGGCGGATTATGCTCGCGGGATCATGGAATTATGCTTTCATGGATTCTCGCAATATGCTCGCAAAATCCTCATATTATGCTTTGGCACGCGGGGATACATATTCACTTTGTTGTACTTATGGAGCCTCAAAGCTCGGAAAATTGTGCCTTTCCGTACTTGCAAGTGGCCATAAGTACAACGTAATGCATGAGTATCCCCATACCAAGGTATCCATGCATGCTAGAGATCAACATGGAAAAGAGAAAACATTACTTCTTCTATTGTTTAGTTGACTTCTTTCGTAAAACGAGTTTTTCATTGCCAAATTAGTGTGAGTTACCTTTGAAAATTATCATGTTCAGGAACTGTGTTCGTAATCGTCATACTCGTCCAACCGATGTTACCCTCACCCTTCGAGTAACCAGCTCATCTCTCCCGTAGCTCCACCACTCCTTCCAACATGACCGAACATCAACTACATATATACCTTAATTTTTTTAATTATTAGAGCAATATCCATAGCCTGCACAGTCATGGCTGCCAAAATCGAGAGGTCATAATAATTATGACTTCGTAACATGCATAAATGTAGACTCTACAATTGAAGGGTCGGTTGGATTTTTCATGGGCCATCAAGGGATTGTGTGAACTTATGACCCGTGTGTGATGTGGCGATGTGGAGATGCTGTGCGTCGGAGGGGGGGGGTTGTCTCTTGCGTTTTGGTTTTGTGTTTGTCGCAGTACCCTATTGTTAGTTCTGTTGTTGGACGTGCTGTTCGCTGTGTAGTTACTGTCTCAGCATTTCTATCGACTGTTGTGAGCCATTGCCGAGCCACCGCGCTCTCAGCAGAGACTTCTGTGTGTGTGTGCGTGTGTGTGTGTGTGTGTTGTTGTGAGAGTGGACCACAAAAATGTACAAAATAATTTACTTCTGAGAAAGCCTCTTGTACGGGAAAATGACACAATGAATGCAATGTTCGAAAATGTAACGAAAACAAATAATACACAAGAAGAAAAGAGTACCAAAGAGCTACAAGTTACACTATCACATCCACTAACACCACCAGTTACTTTACAATCAGCTCATGCGATAACATTGCACGACACTGTCCAACGGTACTGACGTTCTACACCTATGGATTTTATAGCGTAACTTGTACAGTGTAGCTCTTTGGTCCTCTTTTCTTCTTATAAATTAATCCTTGGCTCTCCTCCCGAGTCAAATAATACACAATGCAACCTGAATTGATCATGCTGAACCTCGATACATAGAGCACAAGAACTGCGCAATAGACACAAGTGGGCAATTTGGATGATGAGAACTAACAAGTCCGGAATCACACAGTAAAATACCTCTGCAACAAAACAAACAAAAGATGCAAAAAATGACAGGCCAACATCAAAGATTACCAGAAAATTCCTTCTACCATTGCCAGCGGACGCAAGGCGTTGATGGGCCTATGATATGCTGATCTTGCTCCTCTCGTCTTCGTATGACGTGCTTCAGAACGTGTACTGCTGACTGGTTGCCTTTGTTATAATACATGACATTGTATTATTAATGTAAAGAAAAAGGGAGAAGAAAACACATGAGAACGAGTTATGCAGCAACTATCCACGACTGAAACAAGATAATAAAAAATAATAATAAAATTCAGGTTCGCGTGAGACTCGGCTGGAAGCCGAGTTTTCCGCATCCGCCGTGGGAGCGCCACCACCCTCTAGGATCAAGGCGCAGATGCAGCGCCTAAACGGTGGGAGGTGAGTAGATCAGACCCACCACCAAGTGGTCAAAGACCGAAATCCCATTAGCTTAACTGTGGGTCGCAGCACGGCTGGAAAAATTCCTTCCGCTTCCAAGCAGGCATAGTGGGATGGTCTAAGACCATGATTGAGAAACAGAGGGTACCAGGTTCAAGTCCTGCTTGGAAGCGGAAGGAATTTTTCCAGCCGTGCTGCGAACAAGATAATAAACAGTCCGAAAGTGCGATAACCATGAACCTTCCAAGTTAGTTGGAAGACTGTTGGTTTGCGTGTAGTTGCTGCATAACTCGTTCTCATGTGTTTTCTTCTCTTTTTTTACTTCGTCCATTTATTACTGGCTCAGTATCCGAGTTATAATATATTAGAAAATGGTTGTAGATCTTGATAACTTGTTGCTGCCTGCCTTGCCGTGACAATTGTCCTTGCAGGAAACAAGTTTGTTTTCCACACTCAGTCCGCTCACCAGGGCTTGATTCTCCTAGTAAGAGCATGTATGCTTGAAGTCGAATGATTACATATCTTCCCAAGATAGCCCACCCTTTATGCAAATATTCTCTTTTTTTTTTCATCGGTCACTATAGTGTCTGCTTCTCGGTCTGAAGCAGAGAGCAGTACAATACGGTACATGTACATGTACATGTACATGTATTGTACTGCTCCCTGGTCTTAGATAACATTACTGATGAAATTTGCCTAAATCTGAGGTTGGTTCAGTACATGCCCAGAGGGTGCATGCAGCGCGATGCCATGAGTGCAAAATGTGCTTTTTATGCTTGCAAGGCACACGTATAATCAATATGATAGGATGGAGTGATTTATCCAGACCCTCCTGTTGTTCCTTTATCCAGAGCACATTACTCTGATGTAACGTGTTGGTTCGTGGCCCAGACCCATGTACATTATTATTGTACCTATCAGATGCTCACCCAAACTACCCTAGTGTAGATGATTGCGGTACAGTACTATGAGAACGCAAGCAGGCGATGGTACGCTCGCCCCACTCCTGAGTGGTGGAGTGCTGATTAACTTTTTTTCCCATTTGCTACATTCATGGATATTATGTTTTAAATTCACGAGTCCAAAAAGGACGAAACAGTTCTGTCCTCGGATTGAATGTTTTAAATTCATAAAATATAGGATCACAAGTAGTTAAGTGACAAGGAATATAGGAAAAACAAGTACATGTACCTGTTTTGCCAGTCAATTAATTATCAACACATAGTCGTGGGGTCATGCTGGCATACTGGATGCATACATTTCAAGTGTCAAACGTTACTGCTCGGTTCATGAGTACCATTGTGTGATGCAGAAGTTGTAAGAAAAATTGGCCAAAGACGAGATTCCAATGTTACCAGATAATGTCCACAGAAGATTTCTAAATTTGACCTATGAGTATGCGTAGCTACATGATTGCATTGGCACTGGTGACATACTGGATGCGTATTGTGCATGCACTAAGTAGCCTAAACACATATTATCGTGACAGAAATGGCAGAAAAAACTAAAAATATTATCTGGCTATGACTCTGAGCTTTCAAAAACAGCAACAAGGCGAAGTGTGGAAAAGCAGGAGCAAGAGGGTTTCAAGATAACGTTACTAGCTACATTGGTGGGTTGGACTGAGTATGCCCGGTTGGGTGTGTTTCAGTCATACTTGAGGGTTGTGCTGCCAGCAGAAAGCAAAGCAGCAGATCCTCCTACTGTACTACAGTTGCGCAGTTTTCCAATCAGACATCAGTAGGTCTTCACTCACTACATAGCCGTGTCTTCTTCCTCGAAACATTTTCTCTTGCACACACTTAGCGCTTAGAAGCAGGCTAGGACCACAGTGGAACTGTACATGGCGACCAGAACACTGTATGCCACCAACGAAACATCCAATGTGGCTCTGTGGGCCGATGACGGTGTCTGGACGGGGACCTGCGTGGTGTCACTGACAGGACCAGGTGCGGGTGCAGTCGGTTGAGTGGCGATCGGTCTAGGTTCCTCTGTGGGCAGATTGGCTGCATCACAAGAACAGATCACAGACAGACCAAACGTATTGTTCTTACTCCAGATGCATGTTCCGATGCCTGGCCACTAACATCACCAACATTCTCACCAGTGTCTCAGATAGGCTAAATGACTGATACTTGGAGCAACATACATGTACATGTAAGGCCTTTTCAAATCAGCTGAACATTGAGCAGGAGCAGACGTTCATTTCTACGGAATACAGTGCCATACTACTATAAAGACTACTTCAAGGAGTAATGTTACAATGACTTTGTAGAGGTATCTACACACAGCCACACAGTTATACAGAACTAAATATGTTCTTGCATTCATGCGTGCCTCGGCCCAAAGAACTAGGGCTATATATATTATAATATTATAATAATATTCGCTACACGGTATAATTATGCAGGCAAGCCTGTACAGATACCGAGATACCGGTACTACCGTATTTCCCCGTAAGTTTAATAGCACGTACTAACTTTCGAACTTAGCAGCCACATGAGTACTAACTTTCGGGGTGGTACTATCTTTCGGGGAGTACTTTTTTTATCGGGGGGAAATGACACGCAGTGGGAAGCCGGCGCAACCAGGGAGTCGTAAAATACCGAAGGGTATTTTACGACTCCCTGGGCGCAACTCTAGTGTCCGTGCATATGATGTATGTACTGTACGGTGTCTGTACATGTAGGATGGGTACGAACTTACTATCTTTCGGGGGGAACTGTCTTTCGGGGTGATAACCTCGGCAGTGGAAAGTGGAAAAGTGGAAAGTATTTTTTATAGGGGGGGGGGGGGGGTACTAAGGGGTCGTCCGCAATTATCGAAAGTTTTTTCCAATCCGTAGTAGCTTCGAAAGTGGGTGGGTGGGTCAAGGCCAGTTACGGATTGAAAAACTTCCGAAATGACACGTGCGCGTGCCACGTGTACGTCTACGTGTAGCCCCTGTTTTCCACGCGCGGCTGCGCGCGAACTAGTTAACTGTCTACTACAAAATATTTTTGTAGTTCTGGCAGTTTCTGCGCCCCCGCGCGCGCTTTCTTGGCTGCTCCTGGGCCGGGGATCATAAAGTTCGGCGCATTCGACGGCGAGTCGACACTTTCTATTTTTGAGTTTCACTGTCTCCTTCGTCCAGAGTACCGTCTTCCATGCACTCCTTTGAAGTCCTTCCGTCTAACGCTGGCGCTGACGACTGTTATTGACTATGTCCAGACAGGCGACGTTGTTTGGAAAGGCGGTGAAGAAGCAGCCCTTTTTCAAAACCGCTGGTGACTCTGATTATTACAGAACAATAAATTGCTTGTGGCAGTTGTCCAAGACGACGAACAAGGATGTATTCTTTGCCGAAGCGAAAAAGGAATGGACGAGTAAGTTTGCCAACGATGCGACAGCCAGGCGAGAATTGTTTGATTCGGCGAAGAAATTGGAGGGCGATGTGAAAGTTGCCGAGTCTTTCGTCGTCCACAAGGAACCCGGCGAGTCGAGTAGTTCAGCGTGCGGACCGTCACCGGCCCCGGCCCCGCAGGCGTCCTCCACCGGCCCATCGACGGCGAAGCCCACCCTCGTCCTGTGTGAGGAGATTGGCGTCGACGCGGACAGTTTCTTCACCAGCGAAGTCACTGGACAGGTGACCCTGATGGCGGAGCTGGCGAAACTTGCGGAATGCGGATCGTTTCTTGGTTTACAAGAAAGAACTGAAATACATGATGTCACTATGACTCATGGACCAGCACTGATTGAGTTTGTTCTATATGGCATATGTGTTGGGTTGTGTGTCCATCAATAATATTTTATTACGGACTGGGGGGGTGGGTGGGTGGGTGAGGAAAAATTTGAAGCTACTACGGATTGGAAAAAACTTTCGATAATTGCGGACGACCCCTAAGTCATTGGGGAGAACTAACTTACGGGGAGATACGGTAGTTCATTACATGTACAGTGTGGTTGTCTGCTGGACTGCTCGACTCACCTGCGCATTGGCTGCGATCATGTCGGACAGGTTCTTGTGTGTATTCGGGCAGACTGTCATACTGGTAGCCGAACTCCGTTGACAGTTTCAAGTAGTCCTTGTTACGATGCAGGGGATAGAACGGCACCATACAGTCATCAGCATTGTGACCTGGTGGTGCACCCACTGTCGGTGTGTATGTCTCACCGTTCCTCTTGATGAAGATCTCAAACACTCTGTCCACCATACAGTGATGAAGCCAAAAGATTGGGTCGTTTGTTGAAGCTGCTACGTTGGCCATTGTTCCACCGGTATAGATGTGTACGGCGTTGTGAATTTCGTGAACAGTGTCCCTGTCTGGCTTTTGGCAGTACGTCTTTCCTGGGAATGGAGTGAAACCCTCCAAAGCCTCGCGATAGCTGTTGTATCCAGTCGCACTTGCATTATAGTGTTCCATATCGTATCTGTCTGTGGTGTGCAGTGCGTCCCAGATATCTCGATTGCTGGGAAGGAATTGTGTCTCGTCATGAAACTGGCCAAAGTCCCTGGATACCTTTACTGTGGAATCAAACTCTGCGCGTGTGCACAAACTTCCGCGTCGTGGCCTGTCAGGCGAGAATGCAGCGGATCGGCAGGTAATGGTGAAATCTGCCAGTACTCCGGTCGGGGCTGATGTATTGCCAAACTTGTTCTCTGTGAGCAAGGTGGATCGGGTACTATTGTCCAACCAGTCCCAGTAAGGAAGGGCAAATGATGAGTTTCCAGACACCATCTGTAACTCAGTCTCGAACAGCAGCATGTACAACCGATGCCACACAAGGAAAGTGGGGGCTTCATGGGCAAAGTCAACGGTAACGTTTGGCCAGCCTGCTGGTGGGGGCCTGCTGCTGTCCTTGGCCGCGAAGTAGTGTATCCATGCCATGAACTCGTATGTAGAGATATCCGTCTTGAAATCAGCGCTGGTGAGTTGTGATGGACTACTGGTGCCTGGGGTGCGAGGAAAGTGACTTTCATCCACTAGCACGCCAAAGCGACTCTTACCAGCCCCCGTTCTATTTCGAGAGGCAGCAACGACTTTCTGCACCTGATCGCGCTCTGAAGGACTCAGGGTGAGAAAGTTTCTCCGCACTAGGGGTGTCTGGCGTTTCACACATTGCGCAACACCGCCCTGTCCCATTGGCGTTCTCACGTACCCAAACTTACATTCGTCACAGTTATAGCCTGCCCAATTTCCTTCGCACTCACATACTTGCGTGAACACTCGGTTAGGCCAGGGGTAGCGAGACGGTTCGTATGTCGTATTCTTTAGATAGGCCAGGATAATATCCTCGGGGTCAGAGGAGGTTTCTGTGTGGCAATGTGAGTCCGGAATGCTCTTGCAGGATCCACGGCCGGGTCCGCCGCAGTCGTGATTAGCACCTCCTATGCTAACGGTTGGACAGCACTTTCTGTTGGCGAGGCTGGTGTCGTCTAGACATTCAACAGGGAACTGTGATAGGACGAAGTGATTGGAAACGAATGACTGCACTGCGAGCATAGACAGCACGAAAGCTGCGCTGTTCGCCATTACAACTATGGCCAGTATGGGTCGTCTAATAATACAAACATACACTACCAATGTACTAGTACAATTGCACTAGTAGACTACAAGACAATTGACCGAGCGACAAAAAAACTGCAATTTCGGATAATCCCTGCAGCCGTACAGGTTCTAAGTGATGATCGCGATGCAGCTAACGATCGTTTTATGCTGTGACGCGACGTCGAGCGATTTCAGCCATCCAAGATAGAATCGCTGAACGGGGGAGGGCAGGTGCTGCGGAAGCGTGCGACACACACTACATACAGTGTGTCAGTACAGTGTGTGTATCGAACTCCACACTGTGACACAGTCATGTACACTGTACGTAGATCTACGCTACTACTAGTACTACTAGTAGATCTACGCTACTAGTAACTACATGTACAATGTACAATCATGTACATGTACGTAAGTCAATGTACATACAATGTCATGTACATGTGCGTCCGTTAGCTCATGCATCCCAGCCAGATTCCCAGGGGATCATGCCGCCACCGAGACCATGGCTCCGGGTTCACGGATATGATAATTATGTGTTTACACGCTGACATTACGCCATCCGTGGTTAGTACACCCACACAGTCATTGCCTCATTGGCCGCAGCGTGAGCGGGCCTAGCTTCCCCAGGAGACCCTCTTTCAGAAGTCAGTGCACACTGTCTGTGCAAGCTCGAAAGTAGGACCCGGTGTAATATGCCCGAAACTTTGCCGAAATGCTTTTGGGAAATTCTCGTAAACCTTGCCGAAAATGCTCCCAAACCTTGCCGAAAATGCTCGGAAAATGCTCACTTTTTTGTAATCCTCAGCACACGCCGTCAAAAGACTCAAAACCAGGGAGTCAGAAAATACCGGTATTATACGACTCCCTGGTCAAAACCATTATTTTCAATTCATAAACTACTCAACAAGAAGCTAACCCATGGAATGCGGAAGTGACGTTCTTGTTTGGGAAGTTTTTCTTCTCTCATTATTTTGATACACAACGGCCAAGTGCTCCGTTTCCCCCAAAATGCTGCATCACGAGCCCAAAGTGCTGGGTTCGCGGATTGTACCGAAAATGCTAAAAACAATGCCGATACTACACGGGGGCCTTCTCGAAAGTATTGACTACTCAGGGCCGGAGGCAGCTTCCGCGGAGAGGTACGATCTTTAAATACGACAGACACTGCGATCTTCGTCAGTCAACCGTGATCAACTACAGCAAACAGGAACTCCAGGAAAGCCGCCAGCCGCCAGGTCAAAGTACTCCGTGCGCCTCTCTGATTCTTCAGACTCATGCATCCGCATTCAATCATTATCTTCTGCAAAGGCGCTCAACGCGCAGAGGACACAATAGTTCATACCGTATTTCCGCGCATATAAAGCCATGGCGTTATATCCGAATATAAGGCCACCCTCACTTATAAAGCCATGGCGTTATAAGTGAACAAAATTCAATGTGGAGGAAGTTGCATCTGGCGTTAAAGGTGAGTTCAATTCTTTCAGTGAACGTACAGTAGCGGTGATTCTCTCTGCATGTACCCATCCCCACTGTCACATGCCATACCGCCACCGCACCTTCACACAAGTTTCCATGCCACCTTGTACACAATAGGTTCACATTTTGAAATTTTCAGGGAGATAATTGAAAGTACATGGATGCTCGACATGAACGTGCAACGGCATCGTGCGAGTACTCGAAGTATATACTCGTACTCTGCCGATTTTTTGCATGTACGCGTCTCTCACATTTAGCGCCATGGCGTTAAAACCGAGGCTATTTTCTCCAAAAATTTGGTCCAAAACAGCGATGTTTCATGCAATGTATAACGCCATGGCGTTATATGCGCGGAAATACGGTAATGTCACACGGAGCCTGTCAAGTGTCATTGTTGTTGTTGTTGTTGTTGTTATTGTTGTTACTTTATTTTACTTCACCAGAATTACAGGCAGTAGAATGCCTTCTCACTAGACCAGGTCTAGTTCTCACAAATGATGAAGAATGTGAATGAACATGCTAAAGCTAATGTCATAACTCTGACCGCACATTTACGCCTATGCATTTATCGGTCCTGGGTAGGCATCAGCGGGTAAGAATGCCTTCTCACTACGAGTCACTAGACCAGGTCTAGTTCTCACAAATGATGAAGAATGTGAATGAACATGCTAAAGCTAATGTCATAACTCTGACCGCACATTTACGCCTATGCATTTATCGGACCTGGGTAGGCATCAGCGGGTAAGTAAACTCAGCCGATTATGCTTTTCAGAATGCCAGCAAAAACCAGGATATTATGCTCGTTTTAATGCTTTTTATGTATATAATAAATGTAGAGCCGAAGGATTTATTGCAATTACATACCAGTATAAAAACCGAGGTCCCCCGAGGTTTTTATAACTGGTATGTAATTGCAATAAATCCTGAGGCTACTACATTTATTATGCATATGTTGACCTTCGCTTTCCCTAAAAAGGAGTATTTTATAAACAGTATTTATTGGCCTTAGTGGTATTTTATAAACAGTATTTATTGGCCCAAAAGCCAATAAATACTGTTTATAAAATACCACTAAGGCCAATAAATACTGTTTATAAAATACTCCTTTTTAGGGAAAAGTGCAGTGCTGCATGGAAAAGTACAGTGGTATTTATTGAGTAAAGCAAGTTTATTTGAATTTGATACTGTTGATGGTGTGGTCACTAATGAGTGTGGGTATTTATCAAAGGTCAATATATGCTACTGTAAAAGCAGAAATTTTCGGTGGTGTAATATTTTCGGTATTCTCCAAAATCGGTGGTTCGGCAGAGGGAAATTTTCGGTAAAACCCGTTTTCCAGGTAAGTGTGCTAGTAGTAGTACTACATGTACATGTACATGTACATGTACATGTACATGTATTATGTATACAGTATCGGTTGTACCGAAATTTTCGGTGCGTTTTATTATCGGTAAAAATTGTCGGCACCGAAGTTACCGAAAATAAAACACCACCGAAATTTTACAGTAGTTTAGGGCGTTTTATGCTAGCAATATAATAATTATGACCAAATACATGTACATCGCAGAAGAGTACGCGAAAAAGTCTGTTTCCAAAGTACATGTAGGTATAAAGATATGCTCGCAAAATTGATTGATCGGTGGTAGACTACTTCTACTCGAACAAAGGCAACATCGTTGTACGCAATGGTATACATGTAGTTTGCGGTTGATCAGGTTGATCAGGGAGTACTGTATTCCACGACTCTCCGGCCATGAGATGCTGAAAATCGCGAATGTATGCTAGTTTCTCTAAATAAATGCCTCATTATGCCGGGGCAATGCCCCCCTCTGCGAACACTAGGCACCGGCGGATTATGCCGGCATAATTATTGGCATAATTTGGTGGTTGAAAATTTGGAGCATAATTTGGCATCCTTTCGGAGGTAGGAGCATAACTGCATGATTGTATTACAGTTCTAGTATGTAGGCTACACAATTGTGTACAATGCACCTGATCAGTGCTGGTGGTCTGCATGGCAAAGGGTTCGGAAGTCATGCAGATAGTGTTTTCAATGAAAAGCAGGGTAGAAATCATGGAAATACATCATCAGTTTGTGTGCTCGAACTCGTTACGTCTTCTCAAAGTTCTTTCTCACCCTGATACAGTACATGTAGCGGAAGATGCGAGTGAATCAGCCTTTATCAGGTATCCCGGGGCGGACGAGATAATGATGGGAAGTCCGCAAAACTCCGCGTACATGTAGATCTACACTAATATGCTTGTTACGAAGTCATGACGTCTGGATCTTAGCAGCTATGACTGTGCAGGCTATGGGTATTGCTCTGATAATTCAACAAATTGAGGTATAGTTGATGTTCGGTAATGATGGAAGGAGAGCTGGAGCTACGGGAGAGATGAGTTGCGTATCTTGGTGCCGACAGGTGGAATGCGCTGCCTCCATCTTGTCGCCTGGCCGAGTCGCCTGCTTTGTTTCGCGCTCACACAAAGTCTCATTTAGGGTTCCCAGTAAAAAGGCAACATTGCCTGTTGGGAAATCCCTAACAAAATAAGAAGAAAAAAAAATAATAATAATGAGCTGATTATTAGAATTCGCAGGGTTACGGTGACCGCTGATGATTACGACGTAGTATACTGTACGCTACATGCGCTATGTGCGGTCTTGCTGTGTGCGCTGTAGTTGTATGTTGTATGTGTATGCTTTTCTCATATACGCTGTCATTTTCACGCTATAACTACCTGGTGGTTTTAGTGTTATTCATTGTTCATTCATTTCATTGTTGTTAGTCGATGGAAGTGAAATATACTGTTGAGAATAAATAGTTGTCCTCGCGCCGTGTGGGGTCGTTCGTTCCTCCCACTTAGAGAACCAGAGGGTTCACAACACTCTCCATCCAAGCTGCAACGTTCTACCAAGAGTCCACTAAACTGTTTATGCACTCTTGGTTCTACCTACGTTGTATTTCTTCTCGTTTGCCCATACTGCAGTACTGGTTTAGCGTCCTCCAGCCAGCAACGGAACCTGCCACTTGTAACCTTGCCAATTGGGGTCAGGTACGAGTAGAACTGAACTGGGCGCCGTTTACGAGCCAGAGGCTGAGCTATATGAGGCCTGTGTATTTTCTCTTTTTTTTACTGGCATGCACAATTCAAACCACAAAAGAACAAACAACCCACGGCCGCGAATACGGAGTGCGGGTTGTTCAGCGGTGTTGATAGCCCGAGCTTGGGTGACAGATCGTCTCGCCTTCATTGCTTGGTCTAAAAAAAGGCGAGTAAAGTTTGCACGTCCGCGTTACAAACGGCTACTACATGATTGTAGTACATGTACATTGCTTGGTCTACACATCGAAAAGACGACAAAGGAAGCAGTGCAACCTTCGTTTGCCAGGTACGAGGTACTACATCAGTACATGATTATTATAAGTGTAGCCTCTGGGTCATCCTAATAAAGATATTACTAGTAGTATTATTATTAGCTACGAGAACAACTTTAGCGCGACTACATGCTTCTTTTGTTTACAAAGAACAGGATTATGCACACGAATACATACAGCTTCCAGAACCTTCAACTGCTTAACATAACTTGCACGGCACAAAACAGAAAAGTGAGAATCATCGTACACACTAAGACAATCTGGACGTGATAACAAGTGACAAAATACAGCTGACTTTTTGCTCACGTCGCTCTCTTCCGTCTCATCCCGCTCCTTTCCTTCAACCTCCTCCGCCTTATCCTCGTCCTCCGTCTCATCTTCATCATCATCATCGTCCTCATCACCACCATCATCATCATCAGTCACTTCCTCATCATCCGTTTGATGCTCAGTCTCACTGCACTCCTTATATCAGCCTCCAACATGGCTCCATCATCTCCACCAGCATCACAAGTCGTTTGACCGCTGCTCCGCGTCACCGTTGCTGGGTTCTCTGCTACTGCACACCCATTTCCACTGTCCATTTTGCGTGGGCCAAGTCCATTCCGTGCATAAATTTCAAGTGAATAGTTTGCTGTGCTTCTTCTGGGTCTATGGGTAAGGATATTGGTTTCATTTTGGTTTGTCGATGATCTCCCTCTCTGTCCAGACACAGTCGGCACCGTGGATCCCAGCACCGGGGGGACCACCGTCTCGGTAGTCACCAAAGGTAAAGGGGGTGGCTCAGGCGGAGGCAAGGGCAACTGCCGAGGTGAGGGTTCAAGCATCAAACGGATGATGAGGAAGTGACTGATGATGATGATGGTGGTGATGAGGACGATGATGATGAAGATGAGACGGAGGACGAGGATAAGTTGGAGGAGGTTGAAGGAAAGGAGCGGGATGAGACGGAAGAGAGCGACGTGAGCAAAAAGTCAGCTGTATTTTGTCACTTGTTATCACGTCCAGATTGTCTTAGTGTGTACGATGATTCTCATTATTAGTATTATTTTAGATTTTGAATATACTGTATACCGGCAATCGATCGTTCTCATTTCATGATACAGAGACCGGATGATCAACGTCTAACTCAGGCTTTCCGTGCTCTAAGGCGCGAAAGTAAACTCCTCATGCGAAGAAAGAAAGCTGCGTATTTCCAAAACGAACTGACTCGAAACAATTGCAACCCAAGGCTACAGTGGAAAACAATCAACTCTTTGCTTGGGAGAACAACTGTGTACCATGAGCCCCATGCCTCAGTCAAAGACATTTCAGCAACGTTCGCCAGGATAGTCTCACCTCGAGCCCCTGCCCCAGCAACACCTGCAGGTGCAGCTAGCACCGTGACCTTTGGACACCTCAACGTATCACCGACCGCTCCACAGCGCGCTTCGAGTGCACCCTCACGATCAGGCACAGGTATCGAACTACCGATCGGACCAATGCCAGAGCCGTCCCTCACTGAGTTTGAACCGGTGTCAGCAGCAACCATAGTGTCCCATTTGAAACGCCTTGACAGCCACAAAGCAAGTGGTCCAGATAAAATACCTCCGTCCATCTACAAACTCCTCCAGAAACGAATCGCTCCCTCTCTTGCCCAGCTCTTCACCATCTCTTTCAGATCAGGTATTTTTCCCTCTTTATACAAGATTGCCAACGTTCGTCCAATTCACAAGCGCGGGAGTTCATCTGATCCCAGTAATTATCGACCTATTTCCCTCCTCCCGATCGCTTCCAAGCTGCTGGAGAGGTGCGCGTATGAGCAGATCATGTCGCACATACAAGGTGAATCATTTCCGAACGCGTTGCCGAATGAACAGTTCGCCTACCGCAAGCAGCATTCCTGCGAAGATCTTTTAGCCACGACAACAAACGACTGGCAAGCATGTCTAGACAAGGGCCAATTTGTTGTCGCTGCTTTTCTCGATCTCAGCAAAGCATTTGACACAGTCAATCACGCCTCCCTTCTTCAAGAACTCTTCTCTATTGGTGTCGGTGGTACTGCACTGCAATGGATAGCTAGTTTCCTATGTGACCGTCGCCAACGAGTAGTCACGAAGCATCAGGAAGGTGAACAGTACACACCTACCAGAGGTGTACCTCAAGGGTCAACATTGGGTCCTGCCCTCTTTAACCTATCTGTCCGAGCTCTGCCATCATGTACCATCACGAGCAAGGTTCGACAATTTGCAGACGACGTGTCTATGTACTTCGAAGTATAAGGCAGGCACGAACTTGCAGAAACTCACTGATGATCTCTCTGCTGACATATATTATCTGTCATCAGAGAGTACCTACGTGACCGAGGTCTCAATCTTAATAACTCCAAGACTCAATTTATCATCATAAGACAAAAAACAAAATGTGTTCCTCCTAACATCTGCCTTCGGCTCGGCGATGTCCTCATATCCCCAACACCAACGGTGAAGTATCTTGGCCTCACCATTGACGAACATCTATCATTCTCCTCATATGTCACTGAAGTTGAGAAAAAGGTCGGAACAAAACTTGCCATGTTCCGGAAGATCAGGGAAAATCTGACACCGGCTGCGAGAAAGACCTTCTACTGCTCATTTATTCAAGCACACCTCGAATATGGTTCTAATGCGTTTGTACACTGCCTTCACACCACACAACATGATAGACTAACTCGTATTGCTAACCGCGCTGTTAGGATTGTTTTTGGTTTCCCTTGGCACTATGATGTTTCAGTCTTACACACCAGATATGGCCTTGCTCCTATTGCACTGCGCTATCAGCTTAAACTGTATATTCTTGTCTTTCGGGCCATACGTGGCATGTGTAGCACTCTGCTCTCTGATTGCTTCTGCCTTCGTTCTGCCACAACACGCACAGCTGCCCGTACACGTTCCCAGTCCATAGACTCACTTGCTCTGCCTAAAGCACGCACTCGTTAAGGCTTATTCGCTTTGAGCTTTCTGGCTTCTGACCGCTGGAATTCTCTTCCAGCTGACATTCGCTCTTGCTCCTCGCTTTCACTATTCCGCAAATCTATACATGTAATGACCGCATAGGGTACCCTGTAAAAAGGCCTTAGGCCTGTGGGGATTGCCCTATTCAAAATTTAAATAATAATAATAATAATAATAATTTCCCGGCCACCAAGGTGGGGACCGCGCCCAGCAGGCCAGGCGCTGGGGCGGCAATTTAATGGCCAGCCACGGCCACAGAACCTATATTTGGGAAAGGAGATGCCCCGTTTCGATTCCAGCGCAGAGAACCTTTTCGGAAATGGTCTGGTTGGGGTATGCTGTGTCCTGGAAGGGACTTTTATGGCAGCAAGTAGAACCGTAAGAAGCATCACGTCCAGGCTAGCGGATCGCGAAGGGGCCTGCCTCGGCAGTTTGGAGTTGCTGGGCTGCTACGAACTGCGGAATCCGATCCTATCAAGTGTCCGTTGCTGGGGTTATGGGCTCTTGACTCTACGACTACACGCCATATGCAGAGATCCCTGCAACCGTACATACCCCGTACCCGGCCGTCGTGGCCAAGAAATCCGATTTGTGAGCCGAAAGCAGCGCCAAGGCTCGTGCGGCCCCTGCGGAAATGGACGGGCGCATGGCAGCGCTGCTTTTGACTCACGGGTCGCATTTCTTAGGCCACGCCTATGTATGGCCATGAACATACATAGAATTCACGACTGCATGCCGAGTAGCCTTGCTCCATGGTGGGGGATCCAGTAGGCAGTACATTACTACATGTCCATTGAAGTCTTGCCAGATACTACAAGTAAGTTTTCTCTTCCCAGATCGAGGCAAGCGGAGTTGGAGGTCTTTCTTGGTTGCACTACAGCAATCACACAGCAGGTAAGTGGCATCCTTCTACTACATAATTATAGTACATTGTACCTCTAGTTATCAGGTTATCGATAGTCTGGCTTTTGATTGACTGGTAAGGTACTTTCAAGGCACTGGCTGCCCAGATCAACAGGCATTGTTTTTAGGTGCAGTGTATCCGACGTGCGGCTCGTGCACGCAATCACTTGGCCTCGTGCTAGTGCCAGTAGTGGCGGTAACAAGAGAACGAGTATGGCTGTAGATATGTCATGTAGCTAGCCAGGCACAGCACATTATGCGGTTTTGTGTGTCTTTGTCTGGCAGGAGCATGCGTGCCACGGCGTTTATACTCGTCTTTGTCTAGGCAGACTCTGCACCTGCGCCTTGATCCTAGAGCCTGGTGGCGTTCCTGCGGATGCGGAAAACTCGGCCTCCAATCGATCCCGAGTCTCCCGCGAACCGTGAAATTTTTATAATTTTGTCTAGGCGGGGATCACTTTGTGTTGTACTGTTATGGAGCCATGTACATACACGTTATGTATAATAATGTGAGAGATCATCTCGGCTTGGTTGAACAGACATGTTCTGTGTGGCTCTGCCCATACTCCATAGGGAATACGATCATGTACGTGTACATTGTACATGTCCTAGAGATAGCCCTTGGCGGTTACACTGCCCGGGCAGAAAAATCGGCAGGATTTGGTACTTTGTCTGGTACATTTCATGCACGTTTGGTACGTGGATAAAGAAGGGAGGTAATAGGTACACAGCAGATCGTGTAAGCAGAGCGGCCAACATCGCCTACCCGCTCAATTGTATCTAGTGTATAAAAAGGTTACTTTGAAGTAAGTTAGTCAGTAGTCGCTAAATAATTGTATCCAGTGTATAAACAAACCAGCTAAGGAAATGTAGCCTATGTCAGGCCATCAACATGCCTGAGATAGCTCGTGTCTCTGTACAATGTATTTGTGTTCATAAAAAGGACATACGATGGTGTAATAACTCCAGAGGGCTCATAACGGGTGGAAGCAAACTGGGTGCGCACTAGGCATTTCCCAAATCGGCCCGATTTTTTCGCCTAATCGGCTTTTTGAGCGGCTAAGAGAATGTCCAAATTCGGCCGTGTCATGAGCTCTAAAGTTAGAATTTGGCTGAAAGCGGTACTTGAAGTCACCTCTCGCAGTATAGAATGATGTACTTTTAGATGGACACTGTAGAGGCACTAAAACATCCATTTTCGGCGAATGCAGCGCGACATTTGTAAATTCGGCGGAATTATCGGCGATTTCTTGCCATTGATTTCGGTGTCTTTTCCTGCCGAAAGTTTTCGGAAATGTCTAAAGTCGCAGTCATTTTTCGCAGATGGCGGCTACAGAAATTGTATTTGCATGCTGTTGAGGCACCAAAAATCGATTTTCGGCGAATGCAGTGCGAAAATTGCGTATTCGGCGAAAAGATCGGTGATTTATTCAAAACCACTGTTTTCGGCGAATTTTTCGGCCGGCCGATTTGGGAAATGCCCTAGTGCGTACAGGAGAGATGAATTACTATGGGCTGGACCCAGTATGAATGGCAGTAGGCAGTGAAGTTAGTTCCACGTGGTACTGAGCCGTGAAAAATAGGAAGGGTGTATGTGCTAGCTCTAGTCTGCTGACGGAATCAGTGGTGGTGGGGTGTCAGGTACCGGCAGGTGCCATAGCTCAAATCGAATTTGAATTATTCGGGTAAGTCAAACACACTACATGTATAGTATCCTCCAGGGTCGTGGATCAGGCGATGGAGCTCAAGAATCAAGGAGGCACTGATTGTGGCTCCACCATGCAGACAGGTCCAATGGAAGTGCGCGAAAAGTATAGCTTTGGGCTCCGTTTGAGGAGGAAGCACGCAGTGCTTCCACAGAATCACGTGCGCCGTTTTGGAAGAAGCAGTCAGTTTCTAATCCTCAGATGTGTGGCCAACTGCTTGAAGGGGTGATAAAATATTCCAGAAGTCAGCTCTCTCTTTCTCTCTCTTTCTCTCTCTCTTTCTCTCTCTCTCTCTCTCTGTCTCTCTCTCTCTCTCTCTCTCTCTCTCTCTCTCTCTCTCTCTCTCTCTCTCTCTCTCTCTCTCTCTCTCTCTCTCTCTCTCTCTCTCTCTCTCTCTCTCTCTCTCTCTCTCTCTCTCTCTCTCTCTCTCTCTCTCTGTGTGTGTCTATGTCTGTCTATGTCTGTCTATGTCTGTCTATGTCTGTCTATGTCTGTCTATGTGTGTCTATGTCTGTCTATGTCTGTCTATGTCTGTCTATGTCTGTCTATGTCTGTCTATGTCTGTCTATGTCTGTCTATGTCTGTATATCTGTCTATGTCTGTCTCTTTCTGTCTCTTTTTGTCTCTTTCTGTCTCTTTTTGTCTGTCTGTCTCTTTCTCTCTCTGTCTGTCTGTCTCCATCTGTCTGTCTGTATGTCTGTCTGTCTGTCTCTCCCTGTATGTCTGTCTGTATGTCTGTTTCTCTCTCTCTCTCTCGTTCTCTCTCGCTCTTTCTCTCTCTCTCTCTCTCTCTCTCTCTCTCTCTCTCTCTCTCTCTCTCTCGCTCTCTCTCTCTCTCTCTCTCTCTCTCTCTCTCTCTCTCTCTCTCTCTCTCTCTCTCTCTCTCTCTCTCTCTCTCTCTCTCTCTCTCTCTCTCTCTCTCGCTCTCGCTCTCGCTCTCGCTCTCGCTCTCGCTCTCGCTCTCGCTCTCGCTCTCGCTCTCGCTCTCGCTCTCGCTCTCGCTCTCGCTCTCGCTCTCGCTCTCTCTCTCTCTCTCTCTCTCTCTCTCTCTCTCTCTCTCTCTCTCTCTTTCTCTCTCTCTCTCTCTCTCTCTCTCTCTCTCTCTCTCTCTCTCTCTCTCTCTCTCTCTCTCTCTCTCTCTCTCTCTCTCTCTCTCTCTCTCTCGCTCTCGCTCTCGCTCTCGCTCTCGCTCTCGCTCTCGCTCTCGCTCTCGCTCTCGCTCTCGCTCTCGCTCTCGCTCTCTCTCTCTCTCTCTCTCTCTCTCTCTCTCTTTCTCTCTCTCTCTCTTCTAAAACAATCATGGCACTGTGCCTCTCCTTATTCTCTCCATTGTCATTGGACATATTTGTCCGTTTTGGTCTGCGAATCCAAATTTAATAAAATCAACCTCACTATCACTGGCGTTTCCCGTTTCCATTCTCGGCTAATAGCTAGTGATCGAATATTAAATTTGATACTTTGGGGCTACCCGCGTACTTTGAAGTACTCGTTTGTGCGTGAAGCATCCGAGTACAGTCAGGGCTGTGTCCCACCAGCTTGTGTAGTTTCATACCGGTAGGAAGCACGAGTGTCTAACTCTAGGGAAGGTGTTGACTGTCTCTGCATGGATGACAGCTAGACCCATAGCTCGGTGGTTAGAGCATCGCTGGCCGCAAGCGAAGGTCCCTGGTTTGCGTCATCACTTTTCCTTTCTCTTCAAGGATATCACAGGGAATGGCTGAAATGAAAAAAATAAGACTCCAACTAACAAAGCATAAAGGTAACAAGATATCAACAGTTGTCACAAGGTGATTTAAAGCTTACCCTGGCTCATGGCCAGTGCTCCACCACCAAGCCACTGTGCAGGCATCATCCCACCCTGGCTCATGGCCAGTGCTCCACCACCAAGCCACTGTGCAGGCATCATCCCATCAGTGACCATTCTTATTATTCTTAGTCTTGATGCACAGTTAATAATAATAATAATCATAATCATCATGAAAAACTTTATTAGGATGACCCAAAGGCTGGCCGCCTATCGCGGAGTCCGTCGCAGTGTTGATTTTTTCCTTCCAACTCCGGTCTGCTTCTTCCTTGTCGGGGGGGGGGGGGGGGGCCTACATAAAAAGAATTTATCCTTTAGGATTCCTTTGGTTTTTGGCTGCTACCGCTACGCCTTGTGTATGTGTGCGTGTGTGTAAAAATGGAGAATGAAAAATAGGTATCCATTGGCCAGAAAACGGCCACTTCAATCAGCTGTGTGGTGTAGATCAGGCTCAAATTAGAGGCGGGCAATTCATCAGCCTTTCAAGCTGTTGAATAGTGTGTAATCCCAGCACAAGTTGCTATGTCTGACATAGCTGTTCGCTATCATCGCTTCCGCGATGGGCATGTGAAAGTGACTGTGCACATCTGTTTCCTTTCTGCTACAGTGTTGACCTTGCGAGAATCTCAGTTGAGGTGCTAGTGCTGACCTTCGGACACATAATGGAAGGTTTCAAGATTCTCGTTTGCCTGCTGGTTATCCAGGTGAGCCAAACTTCATGTGCTGGTTCATACATGACGTGAGACACCATGATCCTTTGAAGTTTATTTCTCATAGCCAAGCAAACTGAGCCATGGTCAATTTGAACTATTTTTCTGTACCAGAGATCCCGGTGTGTGCAGTGGGGCTTGTGAATTGCTTGCGAGGTTGTTTGCAAAAAATTGTCAGCTTTTTCTGCCTGGTCAGCTCTTAAAAGCGATTGGCAAAGGGGTTGTGCGGGCATCACTGCAAATTATAATTGTGCCTGAGTGAAGATTTACACTGCTCATTTTAAAAAGGAGAAGTTCACCCAAAACCGACCACTTCAAAGCTTGACATGATCGTGCACCATTCAATGGTTTTAAGAGTCCCAGGCTGATCGGAACACCTGCCACAACGGCTCCAGAGTTACCAGCAGCACTGACAGCATTGTGACGGCTGGGCATTCTCACTAATATTTGGTGACACTACGCTGATGCTCTAGCTTGCCCGGCTCTGCGACGCTGATGCTCTAGCTTGCCCGGCTCTGCGACGTCACAGAGATACATTTTGCCACTGCTGAAATTCTGCCTGATGATTTCCTTGCGCACTGCTCCGACACAGTACCAGTAGCTTGAGCAAATCACTCCAAGTCATTCCCCGTACGCCTACATGCATGAGGGAAGAGATTTGCATATTCTCGGATCGTTTTCGTCATGGTTACGTCGAATTCTACCCACATGGCCCAATTATTTCTGCATGGATCCGTAGACTCTTGGTCTGGGATTGTACATGTATGCCAGTCTTCTTTACACGGAAAGTCTAAACTGTAAGACCACCTCAATTAAAGTTAGCGAAATCTGGATTTTTGTTGGTTAGCGAGGTGAAAATTTAACGAATTCTAGCTGTCGAAACCCAGTGAATTACTGTGTATATGCATGCACATCGTTTTGCACATAACGACTTCAAACTTTAACGAATTGTTTAAATTCGTATGTCGTTAGAATAAAGTGTTCGTTACTGTGTGATCTTACAGTAGCTTCGACTAACTCAAGCTGTGTATGTGTTTTTTCTTTCTTTCTGACAGTTGATGCAGTCCACCAGCGTATTGACTGCTAGCATTGGACAGGGTAAGGTTTGCCATTAGGACTTGACGCACGCTTGCTCTATTGCTTGTCAAACCGAACCGCTTTCTTCCGCAAAAAGACGCGGCATACCTTTGCCTGCAGTACATCCAGAGCTGAAAGTTGCTGTGCAGTCATGCGGCAGTGCCAGACCGGAATTGCACATTCTAACGCAGGCAAAACATGCTGTTTGTATAGCAATAATGTTACAGATGGTGGTAGGGACCGTGCCATAAAGCATAGCAAACGCACTCTCAAGAAAAGGGACGAATGGCGTTATAGTGGGGATCATACGTCAGTTGCACACCTAGGTTCTTACAAGTGTCCACGCGACAAAGGTCGATGCCATTGATCCGAGGCTGCAGTGGTGGCGGACAAGAGCCTTTTAAAAGCGTGTTTACTAGTAGAGAGAACTGTTGTTTTCTCTGGGCCGGGAATGCGCCACCTACGGACTTGGCCCAGGTCTGGCAGTTGGACAGATCAGTCTGTAACATCTGCTGATTGTTGGACTGGATTGTGTACCTTACTCAAATTGGGGAGTGACGTCTTCAGCAAAAGTAGTAGGGCTGCGAATACTTTATAGCACTAGTAATCAAGTTGATTGATATAATACAAGAAAGAGAGGGGTGCTAGGTTAGACCCTTGGGGTACATTGCACGGTTCAGGGAGTAGTTGGTAGATGCAGTACGCATTATTGCAATAGGCATGTTATGTCTGCAGCAACCTGTTCATATCCAGAAGTTGCATGAACCACCGAAAATTTCTGCTTTTCCAGTATGCTTACCGTGTTGTTCCGGAGTATAAGCCACGCTTTGAAGGCTCGAAATTCACCCCCAAAAAAGGGGATTGTGGCTTAGGCCACCCTTTGTTAATTCATTGTTTAACGTCCTTTTTTTCGCGAAAAGGTACGCGGGAGGGCGGAAAAAAAACAAAAGCCCATTCCAAAAACTGGAAACCCCAATCAAAGATTCTGACCAGTAAAGCATGTGATATATACAATATTTCTGGGTCTAACGGCACTTGCAGGCATAGAACAACACTCTTTGATGGTACATTGGAGCACATGCCTGATGAATCCAACAAAACAGGTACATAGCATGGCGTTAGCATGTCATGAATTCATTACATCTGGATTTTTACTAGGACACACACCGTACGATATTTAAAAGCCAACAAAAAAAGAAAAAGAACACAAGACAAAGGCATGCCCGGGAGGCAAGATTATAAGTTTAAGGTCATGATCGGCACACTGTGAAACTACACAATCATGTATTTACAACTTCGCATATTATTGGTACTACTACTTTCTTGTTTTTTTTTTCGGTCGGAGGGAAAAAGGCACGCGGGCGCGGACGTTAAACAACGAAAAAAGAAAGGGTGGCCTTATACTCCGATGGCCGAATTAACGGTGATAAAATGCATAACTGTCTGTATTTCGTGGCAAAAATGGGGGGGGGGGGAGGGGCTTGTACTCCAGTGCGGTTTAGACAGTACTCCTGAAAATATGGTATACTGCACCGGATATGCCCTTTACTGCAACTAATACTTTCATCTATACATTGTTATGATTGTTGTGTGTTTGTCCCATGCCTATGTCCATTCTAAGGTGATCTGATTTTCACGGACGACGACAACGAAGCAAGCAATGCCACTTCTGTTACAGCGGCCCCTGCTGCTGGTTCCGATGTCTTGGATGGCGTCAGTGGCTCCGGCTCTGGTGACGGGCTTACCGGTGGCCTCTTCGGAGATTCAGCTTTTGTTGATGACTCTATTCTTTCTGGTTCTGGCAGCTCAGGCGCAAGTAAGTATAACATATTTCACGTTGATAGTTGGCTATGTTGTAGCAGTGCATTGCGGAAGTTACATCGGGAGCGTTTTGTACCCTCGCCTGCTGTGCCTGCCTGCTTGGCTAGATTTGCATTCAAACACGTTTCTGAGCGCCACGTGAGCGGCTCGTGTCCTTTCCTTTAAAAGGATTGTGAGTTCTAAACAAGCTTGAATCTCTTCCATATCACAACAACACACTTCAAAGAAGTGAATAATTATAGTGGGTTGCACACTCAGTGATAAGTAAACAGTGTATTACACACCATGCACATAATTACCATGACATCATGGTAATTATCATGACATCATGGTAATTATCATGACATCATGGTGTTTGTACTGAGTGCACACTGTGACTCACTATATTCATTGCGTTACAAAATACACACTGATTTTCTAATTCTTACGGAATAGATATGTCGTATGACCGTTCAATAATATCACGTGGTTTTTGCTACATAAATTCGGGCCATGATCAACAAGACCAGACCTATGTCTATGAGTCCAAACTTTAACTGACCCTGCTTTTCACTGGTTTGAGGGAAAGACCCTGGTTTCTTCATAGTTGATAGTCGTATAAGCAAAGCTCGCTGCTTTAGGAGCTGCATCCGGGCCGCACCTTGATCCATAGAAGGTCGTGGCATTCCTATGGATGCCGAAAACTAGGCCTCCAGCTGAGTCTCGCACTAACAGCGAACCTTTTTACTCAATCAATCTTAACGATTTAAAAAGTATGTCCACGTCAGTCCCTACCCCCCCCCCCCTGCCCCCCCCCTCCTTCTCTTGTGTAGCATGTCAAGGTGCGGAACCGCCGTGGAATGTACATCTCATTTACATTAGGTGGATCTGCATTTCTTTTCCAGCAGCTTGTTGAGCGTCTCGCACTCCTAAATGATAAGTCCGTTGATTTTTTTGGATACAGATCGTCGAGCACACAGCAACACAAACACCTAGTAGAGTTTAGTGTTCCTTACTGGTTCTTATGCTGTCCAGCGTCCAGCAATAGGTCACGCATACACACACACACACACACACTCTCACGCACACACGCACACACACTCAGACGCACACACACACACACACACATGCACGCGCACATGCACACATGTGTGTCCTCAACATATGGTCGCTGAGACTTGACACACACATGGTCACTAAGACTTGCTCCTAGACACATGTAGATGAAACGTTTGGTTTTGAGAGTTATTTTGTGCTGTACATCGCTCTGTTTCTTCTCTATGCAGATCCAACGAAAGAGACCGCAGATAAGAGCGAGTACATAGAATAGACACACCGGCACTAAAATACCAAGATGCTTTACCGAGGTTTTCGGGCCGAGATTTCCCATTAATTTTTTTGCCGTTTATTAAAAGTTATTTGCAGCATATGCTAGGTGAAGCTTGGCAATATGCACCAGTTTCTTAGCACACAAAGGAAAGCTTGTCAAGTGAGTCAATTATCGTTGCCCACATGCTACACGCTACATCCAGGCCATGTTCTCATGTCACCTTGAGTCCAGCGTGACACGAATGTGCAATTGCTCACGACAGCCTCCGTTGCGTGTCCTGCTATTGCTTATCAGTTAGTTGTTACGTCGGTCTGTCTGTGCGTTTGTCTTTGCAGCCATTGCCACTTTTCGTTTCATCTCTGTTCAAGCCTATTCCTTGCACTACTTATATTCAACCTTGAAACTAGCCTGTTTCATAGCATTTACTGCGTGAGTTGATGTAAAAGCAGGTTGCATGTCACATGTGCGTAGTCTAGCTACACAGGTGTCTCCTCTTTGCATGCATCAAAGTGAGAGCAGTATATTCTGCAGTATACAGAAGACTGTGCGAAGTCCTGTGGGATCTGAGAGGCTTTGGGATCTGAGAGGCTGTGGGATCTATGAGGCTGTGGTATCTATGATGCTGTGCGATCTGTGAGATCCACGCGGCCGGCCGTGGGATCTATGAGGCTGTGGGATCTGTGAGCCTGTGAGATCCACGCGGCCGTGGGATCTGTGAGGCTGTGGGATCATATGCCTCAATAGTCATCATCATCACCAACATGTTTTAGTATGTACAGTAAAACCTGGTTTAAGCGACCACCCTACGGTGCAAGCAAAAGCAATCGTTAAAGCCAGGTGGTCTTTAGAACCAGGTCCCACAGTGTGTTTGTGTAGAACTGTCGGTGCATGGAAAAACGGTCGTTAAGAGCAGGTGGTCGCTAAACCCAGAGGTCACTTACACCAGGTTTTACTGTACTTGTTTTTTTTAAATTGTTTTACTTCGCAAATCGAACGGACATTTATGCCCGATGTTATGACGACGATGGAAAGGGAGAAAGGGAAAAGCTAAGACAACTTGGTTAAGTAGGGTGAAGAAAACAGTACCAACTGAGCCTACTGTTCTCGCGGGCTGGAGAAGGACCATGCTAGCATGAAAGCCATGACAGTTTTTGAAAGTCCCTCCGCCCCCTAAAGGCTAAAGTCATCTTGCCTGTCGAGGCGGTCTCCATAATCGGAAGTGTGATAACAGGCGAAGGAGAAGTCTTTGTCAAACCACTAGCACTGGAGCTCATACATGTATTTCGCCAAACAGCTGCAGGGGCACCATGTCACAGTCCAATTCCATGAAACCACGTCTCGTTACGGCCTGAATGCTATTTCATTTTTGGCAGCAGACAGATGGAACATGCTTGCAGCTGGATGTCGTCAAGCTAAGCCCCTTTTGTCACAAGCACCCAGTCATTCCTAGGGTTCCCAAATGTTACGAGTTATGACTAATTATCCACCATGTACCAACGTAACCAGATCATACAGTCAGCGAGTGCGACAAAATTAATGGCACAAAACTGACAAGTGGTACTGGGACATTCAGCGACCTGATACATAGCTCCAACACTTCTCCAAGGCGCAGACCAACAACCTTCCAACTTGGAAGGCTCAGGTTCGAAAAAGTTCAAGAAGGGAAGGAAAGCGCAACGAAGAAGAGCACGAGCTACGCCCTCACGGCAAGAAAGAATGCCGAAAGTGACTGGATGATAACGAAATTAGTACTTGACTATTGGACATATCGGTACCGGCCTTACTACAACTCGTCGACGCAAAGCCATTTTGTCGCACATTATGATCTGGTTACGTCGGTGGACAGTCATAACTCCTAACATGTTGCCCTTCTCCTTTTTTAGATTTTTACCATAACTAAATTGGCTCACCATCCGAATAATAATTTTGAAATCTGAAGAGAATGTATTAAAAACGGTCTCTGCTGGCTTGACAGCTACACCGGGCAGTGGTTTGAGCATCGCTGGCCTCAAGCGGATTTCCCTGGTTCGAGTCCTGGTGGTGACAGTCAATTTTTTCAGACCTTCCCTTTTCCATACCCTCGTGAATATTTTGAAAAAAATACTTAAATAGTATACTCGGGATCAACTGGTGAGGGGTGAGCGCCCCCGAACACTGTGTACTGTCAACTGGTGAGGGGTGAGCGCCCCCGGCCCCGAACACTGTGTACTGCCAACTGGTGAGCAGGGATTGTGGTGCTTTCTTGCAGCTTGGCTGAGTGGAAGATTTGATGCGCTTCATAATCATAGAGTGCGCCATCCGGCAGTTCGTAAGAGCCATCTTCACATATCACCGCCGAAGTCGCAACACCGTACTCCATAACAACAACTTACTTGGCAGCGACGAAGAGGCACAAACAGACACCCTCCAAAAGTGCTCGCTTTCCCACGAAAACACCTGGCAAATAATTAATTAAATTCCACAAAGTCCAGGTCCCGCATGGAACACCAAAAGCGGTCCGCTTTTCGGAGCCCGATCCACCCCCACCCCATGCAGGGTCCCATCCCTATATAGGATCCCGCGAATCTCATGCAGGGTCCCATTATAGGATCCCGCGAATATCTAGGGTCCCGCTGATCGAGACAATTTTGTAGACTCTACTGTTGTCTGTTGATCTCTATCTGGATCCAGCCTGGCAAATCGAGAAAACATCTTTGCGAATCAGTGCCATGTTTGGGGTGACCTGTTCTGTGAAACGTCTCCGATCCGTTGAGTAGCATTTCTGCGAGAGTGGTTCTAGTTCTGTGGACCAGTTTTCGGTGAACGGTCGTAGATCCGTTTCTGACATGTCACATGACAATCGACATGGCAACAGCGAATCCTAGCGCGACTTGCCGTGCTTTGAATCAGCCACTGAAGACCTGTGAGCGCTTGCAGGTCTCCGATTTTCCAATCGGAGCACGCCCAGGCGTGCTCCGATTCAGCCATCAGAGGCCGCTTTTTTTTTTTTTTTTTTTTTTTTTTTTTTTTTTTTTTTTTTTTAGGCGGGAGTTTTTTAGGCGGGAGTGGAGCGCCGGTATGAAAGACTAAGTGCATAGTGCATTATGGTTGAAGAATGCAGATGTGCAGGGACTTGCTACAAGTGCTTTGTTAGTTTGATGTTGAAAGTGAATAAGTGGTGGTTGTGAAGAATAACAGGACATGTCAGTGATTCAAAATTTCGCGTTGGACCTGGAGGAGGAGGAGGAGGAGGTTGCGGACATTGCTTTGGGCAGTGAGCCGCCAGCCAAAAAAGCTCGTTTCGCTGAAAGTACCCTTCAGGATGTGGCGAATATCATCGAGAGTCGTGTGCCGATAAGTACAAAGCGCACAACCGAAGGCTGGGTGAAAGTGTTCGAAGAATTTTGTAAGCAGAGGAAGTTGGCTGTCAACCTCAAAACAGACTCTCCTGGAGTTATAAGCGATGCTCTGGCTCTTCTCTACATTAGTCATTATGTAACATGTCTGAAGTACTAAACTGGCGACTAGTTGTGTTCCTTGTCTGGTCTAGTGTGCGTGCCTTGAGTAGGTACTAGGTATGTGTGAAGTACTACATGTATGATGTAGTAGTACTAGTAGTAGTACGAAGTAGTTCGTGCAATGCATGTCAGAAATGGTATCAAAGCATTCGTACTCGGACTCAAGTGCTAGAATCGGAGCCCTCCGCGCTAGCGCGCGTCGGGCTCCGATTCCGCACTTTCGTCCTCGTACTCATGCTCGATTCCATACATCAAACCACTACAACTACTTACACAGTACAAGTATTATTCTTTATTTCCACGATGGTCCATGGCCAATTAGGAAGATTATTATGGTTCAAATCAGTCTACAATCATTATAAAATCAATCTAGCAACTTGTAGTCTTTACAACAAATCGCGGAGGGGCGGGTGGGTTACGATGGCTTACAGTGTGAGCTACTACTTGAGCATACGGATGATAGAGTGAGGCTAGACGCTTTTGACTTAAACACATAATACCGGTCCACGTACATGTACATGCTACGCCGCAATTTCAGTATTTATTTCACGCAGGTAATGTAGTTTCACGTACAGTGTACAAGTAGTTGGTTGTCTTCTGCAGAGACGTGCGACGTTACTTTGTACAATCATGTACATGTATTTGTAATTTGTCTTTAAAATTTAATTATGGATTCTCCACAGGCTTTATCCTGTACATGTATGATGCGTGCGTGCGTGCGTTTCTGGTCCACTTTTGAGCTTTGCCTCACAGACCACATGTAGTCATGAACATACATGTACAGCCAAGAGTCCATAACTCTCGCCTCCCTTTAGTTATGGACTCTAGTCTTGGTTGTATGAACGTGAGGCAAAGCTCAACAAATTAATTGCAAAAGTGGACCAGAAATGAAGAAGCTTGCCATGGATCCGCCCCACTGATCTACGATCGTTCACCGAACACTGGTGTACAATTACAAGCTTCTCTGGTATATTTCTTGCATGTTGGTGTATCGCTGCTTGTTGAAGAGCAAGCAGCAGCAGCAGCAGCAGCAGCATTCGGCCCTGTACAGGTTTTCACTGACCGGCACCACACAGCATAACAGCTGTATGAAGGAATTCAGTACCAACGGATGTGTTGTCCCTTTGCTGGTGGTGTGCAGTGGCAACGTATCGAGGTCGGCTGGAGAGCGAACTTATGGTGCGGTGGTTAGTGACAAATCAATCTGAAATCAAATGAAAACTTAAGAAAGACAAAAAATCGCGGAGGGTGAGCAGACGCACAGTTTGAGCTACTGCAGAAGCATATGGGTTTTTGACAATACGGTACTCTCCCCCTGTACATAATCGGCGCTCTGTTTCTTTTCTGGTGGCAGATCGGTGGAATGCTCTTCCTCCCAACTGTCGTATTGGTATTGGTATTCATTTATTTGAATTCGGTATCTCAACAGTACAATGTACAACTTGGGAAGATCCGAATGACATAGATACATAGACATAAAAGTGGAGTAGGTGCTACAGCTGATCATTTTATCGCAGGTTGTGGGACTAAACTAATACCAGTATGCAAGTACACAAGAAATAAAAGCTGAATAAATACGACTGCATGACATTGGAGAAACGTCAGGCAAAATCTGCTGATACAGTACTACTAGTCGTAGTATTTATTATTAATTACTAGGGCAATCCCCACAGACTGTTTTTACAGAGTACTAGTACAGCCAACCGGGTTATGGTTGTAGTCAGGAGCACTACGCGTCCTCGCCTTGTAACATGCTGTCGAAATCGAAAAACATGTTTCCCTAGGTATTAAAGTGCGTGAAATAGAGCTGAATGAAGAAAGCCGTTGGTGCATGGAATAGAGTAAAGAAAAACAGTACTACTAGTACTTTGCTCACCGTACCCTGCGTTATCGGGGTATATCCAGCCCCCCCCCTCGTAATAAGGCCAAGCCTCTTGCGATTCCCAGAGTCAAATAATCAACTCCACTACTAGTACTACTGTACTACTACTCCTAAAAGGTGAAAAGTAGCCGCGGCACCCAACGGAGCACTTGCTCCTTGCTGGTGGCAGATCGGTGGAATTCTCTTCTCCCAACTGCCGTCAGGCGAAATCTGCTGGTATTTTGCTGACCGTAAACAGTTTACCCAGGGTCCTCCCGTAACGAGGCTCTGCCTCTTGGGACTCCCATAGTCAAAATCATCAACTCCACTATATACTACTGAGTCCTAAAAGGTGAAAGGTAGGCACCATAACTGCACTCAACGAAGTCACTTGCTCCAATATTTGGATCCCGAATAGCGGCAGTGATTATAACGAAAGTTGCGCACGAATTGCGAACTGCTGACATGACATGGTTGGCGCGTGGGATAGATAGGGAATCCAAAGCGGGCGCCGCTGTCGATATTTCCCGGCGCTCCCGTACATACAAGGAGGGTGCCATGGTACGGCATGAACGCTTTCGGCAATCACCCACTGCTCATTGCGCTGGCTTCGTCCGGACATATCTTCACCAACTCGCGCTACTTCCGTCCTCAGATATCGAGAAGAGTTGCCATAGACAAGTAGCTGTTTTCCTTGTCTACCACGTTGCCACAGGCGTAAGTGATTGCCCTAGTTTGACTCCAACACGGCAACAGCGTGTCTTCTTCCATTGCAAAACGATTCTTGACCTTGAAGATAGCGTTGTCCTACTTCTTCCTTTTTTGGCCAATCTTTCCAGCAGAAGAGTGTCATCGACTGAGTTTCGACGTGTTTGTCACGAAGAAGTAAGTCATTCTGCTCGACTCAACTGGTTTGTTGTTGTTGTTGTTGTTGTTGTTGTTTCAAATCTTTATTCTCACGATAGCCAGTGGCCAATAAGAGATGCTTGTTGTTGTTGTTGTTGTTGTTGTTGTCGTTGTCGTTGTCGTCGTCGTCGCCGTCGTTGTCGTTGTTCCCGTAAAGGGACAATTGGTTTCCCCCAACATGCCAAAATATTAGGGTACCCTGTAAAAAGGCCTTGGCCTGTGACCATGGTGCGTCAGACACTAGACTAGAGCTAGAGAGGTGCAAGTTATTTCCGATGTGACGCGCAATTTCACGTCAAGTCAGGCGTAAAACTCCAAATTATTATTTCGACGTGAGCTAGCTGCGGCCTGCGGGTCACTCGCGTTGTTTTTTCGACGTTAGCCTCTTTTGCGGGCAAAACCAACAAAGCAAAAACCAGCTGCTCTGAAAAACTTCTAGAAGGCCCAGGGAAACAAAACAGAAATCGGGTCACCAGCTCCCGGCACATGGTTTGCAAACAGGGCCCGATATGGCTACGAGTTGTCATGTACTTGTATTTTGAAAGGCTCAGTCCGACAGTCGGCAGATACATGTAGAGAAGACGGCAATTGCGCATGCGCACCCCTTCGGTAATCCGGAGCGTTTGCTCCCATAAAAATAATGCCTGGCCTCGGCACATTTTTTTGTACTTCAAAAGTTCAAGGTGCATGCATTCATGAATTCAGGACAGGCGCTAGGCATGCACGGCCGGGAACTCGTGAGTGCACGAAAGTAGTTCGTTGAGGTATGGATTGTGGTGCCTTCCTCTTCTCGTCAGCACTAGTGCCTACAACATAGTGAGGTGTTGAAGATCATGGCCGAACCTGCTGAAAAACGATTTGAAAGCGGTAGTGATCAGGATATGTCAGAAGTTATTCAAAGCAGGATCTCCGCCCAAACGAAAGAAGCCATGTAAGACTGGCTGAGAGTGTTTTCACTGAGTTCCATTTTGCAACAGGCGAAAGTCGATCCTTTGGATTATTGCAACGAAGATGAATTGCACCAACATCTTCGTGAAGCTTATGCTGGCACGGAGCGTCAAAATGGTAGGTGCTACCAGCGTTCTATCTACTTGTGCCTCCGTTGCTCTTCGGAGAATATCAGTCTTGGATTTGTGTAGGTACTAGGTGCAACTGTAAAATCAGGTGCAGAGTTTTTCTGCAAAATAATTTAAAATTGTTTAATACTGCGAAGAATGTGCGACTATAATAATTATACACTGGTTGCTGAACGATGACAAGTGCATAACTTCCCTTGAGCCCCTTTATCTGCAGCAGCAGGTTAGCTGCTGCTCCTGCATCAACTTGTGTAGTTACTATTGTTGTTTTGGAGTGTTGGTCATGTCATGTCATTAATTTAAATACAAAAATGCATTGTGGCCCTGGCCGCTGGTCTGTCACTGGCAGGTTATTGAGCTCAGCTAAACCCTGGGGCCTGCGGCCTACAGCGCGAGGGCTTTGCTTCCGTCAATAACCTGGCAGACTGCCTGCGCTACCATGCCATAATTAGCATAATTATAGTGGCGAATGCCGGTCACGTCACCTTACGTAAGTTGTCATGATCGGACCCGGCTGGAAGCCCCTAGATATGGTATGCCTTTGGGGAATCAATGTACATGTACCGGCTATACTCCTCTCCTCCGAAAAGGCTTGTCACCGACTGTATTACTGAGTAGGACAATCGGATGGACATGGTCAATTATTTATTATGTAAAAAAATAGCCACGAGGTACTGCTGTTATACTGAAGAAAAGAACAAGCTTCAGGATCCTCCCAATGAACATTTTCAAAAGCCTTCCACTAGTACGTTCACTGTCTTCTTATTAGATGGAATCATGCAAAAAGGAAGTGAAAAGCACAATGACTTCTTCATCAGAGATGTGATAGAAACAGCACAAAGAAGAAAGCCAGTAAAAGTTGCACCCTCACCTTCTTTATCATTTCGTTTTATGTTCACGAGGTTATGCAATGTACTGTGTTGTTTCTGGCTTCCCTTTTCTCGCTGTTGCTATCACATCATTCTCTGCTGTATATAATTTATTGTGCATGTTGAGTTTCTTTTTACCTCTATCCCACCTGAGGAGAAGACAGTGAAAGTGCCAGCAAAAACATATCTTTTTGTAGGGCTGTGTTCCCAGTAAAAATAAAAAATAAACATTTATTGGAAAATATGGATGCCGAGGAGCTTGACGTTTGTTCTTTTCTTGACTGTGATAGAATTTTTCTTGAGTGTGATACTTCCTCCGCGTCATCGGACATAGGCGACGGTCATCAGTATAGGGCGACGGCAAAGTTTTAATTTCTGTTATTGGAAGCTGAAATTTTTTAACTATACGCAATTTCTTCGCTGATGTCGCTGCGATGGTACTTTCGACTCGCTGAGATCAGTGAGGCGTTGCAGCCTGCACATTTCTCGTGCTTATAGCCATTCACTCAAAGCCTCATCGCTGGTTTACCTTGGCTGGGGTGGGAATGACTTCGTGGAACAAGCGGCAACGCTTGGAGAAACATCGAGGGGTCAGCAAACTAAATGCATGCAAGAGCGATAAAATGTGTCGCTCTAGCTCGAGACACTCAGGCTCTCAGTACATGATTGTACCTGCAAGAGCCGTGTAGACTCTACGTGTAGTGCTAGTGATGCACGCGCAGGTGCCGTACCAGTGATGCTGGAAAAGGGTGCGCGCTGGACGTGATAGTACACTTACCTGCATGAGCTGTGACCACACAGCTAAAATGAATGGGCATGCCACAGCTAAAAAAAAAGTTCATTTCAAGATCGAGGTGATTCCGCCGGCGGTAATCAACCAACCTCGCAACGATCGTGTATTCTTACTTCGTTGGTGGTGAAGTAGAAATCATCCAGAGCTAGAAGACGACAAGCATAGCAGCTTTTGTCCTGTGGAGAAAGTCAAAGCGTTTGAGATGAGGCACGACCAACTAACTTACTACCTTCCTTGAAATATTTCGGAACGATATTTTTGCGTCCATTGACATCAGCGACGACGAGGCCTTCATCTCTGGATGAAAACTCTCAGTCCAACTGTCCTGGAACATTACTCTAGCCTTCAGACTATCGTACTGTGTACTAATTTTGTTTGGTTTAGCTTGTGGAGTTGTCAGTAACAAGTGACAAGTCACTAGTCAAACTGCGACAATTTCGATGACGCGGAGGAAGTCGAATTTTTGTCTCCACTGTTCTACTACGGATTGCTCTTTCTCTCCTCTTGTATACTCTGACTAATGCAGTTCTTGGAGATAAATGATGTTGTTGTTGTTGTTGACTTTTATTTTACTTCACCAATTGCACAGGCATGATTGCCTTCTTACCGGCCTATAGGTCCGGTTCTCACAGAAAGATGAAGAAAATTATATGAGGAAATGTGGCAAAAGATATGTGCGATTTCGTTTTTCTGATATTTCCATTGACGATTGGTTGTATTTTTGCAATTTCCATCTCCGTGTGTGTGTTCGTTAACGGGTGCGTGACTGCAGCGCTGGTCTATTCTGAAGCGGAGATCTTTTGATGACCGTCGTGTGTGCGTGCAGCAATGGAGCATTACAAACTGCTTTCCGTTTTGCTGATCATCCAGGTGAGTTAACCCGGTTGCTAAGATAGTAACCCACTGCTGTACTGCTTTCCGGGTATGGCTTGTGTGTACATGTACTCGTAGCACGTAGGGCTGCAACAAATGCTGTAAATGGTTGAAGAATCCTTTCAATTTAAAAGAAGGAAGGTTCTAAGATTCTAGTACTGTTGAGTGTATGACTGTTCTCATCTTGCAGCACTTGTTATGACATAAGTATTCACTAGGGGTGAAACGATTACACTTTTCAACTATCGGTTAGCCTACCCTTGTATCGATTCGTTTATCGTTTATTATATCGATTACTGCGTCCTAGAATTTCCTATACTACGCAAAAACTTATTGACACAGCGCACCATCAAGGTTTCGAATTAAGATGCTGATTACAATTATTTTGAGTGCAGTGGCACATCATGTGCGGGTGCAGTCACTGCAGTGCAGACAGTCGGTACAGCAGTGCGCATGTGCACTGTCGATCCACATGTACAAAGTACAAGGTTACTGACATATACATGGAAATGTATGTACGTAACGTTATCTGGTCTTTCAGTACAGTCATGTACCTTGTACAGTTAAAATAAAAAATCGAAAGAGACAGCATACTGTAGAGGCAGAAAATTTCGTCGGTCAATAATTTCGTCCAACTCCAAAGAAGAGGAGTTCGTCCGGTTGAAAATTTCGTCCATGGATCATAAGAATGCATAGAAAAGCTGGACAAATCGATATTCGTCCTACATTTAATTTAGTCCAAAAGCTCCTTGGACGAAAAAGACGAAATTAAGTTCCAGACGAATATTTCTGCTTATACAGTAATCGAAATCGTTTGGTTGTAATGATCGATTAGACGGATAACCGATATAATCGTTTCATCCCTAGTATTCACGTTATCTGATGCAGAACAATACTATGCGTTAATTATCTACCGGTGTGTGCCAACTTTGAAGGCAACCTGTGGCAAGGTGTTACTACTTCGGTTAATAGTAATAATAATAATAATACCACAGCACGCGTAATAATATAATTATGTGGGTATAATTATACGTTCCGCTTCTATCCTATCTCCTATGATCAAATTCGGTTAATTGTTGCCATATTTGTAGTTTAATGCTCTTGGTATGCATATCCAGAATATATAGTAGATTTTGAGACTATGCATGGTCAGAAACCTGGTTTCGAACCTTCCTTTGAATGCAACCTTCCTTCCTTTGGATTCAGAAACAAATAGTCACCGAACCTTCTAACCTTTGTTGCAGCAGCCCTACAGTCCATTTCAAAAAATAGAGACGCATGGTATTTTCGAAATATTTCAAACTTGGCTGGAGCTTTTTGAGATTGTTTTTCGGAATATTACTCAGGTCCTTTCCGCAAATACTCTCACATACTGTATATCACCTTATTTTCGGTGTTGTAAAATTTCGGTAAAAGCCAACCCCTGACCTTTCGGTGTAAGTATAAATTCGGTATGTGGCACCAAAAAAAAAAAAACAAACAAAAAAACGCTCTTGCACTAGTACCGTAATATCTCCGGCTAGTTTCCACATACTTTGTATGTCATGTACCAGTAGACAATTTTTTTTTTAATTTGACAGTGATTTTCATGATTTTTACATATTTTTGGTATTATCGGAAAATTTGGGTGTAATGTTAAATTAGGTGATCCAGGACCAGTACCGAAGTTACCGACATTTACGTTACACCGAAGTAAAGATGTTATAGTAGATTTTTAGGCGATCGGATAGCAAACGCCCAGTTTCGAAATTTTTATGCACAAAGTGATCACAGATTTTATGTGGTATAGATGCTGGCCTAAAGGGTTTTTGAAATCGCGCGTCTGTATTTTTGAAACACACTGTAGTGTCTGTCAACCTGGTCAAATCCGAGATCGGGACAATGGCGTACCTAGGTATTAACATGTGTACTGTAAGACCAGTAATGTTAACGAACATTTAATTCAAAGGATCAGTCGGGGAAGTGACCTGCCTGAAAAGACCCACCAGGACTCGAACCCGGGACCTTGCTTGTCATGAGCAATGCTCTAACCACTGAGTTATGGGACCAGGCTGAACCTAGAAGGCGCTGACAAGTTCTTCACTCCAAAGGCAGCTCACAACACGTGCCACACATACTGATGGCACTTAGGTCTTTTTCCCTCCCCAGGGGGACCAACCACGGTCAGTTTCTGGAAACTACCAGAGGTGAAAGAAAGTGATTAATTTTTGAAAGGATTGGGAGAACTTCAAATTCAAAGGATCAGGGGAGGGAAAAAGACCTAAGTGCCATCAGTATGTGTGGCACGTGTTGTGAGCTGCCTTTGGAGTGAAGCACTTGTCAGCGCCTTCTGGGTTCAGCCTGGTCCCATCGCTCGGTGGTTAGAGCATTGCTCTTGACAAGCAAGGTCCCGGGTTCGAGTCCCGGTGGGTCTGGCGATTTTTCTCTTTTCAGGCAGTTCACTTCCTCGACTGATCCTTTGAATTTGAAGTTCTCCCAATCCTTTCAAGAACATTTAATTCTAACGATTTAAGGAATTTAAAAAATTTGAACAGGCGGCGAGGTGACAACAGTTTTAGGATTGCAATAAACAGAATCAGCTGAAGCGACATGTAACGAAGGTCTTATTGAGATGTAAAGTGGTGATGGACAAAGAAATAACGGTGATGGACATGTAATGTGAAGAACAATAATAGGAAAGGATGAAAAAAATTCGTTAACATTTTAAGTCGTTGTGTAGAAAACGATATGTACCATGTGCAGTCATTTGCCGGTTTTGAGACAAAATTCGTTAGAATTTCACGTCGCTAACCCACAAAAATCCGGAGATCGTTAACTTTAATTGACGTTAACATATCTGGTCTTACAGTATACAAATGTAGCTGTGAGGCATGTGACAAATGCACTTTTTGGTGCCTATTACCACCCGCCTTGATATCGGGACGGTCCCGGCCAAATCGGTATGGTTGGTAGGTATGCTAGTGCTGTACATGTACAGTGCTGGTCTGGCCATGCAATTTTATCTTGTACATCAAGTACTCGCCACTTGCTGTGCAGTCCTAGGCATGCAAACACTGGGATGTGAACAGAGCTGCACCGATAGGTGTACATGAACGTCCTGCACAAAGCAAATGCCAAAAGAGTGGAGATCCACATGAAGCTGCACAGGCAATTGAAACAGGTTTCATCTTTTTGACTTCTTCCACCACAACCTTTGTGAGCACAAAAGCACGTGGTTTTGACTGTTTCCTGTAGGGAACAACACCAGAATTAGTTCTTTCCCCGAAAACAGTAGCAGGCCACCCCTTGGGATGGCGACGGCACGTATTGTGGTTGAGGCGATTCATCTGCTGACAACAAATCACTTCAGGACACAGCTGCCGGGTTCCTATATCTTTCGGTTCAGAATCGCGTAGCCTACACCACAGCCTTCGACACAACATTTTTAACCAGGAACGTTTGCCATAGCAAACGAAATTGTTTCCACTCCTTCCAAGTTATAAAATGGAATGAAGAGCCTCGGCCTCGCGGAGGAGGTACATGGACATCTCCCCCTGTGACATTTTCCTTACACATCCATACACATCAGCGTAGATCTGCTGTCTGAATTCCACGGCAACAGAGAATGTCGACTGTTACAGGACGATGACGAGACCATCACGCTATTGGACAGTGAGGTACAACTACAACTCGAAGCAGCAAAGCCATGTACCACCCGACTTGGTTCAGGAACATTGAAGATAAATACGTACGGGGACGCTTTCTGACCGCGTATTATCTAGTTACAGTGGTGAACAGTTACTAGTATTCGTGACTCGTATCCATGGGCCCTTTTTCTTTTGCAAAACGAATAGGAAGAGTGTCCACTTCTCTAATAAATACATAAATTTTCACGGTTCGCGTGAGACTCGGCTGGGAGCCGAGTTTCCCGCATCCGCCGTGGGAACGCCACCAACCTCTAGGATCAAGGCGCAGATGCAGCGCCTAAACGGTGGGAGGTGAGTAGATCAGACCCACAACCATGTGGTCAAAGACCGAAATCCCATTAGCTGCATCCATGTTACCCTCGTGCCAGGCCACGAGTTCCCAATTAACTGTGGGTCGCAGCACGGCTGGAAAAATTCCTTCCGCTTCCAAGCAGGACTTGAACCTGGTACCCTCTGTTTCTCAATCATGGTCTTAGACCATCCCACTATGCCTGCCTGTCTAATGATGTCTATTTAAGCGCAGTTTAGCGTGTATTGTATTGGCTTATCATTTCTTTTTCTTCTGTTTGCATTTGGCTGGTTATTATTACTGTATAAGTACAAATTTTCGTTCACGAAATCTTTCGTTATATCACTCCACCAGCAGGCTTGTTACGTACTAAATTTCGTTTTTGGTCGAGGTCGGTCACCCCGAACGTTAAGAAAAAAACCTTAGTTTGGTACAAACTTTAGTTATTTCGTGCCCCTTACGAATATAGCGAAAGTTAATTCCAAACGAAAATTTCTTCTTGTGCAGTATCCTTCTCTTGGGTTTATGTTATTTTTCTCGTTTTAGAGTCCGTACTCATCGTTATCGTGCTAATAAAAAAATGTCTTTACGCCGTCCACACCAGTCTAAAAGAACATGTCAAGAATCTTCCTGAACCAAACTTTTTCGTTACCTTCTCTTACTAGGCCCTTGCAGGGAGAAAAGTTAACCTCTTATTTGTACTTTTAAAGGATCAGTCGAGGAACTGAATTGCCTGGAAAAAAAGAAAAAAACGCCTTTTACTTTTTAAATTTGGTATTGGCTCTGTATCCGAGTTCAACATTGCTGTTGAGCGTTTTTGTTATGTTTGACCAAAGCTGTGAATGCTTTGCTGTTTTCCTCTGTGGCAGGTTCTGCTGCTTGCTGTTGATGGTGCAAGCATTAACAACGAAATGAGTAAGTGGAATGTCACTGATTGATTGCTTGAGAGAAATTATGCACATGCATTGGTTGCTTATGCTGTTTGTGTTTCTGTTTTGGTACTTACTCTGGCCCCGGGTGCGCGTGGAACCCGTGCAGCCTTTCAAACCTAAAAAAGAAATCCGCTAAATATATTGAATCAGCTGTGGAGCCAAGAGTTTAGCCATTTAAAATCTGCCCATGTTTAAATCTATTGTAAACGATGCATTCGAAAAAAGAAAAAAAACCCAGATCGTAACTCAGTCAAATGTTGCTCGAATTCAACGATCTAAATATCCAGATCGAAAATAAAACACTCGGCTGTTGGAAGGCGATCATGGCAACCTCAGGAGGGTGTGAAACCCGTGCAAATGTCAGTAAATCTACATCACAAAAATCTCAAAAATGCCAGTAATCGAGTCGCGCGACGCAATTGGACGCATTTTGGCCATTTTTGTACAGTGCCCGTGTAACACTCATATTCTCAATATTTTTAAGGCACACAGTTACGGATTGAAAGGTGTTGTTCCATTCACAAGGAGGAAAAGAAGATAGTATCAGTGCGAGTATGAAAAGAAGACAGGGGCAGTGTGAGTATGAAAAGAAGACAAAGGCAGTGCGAATATGAAAAGAAGACGGAGGCAGTGCAAGTATGAAAAGAAGCCGGGGGCAGTGCGAGTATGAAAAGAAGACGGGGGCAGTGCGAGTATGAAAAGAAGACAGGGGCAGTGCGAGTATGAAACGAAGACGGGGGCAGTGCGAGTATGAACAGAAGACGGGGCAGGGCGAGTATGAACAGAAGACGGAGGCAATGCGAGTATGAAAAGAAGACAGAGGCAGTGCGAATATGAAAAGAAGACGGAGGCAGTGCAAGTATGAAAAGAAGCCGGGGGCAGTGCGAGTATGAAAAGAAGACGGGGCCAGTGCGAGTATGAAAAGAAGACAGGGGCAGTGCGAGTATGAAACGAAGACGGGGGCAGTGCGAGTATGAAATGAAGACGGAGGCAGTGCGAATATGAAAAGAAGACGGAGGCAGTGCAAGTATGAAAAGAAGCCGGGGGCAGTGCGAGTATGAAAAGAAGACGGGGGCAGTGCGAGTATGAAAAGAAGACGGGGGCAGTGCGAGTATGAAACGAAGACGGGGGCAGTGCGAGTATGAAATGAAGACGGAGGCAGTGCGAATATGAAAAGAAGACGGAGGCAGTGCAAGTATGAAAAGAAGCCGGGGGCAGTGCGAGTATGAAAAGAAGACGGGGGGCAGTGCGAGTATGAAAAGAAGACAGGGGCAGTGCGAGTATGAACAGAAGACGGGGGCAATGCGAGTATGAAAAGAAGACGGAGGCAGTGCGAATATGAAAAGAAGACGGAGGCAGTGCAAGTATGAAAAGAAGCCGGGGGCAGTGCGAGTATGAAAAGAAGACAGGGGCAGTGTGAGTAGGAAAAGAAGGCGCGGGCAGTGCGAGTAGGAAAAGCAGACGGTGGCTGTGCGGGTATGAAAAGAAGACGGGGGCAGTGCGGGTATGGAAAGAAGACGGGGGCAGTGCGAGTATGAAAAGAAGACGGGGCAGTGCGAGTATGAACAGAAGACGGAGGCAGTGCGAGTATGAAAAGGAGACGGAGGCAGTGCGAGTATGAAAAGAGGACAGGGGCAGTGCGAGTATGAAGCGAAGACGGGGGTAGTGCGGGTATGAAAAGAAGACGGGGGCAGTGCGAGTATGAAAAGAAGACGGGGCCAGTGCGAGTATGAACAGAAGACGGAGGCAGTGCGAGTGTGAAAAGAAGACAGAGGCGGTGCAAATATGAAAAGAAGACGGAGGCAGTGCGAGTATGAAAAGAAGACGGGGGCAGTGCAAGTATGAAAAGAAGACGGGGGCAGTGCGAGTATGAAAAGAAGACAGGGGCAGTGCGAGTATGAAACGAAGACGGGGGCAGTGCGAGTATGAAAGAAGACGTGGGCAGTGCGAGTATGAAATGAAGACGGTGGCAGTGGGAGTATGAAAAGAAGACGGAGGCAGTGCGAGTATGAAAAGAAGACTGGGGCAGTGTGAGTAGGAAAAGAAGATGGGGGCAGTACGAGTATGAAAAGCAGACGGTGGCTGTGCGGGTATGAAAAGAATACAGGGGCAGTGTGGGTATGGAAAGAAGACGGGGGCAGTGTGGGTATGCGCACAGCTTGCGATGACTACCTACGTTTGCTGGGACCTTTTCAGGAAGATTGAGTGCGTAGAACCGAAATGATCCAAAGAACACGAAAAAGTGTAATGTAATGTAATGTAACTGGTGGTGTTAGTGGACATTTTAACGTAACTTGTAGTTCCTTGGTCCATTTTTCTTTTCGAACTTAGAAGTTGCGACTTCGGCGGTAATGTCATGAAGTTGGTTGCTCCAACGAGGAGCACACGCTTCTTGCCGAACTTGACACTTGACTGACTCACGACTGCCATCCGGAGCACACCAGGAGCACGTCGCACCTTCCGCTCGGCAAACCTGAAAGAAAGCACCACTCCCTGCTCAATACACAGTGTTTCGGGGAATTCACCCCTCATCAGTTGAGCTTGAGTAGGCTGAGGAAGATTGTGCCTGAAAAGCACCACTTATATACTGCTCCTCAGGCCAAACCATCACCAGGGATACAAACTTACAGAGACGCTTTGTTTCCAGCGCGACAAACACCTCGTGAAGCCCCAGGTAGCATTTTTCTTTTGTATAAATTAATCATTGGCTCTCCATCCGGGACCTTAAATTCTTTAGTTTTCTTACTATTTCCTTCCCACAGTTGATGACTGCCCTACTCTTCCATCCATTCAAAATGGCAAGAAAACACTTTCAGCCGATCAGTACCAAAGGAAGGTAAGACATGCAGGTTTGGTTGCATTTTATGAGACCACATTACCAGTGATTGTGCTCACGCTGTGGGTATAACCTGTACAACGTCTCCTATTCACCGCGCACGCAAGGTTTTTTATTTTATATTATCTCAACCACCGTCAAATGGCAAAAGCCACTGGCAAGAGAAAGAAAAGAATGAAGAAAGAATATAATTATAGCGTAACTTGTAGTTCCTTGGTCCTTTTTCTTTTCAATAAGGCGAGACCAAAATCAAATCGAGATTCCCGGGAAGGACCCATGTGAAATTGGTGCGGGCGGGCAATTTTTTATTTTTCCTATGTATGTATGTACGTGTGTGCCACGCTGAACTTTTTTTACAGTATTTTCCGGTAATTTTTATTCATTTTTTAAAGAAAACAGGCACGTATTTTACCCATTGAATTTTTCTGTATTTCGGCCAACGATGGCCCTGATCTGTACATCAGGGAGTCGTACAAGCCCGGGTTTGTGTGCCTCCACGTCACAGATCTACTCGCACAAGCAGTACTGTACATGCAAATTAACTCAGTGTTCAAGTAAAAAATAAAAAAAATTGGCTTTTGCTCGATTTTGGTGCGGGAGGGCCCGGGAATCTCAATTTTTTTGGTCTCGCCTAAAGAACATTAAAAAACAAAAAATTCACGGTTCGCGTGAGACTCGGCTGGAAGCCGGGCTTTCCGCATCCGTAGGAACACCACCACCCTTCAAGGATCAAGGCGCAGGTGCAGTTCCTAAAGCGGTGGGAGGTGAGTAGATCAGCTCGCCAGCAAGTGGTCAAAGACCGAAAATCCCATTCACTGCATCCATGTTTTCCTCGTGCCAGGCCACGAGTTCCCAATTAACTGTGGGTCGCAGCACGGCTGGAAAAAATCCTTCGGCTTCCAAGCAGGACTTGAACCTGGTACCCTCTGTTTCTCAATCATGATCTTAGACCATCACACTATGCCTGCCTGCCTAAAGAACATAATTACCCGGATTTAAAGAAATTGATTCTACTAGAGATTGGAGCAGTGAATCGGTGATGAGTGAGTGCACTGTGGTGTGTTTGATGACGACAGTCCAGCAAAGGAGATAGTGATTTGGACGAAAAAAGAATCATGTTCCTCTTGCGATTCGAAGTTATTGTGGGAACGAGATACATTCGGGCTGGCTTTTATGCATGCATTGGAATTTCATGACCTTCATTGATAGTGGCGCAGATATAGCTCCTAGCTATAGCGCGTTTAAAAAGTATAGACTTCTAGACTTTTTCGAATAATTCAAATTTGTTTTTGGCTTTCTGAGAAATTTCTTCGGAGTATGGCTCAGGCAACTCCCGCGATTTTCTCATATAAATTTCTAAGCGATTGGATAACAAACATCCTATTTCGGAAATTTTATGCACGAAGTGATCATAGATTTTATGTTACGAGTTATGACTAACTGTCCACAAACGTAACCAGATCTTATACAGTCAGCGAGTGCGACAAAATGGCACAAAACTGACTTGTTATTGTACATATCTAGTCCATTCTACATGATGGTGGAGTTCAGTAGGATGTTGACGTTTCGGTTTGTCACAATTCGTCTTTGCTTAGCTTCCCCTTTCTATGTTTATTACATAAACTTGAGCCTCCCAAGTAAGTTGGGTGGTCTGTTGCTTTGCGTCGTTGAGTTGTAGTAATTGTATTTTTATTGTTTATAGGGGAGGTTAAGCCTCAAATTTTCACCAGTTGTAGTCTTCGGGGTGCTGAGTCGAATGGTCTTGGTCCGAGGAAGCTGAGACGCTCCCTTCTTCCTTTATTCCCAATCGAACTGGCGCACTTCCACCGAAACTGGGTAACTGCGCCCTACTAGATGGGAATTTGTGTGCAAAATGTCACTAAAAGCGCCATTTCGTTCTTATAAAAGCCCAGAGGACCGCGATTGGCCCATATGTTGTAGTCTTTTGGACGCTGAGTCGACTGGTTTTGGTCCGAGAATGCTGCGATGCAGCGTTCTTCCTTTATTCCCAATCGAACATGGTTGAACAAGCGGTCACGTGCTCCTGCGTGCCCAAGTCACCTGGTCACCGCGCCAGCAGGCGACACATTTCACACCAAGGTTCAACTCGAGTTCAACTCGAGTGACAGGACTGCACCCAAAAAGGTCGAACAGGCTGTAAGTTGTACCTTGCAGGCATGGTGACCAGGTGACTGGTGTACGCAGGAGCACATGACCGCTTGTTCAACCATGTTCGATTGGGAATAAAGGAGGAACGCTGCATCGCAGCCTTTTCGGACCAAAACCAGTCGACTCGGCGTCCAAAAGACTACAACATATGGGCCAATCGCAGTCATCCGTGCTTTTATAAGAACGAAATGGCGCTTTTAGTGACATTTTGCATACAAATCCCCATCTAGTAGGGCGCAGTCACCCAGTTTCGATGGAAGTGCGCGAGTTCGATTGGGAATAAAGGAGGAAGGGAGCATCTCAGCTTCCTCGAACCAAGACCATTCGACTCAGCACCCCGAAGACTACAACTGGTGAAAATTTGATTTTAGGCTTAACTTCCCCTTTTTAAGAGAGAATGTCTGAGAATACCAAAGTATGTGTGTAAGTGGATCTCTCCGATTTCGCTCAAAATTTGCAGGTATGTTCCCTTTGTGGTGTAGATCGGTTGTGCAAAGTCCTTGAAAAAGTTTCTGAAGGGAACCTTGAAACTTGCACACCCCTCAAAAATGGCTGAGATATCACATTATTTATGGGTCTAGAAACGAGTCACGCCACAGTGTATACGAACAAGCTACGAACAAAACTCCATCAAGCCAACATTGCCTCACCTTAGAAGAGTTCCTGGAGTAGTACGGCTTACTTACTGAGCCACGCCAGGATCCCAGAAAACGAGGTCCATCACCCCCTGACGCCAAACGAATTGTTTTATTTTGAACAACCCAGCCCTGTGTTTATTGCTTATTATGTAGCATATACTGTAACACGTGTAGTTTTCCTCACTGTTTATTTCTATTGCATGATTTGCATTAGGAGATCCCCTCGACAGGCCATCGCCTCTGGGAGATCCTTTCAATAAAATATTAATAAAACAAACGATCGTCTTGAAAATAGCCAATTTTCATGTATTGTTGACTCTGACAAGGAAAAGCAGCGGTGATCTCTTGTCACTCCAAACGACAAGCTTCTCCTTGCGCCACCAATAATTATTTGTGCTACTGTTGACGCAAAAGTGACTGAAGGTCTGAGCGCAGTTTTTGAATTTTATTGCAAGATGCAAGGTGAGATCGCGTGCTCTGTGACGTAGGATGACGCTTCCTGGATCACGACCTGTGGCCATCGTCTGGAACGTTACTCGGAACAGACCGTGATGGCTGAGGTAAGATGAGCTGCATTTCCTGCTTGATCTGCTGAGAACCCCCACAAACTGTCCTAGGAGTGTTGCAATGGCAGCAAGCCGTTGAAATATGCCCCGTACAGCATGTAGAGTTATTCGTCTTTCATACTTACCTCCTGCAATCTCGAACATAGTCCAACAGTAAAAGTCCCTTGTTTTCATGTCGATGCTCGACAAAAGCTGCTAGCTCGGTCGCTTTGTGTTGACTGGCATGGCACGCCAGCAGCACTGGCTGCACGCACTTGTCGCGTGAACTGCATGAGAGATTTCTTACGTCATAAAGAACGTGATTTCATCATCATTTCACTCGTCTTCGACCTACATGGTTAGGGAAAGTCCCGGTTCGTAGGCCTACAACACGGTCAGTGTGTTCTTGAGCGCAGTAACAACACGAGTGTGATCACTTCCAGACCAACGGGCGTTCAAGGCGAGTAACAAGCGCACGTGACGAAGGTGACTCTGAAATCTCGTGAGCCGTAGTAGTAGTTGTAGTAGTAGATTTTATTATTTTACTAGGGGAGTCCCAACAGGCGTTGCCTTTTTACTGGGAAGCCGTGATCCACACGACTTGGCATTCTTGCGTCACAAGGCACGTGATTTCACCGTTCCTCTTGTAGTAAAATTCAAGAATTGCGCTCAGGCCTTCAGTCACTTTTGCATCAACAGTCGCACAAAAAAATATTGGTGGCGCAGGCCTTCAGTCACTTTTGCATCAACAGTCGCACAAAAAAATATTGGTGGCGCAAGGAGAAGCTTGTCGTTTGGAGTGACAAGTGATCACCGCTGCTTTTCCTTGTCAGAGTCAACAATACACTTTGTTCTGCGGCGTTGGGAGTATTGTTGGAGTAGAAATTGCTGAGGAGACGTCGCGGAGGGGCAAGCTTTCCTGCGCAGGTATGACTTTGGCCGTATTTCAGCATGGTCGAGTGGAAAAATTCAAAAAGGCTTATTTCAAGAAAACCCCAAAAGGAAGATGGGGGACATATTCTCAGCGCTAGAAGAGGTGTTCTACTATCTGCCGGTGTATAGTTCTTGCCAATTGAGGACGTAGCTGGCTGTTTTGCCCGCGCTTGTAAATTGGCTATTTTCAAGACGATTATTTGTGGCTGTTAAGGATTCCCCAAATCTTTTCGCCTATCGAGGGGGTTTCCAAACTTTCCATAATACCAAATCTGTAAAAGAAGGTATGAGAAATAGGTGAGCAAAGAAAGAGAAAAAGACATAGTCTAGGGCAGAGCTCTGCGCTTGGTTGTAAGCGTGCAGAACTGGGATAATGCATGTAGATGATGAAAGATGTGCCAGAGAAAGGCCGGTATGTCCAATAGTCTCACTAGTTTCGTCATCATCCGGTAACTTTCGGCATTCTTTGTTGCCGTGATGCGTAGCTCGTGCTCTTCTTCGTTGCGGTTTCCTCCCCCCCCCCCTTGCCTTGGACCTTTCCGAACCTGAGCCTTCCAAGTTGGAAGGTTGTTGGTTTGCGCCTTGGGGAAGTGTTGGAGCTAGATGTCAGGTCGCCGACTGTCTCAGCACTGTAATTTCACAAATTTTCGGTGTACTTTTATTTTCGGTACTTTCGGTGCGTCTTTTTCATACCTAAAATTTCAATACACCGAACAAACACCAACACACATAATCCAATAGGAAACTGCTTCTCTGTACCTAAAATTTCTGTTCACCTAACCTAGCCTGTTGCCCTCATACCGAAAATATTGAGCACCGAAAATGTCTGAAGTTAGAGTACTCCTTGCCAGTTGTGTGCCATTTTTGTCGCACTCGCTGACTGTATAAGATCTGGTTACGTTGGTGGACAGTTAGTCGTAACATTTTGTCGCACTCGCTGACTGTATAAGATCTGGTTACGTTGGTGGACAGTTAGTCATAACTCGTAACATTTTGTCCTTCACCTTTTTCACCATAGTATAAAAGTTGTCCATCATAGAATACGTTTAGAAAGATGATTTGAGACTTCTGTTCAAGAATCGTGTACAGTGCAGACGCCAGTAGTATACTACCAGCTACATGTATGTAGATGAGAAAGAGGAGGGGATGATACAGTGTGCAAGCGGTGTTCACACATCCTAAGACCTAATCACCTACAAGTACATACTAGACGGCCTTGAGGTGGAAAAGGGCTTACTACTAGTTAGTATCAGCTTGCAACTTCCAAGCCACACGAAGCATCCTCTTCGCCGACGACACCGCCTTAGTCGCTAGCGACCACTCAGCAGGGGCAGCGGAGCGAGCGCTCCAGTCCAGTGTGACTAAAGTCGCTACGTGGCTCGACACCTGGCACCTGACCGTCAACGAAACGAAGACGGTCGTGATGACACTGTGCGGTGCCTTCCCCCTGACAATAACGTTGAGAGACAAAACACTGAACAGAGTCCAGAGCCAGCGACACCTGGGTATCATCATTCAGGCCGACCTGAAGTGGAATGCCCACATCCAGCACATCGAGAGCAAAGTTGCGCGCACTCTCCACCTCTTGAGACGGATTCGTGGACGTCTTTCACCCACAGCGCTGTCAGCACTGTACAACACGTATATATGCCCCGTTATCGCACAGATATGGTCCTCTGGCTATGTCAGCTATGAATGTTCAGCAACAAGATACCCTCGAACGTCTCCAACGGCGGTCAGCAAACCTTTGCCTCCGACTCTCCCTCTTCAGTCCTTGCCACCACAGTTCATTACTCCACCACGTCACTTGGCCAACCCTCTCATCCCGCCGGAAACTCAAGCAGCTACTCTTTGCACACACCATCGCTGTCAAACGATCCCCGCCACACATCCAGCTTGCGACCTCAGGCTACATCACCGAGCCACCAAGCCGAGAATTGAGGCGTCATCGAGCCGTTGCCCTCCCCACCACCCACTCCACCCGCCTTCAACGTTCACCCTTGTACTCCGCATGCACTCAGTACAACCACCTGCCACCACACTGTTACTCCCTCCGAGAAATAAATGCACTCAAAAGAGAAGTTACCCCGATCATAGTATCATCAATTTGCACATATTCCAACCCCTGCTGTAGCCCAGCCTAGGTGTATTTTAATCAAGCTCTATCGCCTACCTGCCTTCGCAATGGATATACTTCCTTCTTCGTCTTTACTTAAATGAAGCACCCAAACCACGGCTGCCACTAGCCACTGTTTCTCCCGGTTTATTGCACCCACTCTGATTGATAACACATTGTACTGTCTCTCTCTTACTGGTTACGACCATCGTGTGAATAAAGATAATAAAAAACTCCTGAAGCTGTACATTGACACGTTGCAGTTGACAGCACACTAGTGGTGGAGCGCAGTTATCACCCAGCTGCTACATGCCGTTTATTAAAGAATGAATATTCTTGGTTTGATCTGTTGCCTGGAGATTGATCTTCGTTTGAAACTCGAGTTGAAGTGGAAAACATCGTGTTGCAGTATTTTGGCCTAGATTTGATCTAGCTCGGCTATATTATCTGATTATTGTTGTGGACCTGCAGGTGATATACACATACAGATGTAACAAAGGCTATATTCTGCAAGGAAATAATAAGTTGGAGTGTCTGGAAAATGGCAACTGGTCAAAGGAGCCACCAACATGTGAAGGTTAGTCTTATAGTGTAGTAGAGTCAACTTTGCGTATAACGACACTCGGCGGGGCATCAGAAAAGTGTCGTGATTCGCGAAGTGTCATTATACCCGAAGTCTCTTTATATAATGTATTACGGTTGGATGGGACTTTGCCCTGGGCATAGACATTCTGCCGTTATTCGCGAATTGTTGTTATATCCGCAGTCGTTATTAGCCAAGTTGACTGTAATAGTTGTTTTAGCCTGTTTTACAGTTTAGCCTTAGCATGCATGTCAGTTTAGCCTTAGCATGCATGTCAGTTTAGCAATAGCATGCATGTCAGTTTAGCCTTAGCATGCATGTCAGTTTAGCAATAGCATGTGTCATGACCGGGGAGTGGGCCAGACATATCTCAGGATTCTACGATTCCAGGTTCTTTACGGAAATATACCAGGAGTCCAGATACCCATTCCTCACCCTCACCACACAAGAAGACCAAAGCTACACTCTAGGACCAAATTCCAAGCAACAGAGAAGCAACAAGAACAACAACCCCTCTCGAAGCAAAACATCGAGCTATATACTGCTATTATGTCCTAGTAGCGTGCAAGCTGAAAGAGCGAAGGGCGCGAGCAGCCAGCCAGCAAAGCATGAATAGTGATATGTTTCCCAACGCTATTCATAGACGAGACACATCGACGCCACGGCAAACACTTGACAAAGATACATGTAGGAGCAGACGGAATACAATACAGATAGAAACACACGGACACGACATATCCCCCGCCTACGAACATGTTACGTCCTCGTAACAGAAGAAAAGTAACGGCACTGAAAAAGAAAGCAAAATAATAAAACTCTTGAAAACTTGAAAGGAAGGAACCAACCTCTTCCGACCCAAGAACCAAAGAAACACATAATGCGCCAGTCTTGCACAGACTCTCAGCCACAGCAGTGTTAGAAAAAATAAATAGGTTATGCCGTTACAACTACGTTCGAACAAGCTATTGGTCAGCCTGCAGGGATGGCTTCTGTGTTACTATCATTATGAACTATTATATAATAAGACAAATCAAGACTAGACGGGTGACAAGACCAGAAACGTGTCCAGGAACTGGTAACTGACCCGAACTAACTTCACTTGAAATCCGCGGCTCCCGTTTGCGTGTTGCCTTCATCTTGACTTCCTCGATGTACCTCCTCTCCAGCTCTGGCTACGTCCAGCAGTTTATCGTCATGCTCCGGGACGGGCGCGTTGGTGATGGTGACCAACCGCGGTCGCCAGGGTGCAGTTTATCGTCGTACCCAGGACGGGCTGCGGTGTGGTGGCGATGGCTATTGGCAGCGCTCCCTCTCGCTGCCGAGGGTTCGGAATGTTAGTGGCACTGGACATCCTGGCGTGGTCGCCAAATGTCATGACCGGGGAGTGGGCCAGACATATCTCAGGATTCTACGATTCCAGGTTCTTTACGGAAATATACCAGGAGTCCAGATACCCATTCCTCACCCTCACCACACAAGAAGACCAAAGCTACACTCTAGGACCAAATTCCAAGCAACAGAGAAGCAACAAGAACAACAACCCCTCTCGAAGCAAAGCATCGAGCTATATACTGCCATTATGTCCTAGCAGCGTGCAAGCTGAAGGAGCGAAGGGCGCGAGCAGCCAGCCAGCAAAGCATGAATAGTGATAGGTTTCCCAACGCTATTCATAGACGAGACACATCGACGCCACGGCAAACACTTGACAAAGATGCATGTAGGAGCAGACGGAATACAATACAGATAGAAACACACGGACACGACACATGCATGTCAGTTTAGCAATAGCATGCATGTCAGTTTACCAGTCACATTGTAGAAGCACATCTAATTCGAAGTTTTCCAATGGTCCAAGATAGGGTTTGAATCGGAGCCAATGGACACTGATCACTCAATAAAGACATCTTTAACCCTTTACGTGCTGAGTACGAGTTAACTCGCGCTTTATGCATGACCTGATTCACTACGTACGAGTTAACTCGCAAAAATATTCTCGCGATGTATTGCAGTGCATAGACCAGTGTACACTCAAACGCCTCTTATCCGGACGCCTCAGATACGGGCACGTATCTCTACCGGGCACCTTCAGCTTGAGTTCCTATAGCACAAATGATTCGAATTCGGGGGTTTTGAACTTTTTTCCGCATGTGGAAGTGCTTATTTTTCACTGCCAACCAATGTAATTCACACATTTTTATCAATCGGTTCCTTTTGTATCCTGAACATGTGCAATGTGTTCAAAATAAACTTCTTCAAAAATGATATGATACATGGTCGATGAGTTATCCTGAGATACGGACAAATCTGAGATACGGGCAATGCCCGGTCTCAAGGTGCCCGGATAAGAGACGTCCGAGTGTACAAACTTTCGTATCTTCGTCCAACATAAACGCATCGCGACAATCAATACACCGTTGGAAAGGTCTTGACCTCATCTTTCCGGGGATATAAAGTTCTTCGCGATAGGATAAGAATTCATTGAGCGGCAACAAGATGAACAGGAAATCATGGGCCAGAGGGAACGCAAATTGTTTTGTTCATTACTTCTTTTTGTTGAGGAGCGTGCCAAGGGATTTCCCTTTGGCACGGCACATGCGTGATGGATATCAAATGAAGCGCTTGGATCTCAGCTTTGCAGCGCAGTTTGAATCGTGAAAATCGGTTGACTTTGGGCAAGAAGCCGAACAAGAATGTGAAATTGAGTTGTTGTGCCGTTCCGAGGCACGGTGGAGTAGTTTATAGAGGACGTGGAATTGGCCCTGATGTGTCTATGGTGCTGAGAGCTGCCAGGATGGATTCGCTTGGTCCTGATTTTTGCAACGAGCCCAAGATGATGAAAATCCATCAAGGTGGAGTGAAATGAGAATACATTTCGTTCGGAGCTGTGAGTGCATACTCCACCAAGAGAGTCAGTGCGCTGGAAAGCCAGTGGATTGGAGAAAAGGGGCTCAGCATGCAAAGGGCTAAAACATGAACAGGCATTGAAAAGAAAGATGATGAGGCCGAACTGAATAACATCTTTGTTTCGGGTAACATGGCGAGAATTTCAGCGGTCAGTCCGTCGGGTTACCTTTTTTTACCAGATATTATAATTCATGAGTAACAGTGGTGTCTAAAACATCTGCTGACCACAGCAAACCAAGCAGCTCAAAAAGTAGAAAGTGATGCTGTAGTCTTTCATAATGGAGATGCTAGACCCTACTAACACAATGTGAGGAGGGAAGACAGCCATTTCCTCATGATGAAGATTGTCGGCATCATGAAATCTGGCTTCATAGCCAGCAATCGCATGTCATCGCGTACATTCAAAATCAACATAATTTTGCGAATCGAACTTTTTTTCAGCATCACTTTTCAACGAGGACGAAGCAAAGTCGGCCGAACGAAGCCCAGAGGAAGAAAATCACCCTCTCCACTTCACCATCACGATACTGACATAGATACGAGACGAAACAACTAAAAAATCCACAAGAAAACTGATCGGCCATCATCGCGCTGACTTTGGTCTGAGAATTTCTATCACGATCAAAAATGTACGAGGAGCACACAAAATAAGCTACAGACGTACCTTTATCACTCTCTACTCCTTTTTCAAGGCACAAAAGTCGACTCTCCACTTTCAAACCAGGAACCAGACATACCAGTGGTCCTTTTCAGCTGCTCCACGAGCGCAGGAAATGTTCACCAAGGGGCGCAGAGCAGCATCCATTCCAGAAAAAGAGCTAAAATACGAGTGAGACTGCATGCCTGAGTACATGAGTACATGCATGAGTACATGCAGAAAATAGTCAATTTCAGCGTTTCTGCTCCAAACAGCAACTTGCTTCGACTAGCTACAAAGATTACACCAAAGGATCAAACAACCGTTTTCTTCATTTTTTTGACAGGTGGCTTCCTTGTGCTTGGCCGAGCACGCCAAAAATCACACCTCGGAGGAGTACAAATATTACAATGCCCAGATGTCCTCGATTGCTGGCCATGATGATGTGATTGCAAGCATTTTCCTTTGTCTTTGTTTGTGTGTCCAGCGAAATGTGGTGCATCACTACCAGCCGATTTTCTGCAGCAGTCGCAAGCACTGTCAAACAACTCCAACACCACCTTTCAATGTGGACGATCAGCTGCCGATATCATTGTTGTGTTTGATGTGTCGGAAAGCATGGTAGACTCACGCATAGATCGGCTGCAAATGATCTCAGAAAGTCTTGAAACATCTCTTAGGGAGCGTGGGTTTGGCCTGTACCCTGGAATAGACAATCATTATACTCTTGTCAGCTTTGGTAACCGTGATGGAGTACCACGTGTCATTCGTAACAATAACAATTCACTGGTATATGACATTGGTGGATTTAAGGAGGCTAGCGAGCAGCTGTTGACAAGAAAGGAAGGAAACAAAGAAGATGGTTACCATGCTATTGAGTTTGCTTTGGAGAACATCACTGATCAGTCCAATAAGCAACTGCTAAGACTGAATCGTTCAGATATAGCAATAATTGTTCTTTTGATCTCGGATGAGGACCGAGATGTTATGCCCGGGACAAATATTTCTCGGTCAGATTTGAAGAGGAAATTGAGGAGGAACGGAGTCCATATGGAAGTTATAGTCGACAATAGAATTGGTCTTGAGGGTGCTTATTATGGTGTTGATTCCAGTTACCGGCTTTACTCATCAGATCTGACTGTTACAAACGGAAATAAATCCTTAGCTAATCTGAGAGCAGATGTTTACAAGAGAACTTACAAAGACTATACATCAGTTGCATTGGAACTTGGTGGAGCCATGTGGGATTGGAACTACATCTTCAGAGAAGAGAATGTGAACTCGTCACATGTGGATGCTTTTGTCAACTATACAGTGTCGTCGGTGGAGCATAAAGTTCACAAGTGTTGCTCATGTAGCTGTGTTCAGGGTGCCACTCATCGAGCTCTGCATTGTGATGTGGCCAAGAAAGAGAGCGAGTGTAAAGGTATGACCTGATCTTGTGTTTGCTTGACCGCATTATATTGCTGGAGCCATTGCATTCATTATATTCATCCGCAAAATTGATATGCCGTAATTCTCCGGAATGTCTGCCTCACCAAGGTCTAAGCAGTGCCCCTCCTTCCATGCCGAAATAGAATTTTGTTTGATATTGGCAGCATAAGCCACACGTAGGACTGTGAATTGTATTGCATTTCAACAAAACAATGATGATGATAAAGACACTAGGCCAGCACGCATATAGCTGAACTCAGAAATCAAGTGAAGGTCACGCATATATCCACAACGTGGAGCCAGTGCATTCTGCCTGAGGCAAGTGGCTACACTTGGAAAAGAGATCTATTGAGAAGTACAGAAGCAGTATGCTTACGTTGCTATTGAGAAGTAAAAAATCAATCCTGATGTTCTCTATCCATGAGATCACTGGGTATTGTCGGAACCCCGAGCTTAATCAGTGAAATTAATATCAGAAATGAATTGTACAAATAGTCTACGTGGAGATAATAATTTTAATATAGCTATGAATAGGATGAAGGCCGCAGACATCACGCAACTACATTACTGGTTCAACATGTATGACTGTGTGTTTTATAACGAAAATATTATTGAAACCCAGAATCAATTTTCTCATTCCTATCATCAGTGGGAAAAATACGGAACTGAAGGATACAACCAAAGAAACTGAAGTTAACTACTGTAATAGAAAGGTGTTAGAAAGAATATCATGATACAAGTGCAATAAAACCACTGGAGAAAACGCAAAAAAGGTAGCAAGATTACGTAACCAAAGGTGAGAAGGCACTGAACGAAGTGTCAACCTACGAATACAACCTCAGTGCAACAACGTGCTCTTTCTGCTTACACAAAACAGGCTTATGAATACGTATACAAACTGCCTCAAGGACTTTCAACTGTTGGACATAACGCGCACGACACAGTACAGAAAAATGAGAGTCATCATACACACCAAGACAGTCAGGACGAGATAACAAGTGTAGATACACAGCCGACTTCTTACAATCAACACATTCATCCGCCTCATCTGGCTCTTTCCCATCCGACTCCTCCTCGTCCATCTCATCGTCCTCTTCCTTGTTCCGCTTGTCATCCTCACGATCATCATCACTACCATCATCTGCCTCGTCCTCTGTCTCTTCACCAACTGTTTCGTCATCCAGTTCCTCTTCCATCCTCTGATCATCCGTCTCATCCTCCGTTTCTGTATAGACCGCTTGTCTCCCATTTGCTAGCTGCTGGTCTCGTGACCGGAGTTGTTCCTCCAGATCCGCTTCACTCACTGACTCGCGGACAGTACCAACAGGAGGAGGGTCGAGCAATATCATGAGTCAGTGAGTGAAGCGGATCTGGAGGAACAACTTGGTACTGTCCGCAACGCGCGGTCCTTGGCTGTTTCTGGCATAAATCTCTGTGGAGTAGTTTGCTGTTGCCCTCCGAGGTCTCTGGATTAATGGTGTAGATTCAGTGAGATGTCTGCATTGCCTGTCTTGCTGAGTAGGTGCTGCGGGCGCCGTGGCAATTCATGTGAGAGTTGGTGATGCCAGCGCAGGTGTAGGTGGGTCCACCCCAGGCCCCGCCACAAGAAGAGCCGGTGGCGGTTCTGGTGGTGGCAAGGGCAACGGTGGTGCTGCTGGAATTGGCAACTTGGGCGGCTTAGCTCTCCCACACGGCACTGCATTTTGTGTTGGCTCAGTCTGTGCCACTGCCACAGGGGGTGGGTTCTTGCGCGGTCGGCCACTGGCGTTACGGCCGCTTGGATTTAGATGCATCCAGTAGAATATGCAGCGGTACATGCTGTTTGATACGTGCGATCAAGGGTTGAAGGGTCCTACCAACGTACCGCCTACCACAATTCCGGCACTCAAATTGGTAAACAAAATGGCTCAAAAGATGGGATGGCGATGGCATCACCAACTCTCACATGAATTGCCACGGCGCCCGCAGCACCTACTCAGTAAGACAGGCAATGCAGACATCTCACTGAATCTACATCATTAATCCAGAGACCTCGTAGGGCAACAGCAAACTACTCCACAGAGATGTATGCCAGAAACGGCCAAAGACCGCGCGTTGCGGACAGTACCAACAGGAGGAGGGTCGAGCAGTATCATAAGTCAGTGAGTGAAGCGGATCTGGAGGAACAACTCCGGTCACGGGACGAGCAGCTAGCAAATGGGAGAAAAGTGATCTGTACAGAAACGGAGGATGAGACGGATGATCAGAGGATGGAAGAGGAACTGGATGACGAAACGGTTGGTGAAGTGACAGAGGACGAGGCAGATGATGGTAGTGATGATGATCGTGAGGATGACAAGCGGAACAAGGAAGAGGACGATGAGATGGACGAGGAGTAGGATGGGAAAGAGCCAGATGAGGCGGATGAATGTATTGATTGTAAGAAGTCGGCTGTGTATCTACACTTGTTATCTCGTCCTGACTGTCTTGGTGTGTATGATGACTCTCATTTTTCTGTACTGTGTCGTGCGCGTTATGTCCAACAGTTGAAAGTCCTTGAGGCAGTTTGTATACGTATTCATAAGCCTGTTTTGTGTAAGCAGAAAGAGCACGTTGTTGCACTGAGGTTGTATTCGTAGGTTGACACTTCGTTCAGTGCCTTCTCACCTTTGGTTACGTAACCTTGTTACCTTTTTTGCGTTTTCTCCAGTGGTTTTATTGTACTTGTATCATGATATTCTTTCTAACACATTTCTATTACAGTAGTTAACTTCAGTTTCTTTGATTGTATCCTTTAGTTCCGTATTTTTCCCACTGGTGATAGGAACGAGAAAATCGATCCTGGGTTTCAATAATATTTTTGTTATAAAATACACAGTCATACATGTTGAACAAGTAACGTAGTTGCATGATGTCTGCGGCCTTCATCCTATTCATAGCAATATTAGAAATTAATTGAATTTCGTATGTAGCCGTTCATGCATGTATGAAGATTGTGCCGGTTTTTGAAAAGTGAACGACAAGTACAGTATGAAGTTCTAGCAAAACATTCCTAATTGTGTCTTTCGATCATAATAAAGTGTGGCTAGCACTCCGCCAAACCCGATTTACTACAATGAGCATGTTCTAGCAACTTAGGACATGATGGAAAGTGACCGTTATCTTGTAGCTGGAAATGTTTGTGAGCCAGAGGTGAACACCAGCGAAAGGTGCACCCCAACTGAAAACGTCTTGAAACACACTGGGCTTGGTTGTGTTACAGTGCATGCAAGTGATTTGATTTGAATAGGCTCAACGATGAAGGCATTGAAAGGTTTGTGTGTGTTTGCGTGCGTGCGTGCGCGCGCGTGCGCGCGTGTGTGTGTGTGTTTATGTAATGAGCGTTTATGTGTCCTTCCACACTTATTTAGTTCATACGTTTCTCAAAAGAAGCATTCTTGTGATTTCCCTTCCCACAGGTCTCCAGTGCCCTCTTCCTCCATCCATCCGAAATGGCTTTAGAACTCTTTCATCCACACAGTACCACAGGGAGGTAAGGGGTCCTTATTTGCTTGTTTTACATGAGCCCACATTAGCAATGATCATGCAACTATCGCCTGTAAGACCTCTCCTTCCATTGACCTCTATCATAAGGCTTTATAATGCGTATTAGATTTGCTAGAGATAACAGTGCGACAACATGCTTTTTTGTTTACAGAGCACAGGTTTACGCAAATGAATACACACAGCTTCAAGAACCTTCAACTTTCGGCCATACTGTAGAACGGGTAATTTTAGCGACGTAAAAACCCTAGCGAATTTAGCGATCAACTCATTTTCGCTAAAGTTTCAAGTCGCTAATCCGTTGAGATACTAGTAGTGCACTGGTGATCTGTGAGTAAAATCCAGGCGCGTGCTCGGCGATGGGCACCTGGGGCACGTGCACCCCCCAAAAATTTTCAATCTGGGTAATTGCAAATATGCAGAAAATTGCCAGGGGGGGGGGGGGGGCTCCCCTCGGCTCCCGTGCACCCCCCTAGTTGGGGGGCCGAGCACGCCCCTGAAAATCGCTGCAAATCGCTAAAATAGAACGCCGCTAACCGGTTGACAATGGGAAAACGCTAAAAATTAATAGCCGCTAGAATTACCCGTTATACAGTAACGTGCACGACACAACACAGAAAAACGAAAATCATCTTACACTTGCAAACACTTGGAGTGAGATAAGAAATGCAAATACAAAAACACAGCAGACTTCTGACGATCAACATCTCCATCTACTCGCCATCATCATCAGCACCCACCGTCCAATGTCATCCTCGGGGGCGGATCCAGGAGGGGTTCCAGGAGTTCCGCGTCACGCGAAATTACACATCTATGAGCGACATCCACAGAACCTGCTGGGAGGGTACACGTGTACTCGAGTCTCATCCTGAGCACCTTTTTTCTTTTTTTTCCAGCTCCAGTAAAGCTGTATTTTTCATTGTAAAGCCTTCCTCGATTGTTGTGTTCTTTGTTAAAACGAAGTGGCCATTCAATCAAGAAGGCAGAGGACATACGAGCCTGATTGGAGTTTCTCGTGCCATAGGACGGCCACACAGAGACACTTTGCGATTTTCTGAATATAAAATACCGTACGCACGATGCAGACTTCAATTTGTGCGATATCAAGATTGTTCGTGATCTACCACATCGAGCAGAACGGGATCCAAACACAAGTTTACCGACGGTTAGGCTGCCGACCTGACTGGACAAACAATCCCTGGCTTCACCAGACGCCAGAAGTCAGAAACCATATCCTTTGCCGAGACGTCCATCTCCAAAAAGAACTCCATCTTCGTCTAAAAGGGCTTGAAATATTCAATATTCAACCGAGATTCGCGGGCTCACGCTTTCTCAGATCAAATCATTTTTTTGTTGTAGCAGTTGCAGGGTAGATCCCCGCCACCACTTCAACAGGGTTTGGCTCCAAAGCATGCCTGGAACAAGCCATATCGAGGTTGCAGGCCATCCCTCTCAGCAAGAAATTCGAAATTTCAATGGTGGAAGATATAGTATGAAGACAATTTCAAAAAGTATGGTTCGCGGTGCGATCATTCAACCTACATCATTCAAACTTTCCAGGATGGTTCTGACCTACATGCTAGGCATGGAACCACAGGGTTTGATGTTATAGCTGACACACAGAGTCGCACACACAGCACATTCGTGCGCACAGGTACTAAATTAGTGGGCGTCGTCATCTTCTTCCCACTGGTCTCAAATGTACTATGATGTGCTATTTCGCCTGACGGCAGAACCCCCTAAATTTCGTGAATGTACTACAGTCGTCCCTCTTTAATCCAGCACTTTATAAACCAGCACCCTCGATAAACCAGCACAATTTTCAGTAGCCAAAATGTCCTCTTCATGCACATTGCAGCAGTAAATCCGATTTGTTAATCCAGCACCCTCCCTAAAACAGCAGATTTCCGTGGCACAAATGGTGCCGGATTATAGAGGGACCACTGTACTGGCAACCATATGCTTGTCCATGTACAGTGCGTATCGGTTATAGCGTGGTCGTGTAAAAGAATATACTGCCTACAAGAATGAACTCTCATGTTTTCATAATCATAACATGGGTTTCAAGTGCACTTTTATTCGTACAAGCAATTTTATCGCATAGTAGAATATATCGGTCCTAAGAATGGACTTTGCGTAGCAAAACATGCCAGATTAGTACAAAGTGTATCGCCTGTAGTAATAACATTCTGTCCCATGCAGCTCTGATCTGACTCTAGCTGCGTGGTAGTGCTGCTGCAGGTTCAACTGTTGTGGGGTCATGTACATGTAACTGATGTTGGATAGCCGCCGCGTGGTTAGCCTATGGAGCTATGACCAGCCGTACTGCACAGTAGCACTACATTGCATAGGATATGTCACACTTGATGTATCGTGTGTAAGAAATATCGGAAATAAGAATAGAAGTCGTTTTTCAAACGCCCACGCTATAACCGATACCCACTGTACATGTATCAGCTATTCAGTTTTGGCTATACTGGAACCCCCCCCCCCCCCCCCCCCCCCCTGTTGAGATCTCTGTATCCGCCGCTGATCCTCCGATCTTTCATCCGTACCCATCTCCGACTCTTCCTCTGCTCCATCCTCCTCTTCGACCTCGCTCACTTCTCCATCCTGTCCATGTCCATTAGACGCCGCTGGTAGACTCCTTAATTCACCAGCACGGTAAGTATTTGCATCAATTGATGTTGCAATTGTCCACAGTTTCTTGATATCCGGAGCCGCCACCCACAACAAGAAATAGACAGGGAATTGAGAGACCAAGAAGAGCAACTGTGAACTACACTATGAATTATTATGACACCGGATATGAAGAAACTGCGAGGACAACTGCAACATCAATTGATGCATATTATACTTACCATGCTGGTGAAATGAGAAGTCTACCAGCGGCGTCTAATGGACATGGACAGGATGGAGAAGTGAGCGAGGTCGAGGAGGAGGAGGATGGAGCGGAGGAGAAGTCGGAGATTGGCACGGATGAAGGATCGGAGGACGACATGGATGGTGGTGCTGATGATGATGGTGACGTCAGGCGAAATTACTGGTCAGTCGGCGTCACGCATTTTTCACAAAAAATTGCGTTTCACCTGCTGGGAGAGTATGCGTGTACTCGAGTCTCATCCTGAGCACGTTTCTTTCTTCTTTTTTTCAGCTCCAGTATAGCTGTATTTTTCATTGCAAAGCCGTCCTCGATTGTTGTGTTCGTTGTTCAAACGAAGTGGACATTCAATCATGAAGGCAGAGGACATAGGAGCCTGGTTGCAGTTTCTCGTTGCATAGGACGGCCACACAGAGACACTTTGGGATTTTCTGAATATAAAATACCGTACGCACGATGCTGAGATCAATTTGTGCGATATCAAATTGTTTGTGATCTACCACATCGAGCAGAACGGGATCCAAACACAAGCTTACCGACGGTTAGGCTGCCGACCTGACTGGACAAATGATCCCTGGCTTCACCAGATGCCAGAAGTCGGACACCATGTCCTTTGCCGCGACGTCCATCTCCAAAAAGAACTCCATCTTCGTCGTGAAAAGGCTTGAAATACTCAATATTCAACCGAGATTCGCGGACTCGCGCTTTCTCGGATCGATTAATTTCCTGTTGGAACAGTTGCAGGGCAGCTTCCCGCCACTGTTTCAACAGGCGATGGCTCCAAAGCATACCTGGAACAAGCCATATCGAGGTTGCAAGCCACCCCTCTCAGCAAAAAATTCGAAGAAATTCGAAATTTCAATGGTGGAAGATATACTATGAAGAGAATTTCAAAAAGTATGTTTCGTGGAGTGATCGCTCAACCTACGTCATTCAAACTTTGCAGGATGGTTCAGACGTACATGCTAGCCATGGAACCACAGGCGATGATGCCATAGCTGACACACAGAGTAACACACACAGCAGATTCGTGTGCACAGATACTAAATTAGTGGACGTCGTCATCTTCTTCCCGCTGATCTCGAATGTACTATGACGTGCTATTTCGCCTGACGGTTGGATGGAGGTGTTGATCGTCAGAAGTCTGCTGTGTTTTTGCACTGTGTTCTGTCGTGCACGTTATGCCCGACAGTTGAAGGTTCTTGAAGCTGTGTGTATTCATTTGCGTAAGCCTGTGCTCTGTAAACAGAAGAAGCATGTTGTCGCGTTGAAATTGTTTTGTTAAAGGGGACGTATACCCAAAAATCAAATTTTCACATTGCACATCAGACTACATGTAGCGGGTGGCTGTGTTGCGTTCAGTCTATTAGAACACGGTCTCTACTTGGCAGGTAGTATAAAAGTTTAGGGTTCACGGATTGGCATGCTAGTGTCGCCAGCTACATCATGCACGTGACAGGCGCGTGCATATACTGTACCACACAATCGGTCAGTGCTCAAATCGCATTTTACCATCAATATCACTCACTTTCAACTCTACGGGATTCATTACGGTTGGCTCAAGCTGCCTGAATTTTTGAATCCACACGCACGAAAGACGTTCCAAGACTTCCACCGTTCGTTTTTTTTCAAACGAGTTCTGGGTTTTCTAGTAACTTTGGCCAAAGTTCGGCTAAGGAAACAGGGGGAGCCGTTGTGTTTCCGTAAAATATTGAACGGTAAAAGGATAGCCAAGGTTGAGAGCAAAACATTAAGCCATTATTTGTCAAAATCGAACAAAAAACGGCTCAGCGCATCTATTTTCCGTGCACGCGCGCGCGCGCGCATACTTTGGCCGACAAGGTGTGCAGAATTTCTGAAGAAGAAGAATAACAAGAGCAGCAGCGCTCGGAACAGCCGTGCTGGATACTTCCAATCCCAACACGATGGAGCGTGTTGGCTGTCGCGAGCTGCTGAAACGACCATGACATTTCTTTTTCTTTGTATACCCTACATATCTTGACGTGCCCTTGCTCAGTTTCGGCCTCTTTACAGGAAGAATATGTTCTTCCTTGGCATCAGCCATTTCGGCCAAACAGCAAGAAAAGCAACAGATCGAGATTTGCAAGGCAAACAAAGGATGCGTGAAGCTACATCTAGTCAGGTTCGATGCAGCTGCGCTTTGCCAGAACCTCAGCAGACAAGAAAAGGCGACAGAGTGTCTCAGATGGAACTGGATTTTTCGCCAAGACCGCCACCAAGTCATCATCAAGTCCAGGTCAGTCAGAAAAACCGAAGCAAAAATGCAAAGCCCGAGTGAAGTGAAGGAAAAATTCAAAAAGTACGCTCTCCGGCTAGTCTTCGAGTCGATATTTGTTTACTTCGACAGGCGCTGTCGCGGCCTGTCGCGCGACTCCATAATCCGAAATGGAGGCGCACGTGACGGGTGCTTTTAGTGGCAAGCCGTGAACCATAAAGTTGTCCATCATAGAATACGTTTAGAAAGATGATTTGAGACTTCTGTTCAAGAATCGTGTACAGTGCAGAAGCCAGTAGTATACTACCAGCTACATGTATGTAGATGAGAAAGAGGAGGGGATGATACAGTGTGCAAGCGGTGTTCACACATCCTAAGACCTAATCACCTACAAGTACATACTAGACGGCCTTGAGGTGGAAAAGGGCTCACTACTAGTTAGTATTGTTCAGGAGGTTGCACATGTCACTGACATGCACCCTCGTTTCGTGTTACATGTAGCTGTGACCTTCATTAGGGTTCACACTTTTAAGTCACAGGCTTTGTGTTCACCTTCTTTTGCGCCTGCTGATGGAGTTCTTTGCATGCAAGTGTTATAAGCTAAACGATTTCACTGCGGGAGTCAGTTGGCTATAGTGCTAACGAGTTCGTTGGAAGGCTTCAAGCAAGTGGCAGAGTTTTCTAACAGAGTTCTCTTGATAGTCGTGAGCTGGTCCTTTGTGTGGTTTGGAAGTGTGTGCCGAGGCAGGAGCACGCCTCTACAGCTTGAACAAGTATCCTGATATGTGGAGCACTCCTAAAACTGTACATTGACACGTTATAGTTGACAGCACACTTGTGGTGGAGCGCAGTTATTACCCAGCTGCTGCATGCCGTTTGTTAACCCTCTCAGTGCCACGGGCGACTTTAGTCGCCCAGAATGAGTATGTGTGTACAAATAAATTCGTATCTCCACTTCTACACACAGGAGAGTTACAAACGACCACTCTACGTGTTCAGGAAGACCTTGGCTATCGACTCATCACATCGCTTTGTGTCCGTGGGGATAGATATCGCCAGGGCGAAGCCTGAAGTGCGCGCGCTCGGACAAACAATTGTCGCGCGTAGAAAACATGACGTATGCGCATCGCGGGTTTCTCTATTTCTTTCGCGGCAACCCATGCGTATTGGCTATCAAAACATCGAGATTTTCAGTGGCTTTTGGGCCAACTTTGTCCGAATTTCGTGCGTTGAACGTTGACTGCACTGTGATCGATCGCGCGCGTGAGAAAGTGCAGATGCTACGAAAATGCAGAAAACGGACTTCGCTCAGGCGCCCTCGCGAGGAAGACTATTTTCGCTGCATTTTCTCTTCACAGCTGTCTGCCTGGCCATGATATCTTTCCAGAGAGCCATCGTTTGTAAAGATCCGTGGATATACAGCTGAGCTATGAAAAATTTGAGTTTGGCTCAACTCAGAAAAATTTGAATTTTTCTGACCCCCTTGGCACTGAAAGGGTTAAAGAATGAGTATTCTTGGTTTGATCTGTTGCCTGGAGATTGATCTTCGTTTGAAACTCGAGTTGAAGTGGAAAACATCGTGTTGCAGTATTTTGGCCTAGATTTGATCTAGCTCGGCTATATTATCTGATTATTGTTGTGGACCTGCAGGTGATCTACACATACAGATGTAACAAAGGCTATATTCTGCAAGGAAATAATAAGTTGGAGTGTCTGGAAAATGGCAACTGGTCAAAGGAGCCACCAACATGTGAAGGTTAGTCTTACCGTGTAGTAGAGTCAACTTTGCGCATAACGACACTCGGCGGGGCATCAGAAAAGTGTCGTGATTCGCGAAGTGTCATTATACCCGAAGTGTCATTATACCCGAAGTCTCTTTATATGTATCTATTATTGAACGATTAAAGAGGTCAATATATGAAATATATGGGTCCCCCGAGGTCTTTTACGAGGTCTATATTTCATATATTGACCGATTATGAGGGCAATAATAGATTTATCACGACATAGCATACCTAACGAAGTAGCGGTGAGGCATCCTGCAGCTTCATAACTCGAAGAGAATTGGTGAGCAAACATGCTCATTCCCGTTGAAAATGATCATGTAAAATGAAATGAGTTGTGAATTTTCAGTGCCCAGGGAATGAGCATGTTTGGTCACCAATTCTCTTATAGCATACCTAAACTGTTTTTAACTTTGTTTATAGGAAGAAAGGAATACTATTGTAATACATGTAATACATAGTATGTACATGTGCCGTTTACACTGGACATTACTTCTCTGTAAACAGAAGTTTTCAGTTGTTACTTGTAGTATGTTCCCCAAGTTCTTTGACTGAGAATCTGACAATTTGGGTTCAAGTCCCAGCATTTGGCTTCAGATTTTTCTTCTTTCATTTCTGATTTTTTCTAAGTTCAGGAAAAAGTTCTAAGTCCTCGGGCTAAGTGGTCAATATCCTTAATTTGGCCGTCACAAGAATTCAGCGTATTCTTGCAGTTTTTATGTTTTGTTTCGGCTTGTATTGGACCAATTAAGCATGTTTATAAGTTTGAACTGAATATGTCCATGCGTTATGGAAATATTTATATGTTCCCAAAAGGGAACGTTGGCCGGATCGCGTACCAAAAAGACCCTGGTTTTTATGAAGGGAAGATGCAATATGATATAATGGATTATGTTGCCTTCTAAGTGTTTGTGGAGCAATGCAAACATGAACAAGCAGTAATGGAGAAGAAAAAATATGTAATAGTCGTCAAGGAGTGTCCAACAATGTTTCTTAGTGTTTTCGTCTGATACCGTTCGCGTCTCGTATACACCGTAGTATTCGATCCACGATCGAAATGCAGTCGAACTCCACACTTAGAACAGTAACATATCGTGGTTTGTCTGCACCATTTAAAACGACATTGTGTTCTTCATATTCTGTGTTGTCAAACGCCCTTATATTGCACATCAACAGCAAGACACTGGTGGTTCTGGGCGGGGTCGGCTATAATAAAATAGGACGGCGATCTCGGAATGAAATTGGATGTAGGACGTCGGCTTGGGGCTCGTCGCTGCTTGAAAAATTGGCACTCCCAGATCAGTTGTAAGACTGTGGAGCCAGACAAAAAGAATTACTTCATGAAGTACACTGAATCTCTCAAGATTGTCGGTCTCGGAGCTAATGTGGGCCTTGTTCGTATCGCCGGTATCGCGCGGTACTTACTCGTCAAATAGTGTTTAGAGATGTACAGGGTGTGTATATCTCGCAATTGGCAAGTGGGTGATGCTGTAGTGATCTCGTGGTGATCGTGAAGGGATTTGTCCAGTTCTATTTCAGGACCCCTATCGTAAACACCAGTCTATTTCACCCAACGCGTTGCTCCAGCGGGTTGGCGTTTTTTTGCCGTCGTACTCACTATCAACAGGACAGGCACCAACATCATCATCATCCTCTCCATTCGTCACCTGGTAGTTGTCTAGGTCCATATATCTTGCAAGTTCGATGAAACCCTTATCATCCGTTGAATCATCTGATTACTACTCTAGTTCATCGTCCATGTTCAGATCAACGAGAGTGGTGAGCACACATGCTCTTTCCCTGGGCACAGCAAATTCACTGCATCAGAATCACTGAACCATACCCACCATGCAGTGAACTGAGTTGTGAATGTGCAGTGCTCAGGGAAGGAGCAAGTGTGCTCACCACTTCTTTTCGAGTTGTGAAGCTGCAGAATGCCTTACCCCTATAGCGCTTACGTTCAGATTGCCAGTAATCGGTGGCGCTATGACTAGGTCCTGAAGTGTGTTGGAGTTCTCAACAATGCCCTTAGCTTCCATTGGAATCACTTTTGAGTCCCTTTCCAGAAAGGGCTGTGCTACTGTAAAAATGTCCCTCTGCCATACCTAATTACAGGTAAAGCGATATTTTCTGACAAAAATGCAACCGCGCGGAGGAAAAAATCATCGAAAGTCCAGGAGAACGGCATAAAGCACCCATACTTTGCTGAATATTGTTCAAGTGAATCTTTTCACACAAAAGAAAACCTACTTCAGAAATATATCCCTTTGGAGACTGTTTAGCAATCTTTACTTTGGCAAATGTCAGGCTCGCACAGCATTGCTGTATTCCGCATGCTTGTGAATCACAAATATAATACCAAATTTGGTTACCATGGAGACGGTCCAATCACCATCAAAACATCAAAAAGGCTCCATCAGTTATATCCACGTTTACGGATGTTACAAACAAGGCATATGCGTTAGATATGCTGGTTCCTGAAATCTGGTGAAAATGAGGTATATCTGGGTCTCGGATCAGGCCAATGTTCCCTTTTGGGAACATCGAAGGAAGACGGCGGGTTTCTATGTGCTATGACCAAATTTTCGGTGAATCTTCAGGCCAGTTGGGTGGCCATAGTAGCAGAGTGCAATTCTTACATGTGGATTAGCCTGATAAAGACTGTTTTTCACACCAGAATTCTCAATTTCTGAAGTACGGCCGAATACCGAAAATTCACGACATTTCGCGTTATATCCCGATACTTGACAATTTCAAAAGCCTGACAATTATTCCAAGATTCATGATCATCAGCCTTCTTGATATGTATATAAACAGAAAATGCGGAGGAAAAATGAATTTCCCTTGACCAAATCGCATGCGGAAAGATATGTTCCCTTTTGGGAACATTGGCCTGATTAAGGATATAAGCGGTCAATATATTATGCTGATATTTGACCAACGCATATGGCCGATTGGTTTGCAGGCCTGCCTGCGAATCATGAGGTCCCGAGTTCGAGACCCGCACTGGTAGCAGGGAGCGTGTAAAGACTTTTTATGCGTGGTGAACTGCGCCGACACCCACGGTCAACTGGGTACTCACAGCTCGGAGTAAGGGTAACAAGGATGCAGTTTACAGGGTTATGGGCCGTTACACGCCCGATTGGTTGAGATACTCACCTACTCTCCCCTGACTCACTTTTGAGGTCTGCATTTGCCACTAAGGTGTACAAGGCATAGGCATAGTGGTGGCCTGCGGAAGCGAAGGCTAGTTTGTGTGTTTCTGAACATTCAAGCGATGCCAACGCGAATTATTATTATTATTTGACCGCTTAGAGATCACAAGTTTCTGTGGGGGTCTATAACAAGAGAGTGATAAAATGCATTACAGTTTGAATTCTTTATTCTCACGATGGCACCATCGCCAATAAGAGATAAATTGATGAGAAGGTGAGATTGTGGGTTAAACAGTTGGAAAGTGATTTACATCACAGTTAGATGGGACTTTGCCGTGGGTATGAAAATTCTGCGAATTGTTGTTAAATCCGCAATCATTATTAGCGAAGTTTGAATTCTTTATTCTCACGATGGCACCATCGCCAATAAGAGATAAATTGATGAGAAGGTGAGATTGTGGGTTAAACAGTTGGAAAGTGATTTACATCACTTTGAACTTTACAAGTATGGGAGAGGGTGAGCGCTGCAGGAGCAGATTGAGTTAATCAGCAGTGAGCAGATTTCTTGCTTGAAAGCAGGTCGGGAGGAGACGTCACGAATGCTAGCAGGGAGGGCATTGTAGTATTCTAGGGACTTGTACAGTGGGGAGTCTTTACAGCGATCGGTTCTGGAGGGTGGTCTGTAGTAGTTGTTTTAGCCTGTTTTACAGTTTAGCACTAGCATGCATGTCAGTTTAGCAATAGCATGCATGTCAGTTTAGCACTAGCATGCATGTCAGTTTAGCAATAGCATGCATGTCAGTTTAGCACTAGCATGCATGTCAGTTTAGCAATAGCATGCATGTCAGTTTAGCAATAGCATGCATGTCAGTTTAGCAATAGCATGCATGTCAGTTTAGGAATAGCAGGCGCGTACGCAGGGTCACCTCTAGTGGGGTTTCCAACCGAATCGCAAGCATTGACTCGTTTTTAAACCCTGTCTAAAGAGCCCTACAATATATATACAATGTACCCGGTTAAAACAGCTCCTTTTCGAAAATGTTATCAATAGTGTTGAAACGATCTCACCGGATACTCGTTAGCTCGCTCGCCAGAAACTCGGCTCGTTTGTGCGGCCAGCTCGTTTGCACTAACGAACACCGTACACCGCACTCCGTACACATGGCAGTACATGTCGACTGGGGAGTCGTAAAATATTTTACGACTCCCTGGTCGATCATGAGTCCTGTCCCGAGCAAACAGCAAAGTGAAAATCACTCGCAGTTACGGTGACTGTATGCCTGCACGACACTTGAGTTGTTTCAGTTGTCGTTGCAGCTTTGGTGGACTCTACTGATGTCTTGTTCCGCATCTGCTGACCTGTCGCAGGATATGCTTCGCCGTTCGGTCACCTCTCCATTCGAGTGAAAGTTACGCTCAGTCGTTTGGAAGTTTTCTCCCGCGATGCAGCGAAGACCAGGGCAACTTGCAATCTTTGCAAAATGGTCTATTCTTACAAAGGCTACTCAACGACGGCGCTGAAAAGACATATCGACACCAATCAGAAAGTCCGAAGTGAAGCAGCAGCAATCCCAAATGCCGGGGGTGATGATTTGTACCAGCTGAAAAAAATCTACTTCGAAGTAACTTAGAAAAAAAACATTCAAAAAAAACATATTTGCCACATCAATGAAACTCGTTAGCTCGCTCGATAGCTTACTCGTTAGTGGAACCGATCGCTCGTTTGTTATAGATACGCTCGTTTCAACACTAGTTATCAATGAGTGATGTGTCGCTATTTTTTGCTTTGATTGGTGCTTTTCCCCAATGTCATGCAGTCGTATTTATTCAGCTTTTATTTCTTGTGTACTTGCATACTGGTATTAGTTTAGCCCCACAACCTGCGATAAAATGATCAGCTGTAGCACCTACTCCACTTTTATGTTTATGTATCTATGTCATTCGGATCTTCCCAAGTTGTACATTGTACTGTTGAGATACCGAATTCAAATAAATCAGTACCATACGTATATAATATTACCTGAAGCCGAGTGAATATGGGCGAATATTCACTAATATACAAACCGAGGCGAAGCCGATGTTTGTATAACTAGTGAATATTCGCCCATATTCACGAGGATGAAGGTAATATTAGACTTATACCTCTCCATATTCACCCTCTCGTCCCTAAAACCCAACAAACGAGTCCTGTTGGTCATACATATACATGTACGCAGAACTAACGCAAGTCATTGTTGCTTCACTGAGCCTTCAGACCGACTGGCGTGTTCTTGCCTGAATCGGAGGGCGGCTTGTCCAGAATCTTGTTCAATCGATCGTGTACACGTACTGGTGCATGTGGCATGGGAGGTGACGACCTTGGAGAACACGCTCGTGCCAATCACCATGGAGAACACACTCGTGCAGCTTTGTGGCGGGAGCCAATCATTAGAGAGGTTTCGTTTCACGCGAAGATTTGACCAATCAGAGAGAGGTTTCGTTTCGCGCGAAGATTTGACCAATCAGAGAGAGGTTTCGTTTCACGCGAAGATTTGACCAGTCCGCGATCATCGCGCCAATTTGCGAGTCGGTTTATAACAGCGAGCCAAGTGGTTCTACCCTCACTTCTTTTCTTTTTAGGCAGCGCTTCGGAGCTGTTGTGTGCCCTAGGAAAATTCTACGCTAACGTCCTTGAACAAACGAAATTCCTGGCTTGCCGCTTGAATCCGCAATCATCGGGCCATTGACATGTTGAGCGTCCAAAACCTTGTTTGCTCGCTGGAACGCTCCGTCTGTGAAGATGCTCACTGTCAGCACCTAGTCACATGCGGATCCAGCGGCAATGGCAAGCAAGGAATTTCGTTTGTACTCAGAAAAGTCCTGTCTACGGAAGTTAGCGTAGACATTTTCTAGGGCACTCGACAGCTCCGGTGCGCTGACTGAAGAGGAATCAAGCGCAGCACCGAGTACTGCTCTCTTTACAGTACAATGTAAGTATCGAAAAGTGGTGAATATAAGCGGTGAATATTCAGCAATAATCACCACTTATGTAGATGGCCAATTGTATGTGGGTGAATATGGAGTGAGGTATAACATACCATATAGGAAATTTTCAAAATGATGCATTTTTTCGTGTTCTTTGGATCATAAACTTCAGTTCTACTCACTCAATCTTCATTATCTTAGAGGCTTCCTGGAAGTGGAAAGGTACACCTACCAGGGAGAGAATGAGGTCGACCATGATAGCCAGGACTCAGTACAGCCATGTACATATCCAGCTCTATATGCTATGCCGGTAGAGTGCAGCGACGGTGCGAAAAAGTGCCCAAACTGGGCGAAAGGCCGAAAAACGCGTCCTGCTCCAGCGATTTCGCTTTTCTTGATCGCAGAGTTTCGTTTTTTTGCTGTGTACTCTTGACAATATCACAAGTGAAGCTCCTGCAAATAATTGAGCAAGTCAGCGGGACGAAAAGTCTCAAATTCTCGATACTCGAGTCGCACTGCGCGCTTTTGAAATTTCGAGATCGCGGCTCAACTTACGAACGATTTATCTCAAGAGACATTGCTCGCAGCGCGTCGCAAATTGTTTCAACCGACAGCTGAGCGTTTTCTATTCGACCTGGATATCTGGATCGTTAGATTTGAGCGAGATTTGTCTGAGTTACGATCTGTCGAAGTTTCGCATTCTTGCCAGATTGATCGTGCGCCCTACCAAAATATGCCCAAAAACGTTGCTCGTTTGGAACATTTGGGGGTTTTCCGGGCAACGGGAACCCCCCCCCCCCTGCGTACGCGCCTGATAGCATTTTTTTATATTTTATTTTTTATGAAAGTGCACATATGGAAGATAAAAACAACAACATTATGCATCACGCATGCATGTCAGTTTAGCAATAGCGTGCATGTCAGTTTACCAATAGCGTGCATGTCAGTTTAGCAATAGCATGCATGTCAGTTTAGCAATAGCATGCATGTCAGTTTACCAGTCACATTGTAGAAGCACATCTAATTCGAAGTTTTCCAATGGTCCAAGATAGGGTTTGAATCGGAGCCAATGGACACTGATCACTCAATAAAGATATCTGTAAAACACGGACAGGCATTGAAAAGAAAGATGATGAGGCCGAACTGAATAACATCTTTGTTTCGGGTAACATGGCGAGAATTTCAGCGGTCAGTCCGTCGGGTTACCTTTTTTACCAGATATTATAATTCATGAGTAACAGTGGTGTCTAAAACATCTGCTGACCACAGCAAACCAAGCAGCTCAAAAAGTAGAAAGTGATGCTGTAGTCTTTCATAATGGAGATGCTAGACCCTACTAACACAATGTGAGGAGGGAAGACAGCCATTTCCTCATGATGATGATTGTCGGCATCATGAAATCTGGCTTATGGTGTGCAGTGTCTGCTCTAGGATTGTAGGACAGCCGGGTACACGTGTACCTGGCGCAACCATTTCAACCGGGTCGGAGCCAGGTGGTTGGTTGGTTTATTTTAATTCGGACAATAAACGGGAACTAGGCCCAATGATATAAAGGCGAATGGATAAGCCGCATTTAGAAAAGAGAGGACAGGAATTAGAAAATTACGAAAGAAGAAGAAGTATCTGACACATACAAGCCATGGAGTCAATCCTTTCAAAGCTCGAAAGTGTAAAGTACCAACCGGGTCACAGGTGACCCGGTACTATATTTTCAACCGGGTCCAAGCGCCGCCCAACCGGGTGGATTACCCGGCTCACCCGGCTCTGGAGCAGACACTGGTGTGGTTGCAAGCGTATTCCTTTGTCTTTGTTTGTGTGTCCAGTGAAATGTGGTGCATCACTACCAGCCGATTTTCTGCAGCAGTCGCAAGCACTGTCAAACAACTCCAACACCACCTTTCAATGTGGACGATCAGCTGCCGATATCATTGTTGTGTTTGATGTGTCCAAAAGCATGTCAGATTCACGCTTAGATCGGCTGCAAATGATCTCAAAAAGTCTTGAAACATCTCTTAGGGAGCGTGGGTTTGGCCTGTACCCTGGAATAGACAATCATTATACTCTTGTCAGCTTTGGTAACCGTGATGGAGTACCACGTGTCATTCGTAACAATAACAATTCACTGGTATATGACATTGGTGGATTTAAGGAGGCTAGCAAGAAGCTGTTGAAAATACCTGGAGGTTCCAATGAATATGGTTACCATGCTATTGAGTTTGCTTTGGAGCACATCACTGATCAGTCCAATAAGCAACTGCTAAGACTGAATCGTTCAGATATAGCAATAATTGTTCTATTGATCTCGGATGAGGACCGAGATGTTATGCCCGGGACAGATATTTCTCGGTCAAATTTGAAGAGGAAATTGAGGAGGAACGGAGTCCATATGGAAGTTATTGTCGACAATAGAATTGGTCTTGAGGGTGCTTATGGTGTTGATTCCAGTTACCGGCTTTACTCATCAGATCTGACTGTTACAAACGGAAATAAATCCTTAGCTAATCTGAGAACAGATGTTTACAAGAGAACTTACAAAGACTATACATCAGTTGCATTGGAACTTGGTGGAGCCATGTGGGATTGGAACTACATCTTCAGAGAAGAGAAAGTGAACTCGTCACATGTGGATGCTTTTGTCAACTATACAGTGTCGTCGGTGGAGCATAAAGTTCACAAGTGTTGCTCATGTAGCTGTGTTCAGGGTGCCACTCATCGAGCTCTGCATTGTGATGTGGCCAAGAAAGAGAGCGAGTGTAAAGGTATGACCTGATCTTGTGTTTGCTTGACCGCATTATATTGCTGGAGCCATTGCATTCATTATATTCATCCGCAAAATTGATATGCCATAATTCTCCGGAATGTCTGCCTCACTTAGGTCTAAGCAGCGCCCCTCCTTCCATGCCGAAATAGAAATTTGTTTGATATTGGCAGCATAAGCCACACGTAGGACTGTGAATTGTATTGCATTTCAACAAAACAATGATGATGATAAAGACACTAGGCCAGCACGCATATAGCTGAACTCAGAAATCAAGTGAAGGTCACGCATATATCCACAACGTGGAGCCAGTGCATTCTGCCTGAGGCAAGTGGCTACACTTGGAAAAGAGATCTATTGAGAAGTACAGAGGCAGTATGCTAAGGTTGCTATTGAGAAGTAAAAAATCAATCCTGATGTTCTCTATCGATGTGATCACTGGGTATTGTCGGACCCCCGGGCTTAATCAGTGAAATTAATATCAGAAATGAATTGAATTTCGTATGTAGCCGTTCATGCATGTATGAAGATTGTGCCGGTTTTTGAAAAGTGAAGGACAAGTACAGTATGAAGTTCTAGCAAAACATTCCTAATTGTGTCTTTCGATCATAATAAAGTGTGGCTAGCACTCCGCCAAACCCGATTTACTACAATGAGCATGTTCTAGCAACTTAGGACATGATGGAAAGTGACCGTTATCTTGTAGCTGGAAATGTTTGTGAGCCAGAGGTGAACACCAGCGAAAGGTGCACCCCAACTGAAAACGTCTTGAAACAAACCTGGACTTGATTGTGTTACAGTGCATGCAAGTGATTTGATTTGAATAGGCTCGACGTTGCGGAAGCCATTGAAAGGTGTGTGTGTGTGTGTGTGTGTGTGTGTGTGTGTGTGTGTGTGTGTGTGTGTGTGTGTGTGTGTGTGTGCGCGCGTGTGCTTGTGCTTGTGTGTGCTTGTGTGTGTGTTTATGTAATGAGCGTTTATGTGTCCTGCTACATTTAGTGGATAATTTCTTAATGAAAGCATTCTTGTGATTTTCTTGTGATTTTTTGATGATTGAAAGGTGTGTGTGTGTGTGTGTGTGTGTGTGTGTGTGTGTGTGTGTGTGTGTGTGTGTGTGTGTGTGTGTGTGTGTGGGTGTGTGTGTGTGTGTTTGTAATGAGCGTTTATGTGTCCTGCTACACTTATTTGGTTGATACTTTTCTCAAAAGAAGTATTCTTGTGATTTCCCTTCCCACAGTTCCCCAGTGCCCTCCTCTTCCATCCATCCAAAATGGCGTTAGAACTCTTTCATCCACATCGTACCAAAGGGAGGTAAGGGGCCCTTATTTGCTTGTTTGACATGAGTCCATGTTGTAACTGCCTTTCTCTACCTGGTCCCAGTCCCGTGCCATCTCCACACTTGTACAAAGGGACGACGATAACTACATTTAGGAAGACTGTTTATTACGAGACGACGACGGAAACACAACTAGACATGACGAACTCAAGACGAAGACATGATGAACTCAAGACGAAGACATGATGAACTCAAGACGAAGACAGCTTTTCACACCACAGCAACACGCGCATGCACCAACATGACGTACACACGAAGTTCACAAAATAACGTTCTACAACATCCACATTAGCAATGATCATGCAACTATCACCTGTAAGACCTCTCCTTTCATTGACCTCTATCATAAGGCGTTATGATGCACCCTCCGCCAGACCAATTGGCTATGGGCCACTGACGTCCACCAGCACTGAGAATAACCGGTTGTCTCTATTATTATCATTTTCTGTTTCTCTCTCTCTCACTCTTCCTCTCCTGGGAAGCTCCTCATGCTCATTCTCCCTTTCTTCAATGGCCGAGAGCTCTGTCGCACCCTGTAATAATAATAGTAATAATAATCCTGGTATGTGTAGCACTCCTAAAGCTGTACATTGACACGTTGTAGTTGACAGCACACTAGTGGTGGAGCGCAGTTATCACCCAGCTGCTACATGCCGTTTATTAAAGAATGAATATTCTTGGTTTGATCTGTTGCCTGGAGATTGATCTTCGTTTGAAACTCGAGTTGAAATGGAAAACATCGTGTGGCAGTATTTTGGCCTAGATTTGATCTAGCTCGGCTATATTATCTGATTATTGTTGTGGACCTTCAGGTCATATACACATACAGATGTAACAAAGGCTATATTCTGCAAGGAAATAATAAGTTGGAGTGTCTGGAACATGGCAACTGGTCAAAGGAGCCACCAACATGTGAAGGTTAGTCTTACAGTGTAGTAGAGTCAACTTTGCGTATAACGACACTCGGCGGGGCATCAGAAAAGTGTCGTGATTCGCGAAGTGTCGTTATACCCGAAGTCTCTATAACGTATTACAGTTGGATGGGACTTTGCCCTGGGCATGGACGTTCTGTCGTTATTCGCGAATTGTTGTTATATCCGCAGTCGTTATTAGCCAAGTTGACTGTAATAGTTGTTTTAGCCTGTTTTACAGTTTAGCCTTAGCATGCATGTCAGTTTAGCAATAGCATGCATGTCAGTTTAGCACTAGCATGCATGTCAGTTTAGCAATAGCATGCATGTCAGTTTAGCAATAGCATGCATGTTGTTAGAAAATTACCCCCACAACCGGTCTCAGGCATACCACGGCCAAAACACCACACAGGTCTGGACAAGTAATTATACTAACTGGAAGGTTATTGTTTGTGCTAATACATACGACAGTACAACCAGAGAGAGAATTACTTTGTTCACAAAACCATCGCCATCGGAACACACCAGAACTACCGTAAAAAGAGCTAAGAGCAGCGTGTATCAGAAAGGAACTGGAGCATGCATGCGTACCACAGCAAGCCCAAACAGCTGCACAGCATACATGAAACATGACACTACTATTATAACAGCATACACGCATGCGTACAAGAAAGCCGCAACCACAGGATGAATCACGCCCATGAATCACATGACAGGCAACAAGAGGTAAGAAGTAATGTCAACTACACAAGACAGAGTCATACAAGAGAAAGTCATAGTTCGATTACAATGTCAGTTTAGCAATAGCATGCATGTCAGTTTAGCAATAGCATGCATGTCAGTTTAGCAATAGCATGCATGTCAGTTTAGCAATAGCATGCATGTCAGTTTAGCAATAGCATGCATGTCAGTTTAGCAATAGCATGCATGTCAGTTTAGCAATAGCATGCATGTCAGTTTAGCAATAGCATGCATGTCAGTTTAGCAATAGCATGCATGTCAGTTCAGCAATAGCATGCATGTCAGTTTAGCAATAGCATGCATGTCAGTTTAGCAATAGCATGCATGTCAGTTTAGCAATAGCGTGCATGTCAGTTTAGCAATAGCGTGCATGTCAGTTTACCAATAGCATGCATGTCAGTTTAGCAATAGCATGCATGTCAGTTTACCAGTCACATTGTAGAAGCACATGTAATTTGAAGTTTTCCAATGGTCCAAGATAGGGTTTGAATCGGAGCCAATGAACACTGATCACTCAATAAAGATATCTGTAAAACACGGACAGGCATTGAAAAGAAAGATGATGAGGCCGAACTGAATAACATCTTTGTTTCGGGTAACATGGCGAGAATTTCAGCGGTCAGTCCGTCGGGTTACCTTTTTTACCAGATATTATAATTCATGAGTAACAGTGGTGTCTAAAACATCTGCTGACCACAGCAAACCAAGCGGCTCAAAAAGTAGAAAGTGATCGGCTGTAGTCTTTCATAATGGAGATGCTAGACCCTACTAACACAATGTGAGGAGGGAAGACAGCCATTTCCTCATGATGATGATTGTCGGCATCATGAAATCTGGCTTATGGTGTGCAGTGTCTGCTCTAGGATTGTAGGACAGCCGGGTACACGTGTACCTGGCGCAACCATTTCAACCGGGTCGGAGCCAGGTGGTTGGTTGGTTTATTTTAATTCGGACAATAAACAGGAACTAGGCCCAATGATATAAAGGCGAATGGATAAGCCGCATTTAGAAAAGAGAGGACAGGAATTAGAAAATTACGAAAGAAGAAGAAGTATCTGACACATACAAGCCGTGGAGTCAATCCTTTCAAAGCTTGAAAGTGTAAAGTACCAACCGGGTCACAGGTGGCCCGGTACTATATTTTCAACCGGGTCCAAGCGCCGCCCAACCGGGTGGATTACCCGGCTCACCCGGCTCTGGAGCAGACACTGGTGTGGTTGCAAGCGTATTCCTTTGTCTTTGTTTGTGTGTCCAGTGAAATGTGGTGCATCACTACCAGCCGATTTTCTGCAGCAGTCGCAAGCACTGTCAAACAACTCCAACACCACCTTTCAATGTGGACGATCAGCTGCCGATATCATTGTTGTGTTTGATGTGTCCAAAAGCATGTCAGATTCACGCTTAGATCGGCTGCAAATGATCTCAGAAAGTCTTGAAACATCTCTTAGGGAGCGTGGGTTTGGCCTGTACCCTGGAATAGACAATCATTATACTCTTGTCAGCTTTGGTAACCGTGATGGAGTACCACGTGTCATTCGTAACAATGACAATTCACTGGTATATGACATTGGTGGATTTAAGGAGGCTAGCAACAAGCTGTTGAAAATACCTGGAGGTTCCAATGAATATGGTTACCATGCTATTGAGTTTGCTTTGGAGAACATCACTGATCAGTCCAATAAGCAACTGCTAAGACTGAATCGTTCAGATATAGCAATAATTGTTCTTTTGATCTCGGATGAGGACCGAGATGTTATGCCCGGGACAAATATTTCTCGGTCAGATTTGAAGAGGAAATTGAGGAGGAACGGAGTCCATATGGAAGTTATTGTCGACAATAGAATTGGTCTTGAGGGTGCTTATTATGGTGTTGATTCCAGTTACCGGCTTTACTCATCAGATCTGACTGTTACAAACGGAAATAAATCCTTAGCTAATCTGAGAACAGATGTTTACAAGAGAACTTACAAAGACTATACATCAGTTGCATTGGAACTTGGTGGAGCCATGTGGGATTGGAACTACATCTTCAGAGAAGAGAAAGTGAACTCGTCACATGTGGATGCTTTTGTCAACTATACAGTGTCGTCGGTGGAGCATAAAGTTCACAAGTGTTGCTCATGTAGCTGTGTTCAGGGTGCCACTCATCGAGCTCTGCATTGTGATGTGGCCAAGAAAGAGAGCGAGTGTAAAGGTATGACCTGATCTTGTGTTTGCTTGACCGCATTATATTGCTGGAGCCATTGCATTCATTATATTCATCCGCAAAATTGATATGCCATAATTCTCCGGAATGTCTGCCTCACTTAGGTCTAAGCAGCGCCCCTCCTTCCATGCCGAAATAGAAATTTGTTTGATATTGGCAGCATAAGCCACACGTAGGACTGTGAATTGTATTGCATTTCAACAAAACAATGATGATGATAAAGATACTAGGCCAGCACGCATATAGCTGAAATCAGAAATCAAGTGAAGGTCACGCATATATCCACAACGTGGAGCCAGTGCATTCTGCCTGAGGCAAGTGGCTACACTTGGAAAAGAGATCTATTGAGAAGTACAGAGGCAGTATGCTAAGGTTGCTATTGAGAAGTAAAAAATCAATCCTGATGTTCTCTATCGATGTGATCACTGGGTATTGTCGGACCCCCGGGCTTAATCAGTGAAATTAATATCAGAAATGAATTGAATTTCGTATGTAGCCGTTCATGCATGTATGAAGATTGTGCCGGTTTTTGAAAAGTGAAGGACAAGTACAGTATGAAGTTCTAGCAAAACTTTCCTAATTGTGTCTTTCGATCATAATAAAGTGCGGCTAGCACTCCGCCAAACCCGATTTACTACAATGAGCATGTTCTAGCAACTTAGGACATGATGGAAAGTGACCGTTATCTTGTAGCTGGAAATGTTTGTGAGCCAGAGGTGAACACCAGCGAAAGGTGCACCCCAACTGAAAACGTCTTGAAACAAACCTGGACTTGATTGTGTTACAGTGCATGCAAGTGATTTGATTTGGATAGGCTCAACGGTGAAGCCATTGAAAGATGTGTGTGTGTGTGTGTGTGTGTGTGTGTGTGTGTGTGTGTGTGTGTGTGTGTGTGTGCGTGCTTGTGTGTGCTTGTGTGTGTGTTTATGTAATGAGCGTTTATGTGTCCTGCTACATTTAGTGGATAATTTCTTAATGAAAGCATTCTTGTGATTTTTCTTGTGATTTTTGATGATTGAAAGGTGTGTGTGTGTGTGTGTGTGTGTGTGTGTGTGTGTGTGTGTGTGTGTGGGTGTGTGTGTGTGTGTTTGTAATGAGCGTTTATGTGTCCTGCTACACTTATTTGGTTGATACTTTTCTCAAAAGAAGTATTCTTGTGATTTCCCTTCCCACAGTTCCCCAGTGCCCTCCTCTTCCATCCATCCAAAATGGCGTTAGAACTCTTTCATCCACAACGTACCACAGGGAGGTAAGGGGTCCTTATTTGCTTGTTTTACATGAGTCCATGTTGTAACTGCCTTTCTCTACCTGCTCCCAGTCCCGTGCCATCTCCACACTTGTACACACACACACAACGATTACTACATTTAGGAAGACTGTTTATTACGAGAGGACGACGGGAACACAACTAGACATGACGAACTCAGACGAAGACATGATGAACTCAAGACGAAGACATGATGAACTCAAGACGAAGACAGCTTTTCACACCACAGCAACACGCGCATGCACCAACACGACGACACACGACGTACACAAAATAACGTACTACAACATCCACATTAGCAATGATCATGCACCCATCACCTGTAAGACCTCTCCTTCCATTGACCTCTATCATAAGGCTTTATAATGCACCCTCCGCCAGACCAATTGGCTATGGGCCACTGACGTCCACCAGCACTGAGAATAACCGGTTGTCTCTATTATTATCATTTTCTGTTTCTCTCTCTCTCTCTCTCACTCTTCCTCTCCTGGGAAGCTCCTCATGCTCATTCTCCCTTTCTCTGCCCATTTCCCCTTCCTGATGCGTAGACCAACTGATGAACCCGAGACCACTAGGTCAGGGGAGGTTGACCTACCTCATCGGCACGCATCATAGCCAGCAATCGCATGTCACCACGTACATTGAAAATCAACATAATTTTGCGAATCGACCTTTTTTTCAGGATCACTTTTCAACGAGGACGAAGCAAAGTCGGCCGAACGAAGCCTAGAGGAAGAAAATCACCCTCTCCACTTCACCATCACGATACTGACATAGATACGAGATGAAACAACTAAAAAATCCACAAGAAAACTGTACGGCCATCATCGCGCTGACTTTGGTCTGACTTTGGTCTGAGAATTTCTATCACGATCAAAAATGTACGAGGAGCACTCAAAAATAAGCCACAGACGTACCTTTATCGCTCTCTACTCCTTTTTCAAGGCACAAAAGTCGACTCTCCACTTTCAAACCAGGAACCAGACATACCAGTGGTCCTTTTCAGCTGCTCCACGAGCGCAGGAGGGGTTCACCAAGGGGCGCAGAGCAGCATCCATTCCAGAAAAAGAGCTAAAATACGAGTGAGACTGCATGCCTGAGTACAGGAGTACATGTATGAGTACATGCAGAAGATAGTCAATTTCAGCGTTTCTGCTCCAAACAGCGTACATGTATGAGTACATGCAGAAGATAGTCAATTTCAGCGTTTCTGCTCCAAACAGCAACTAGCTTCGACAAGAAACAAAGATTACACCAAAGGATCAAACAACAACCATTTTCTGCAGTTTTTTTGCAGATGGCTTCCTTGTGCTTGGCCCAGCACGCCAAAAATCACACCTGGGAGGAGTACAAAAATTACAACTCTCAGATGTCCTCGATTGCTGGCCATGGCCAGGCTCCTCTGTGTTGTCAATGTTCGCTTGTCCAATTTTGTCTACCTTCCCTTTTATGTTGCTGGCCAGTGCTTTGTAGTAATAAAAAAATGCGTATTAGATTTGCTAGAGATGGCATGACCCTCAAAGATACTGTAAATCAACAAATTTTCCGCCCATTCAAATTTCGCCTCCCAGGGCTAAAACTCATTTCGGCCTCATCAAATTTTTGATGCATGTATGCAATAAACGAGAGAGCTTAGAAGCTCAGGGCCCTACGCTATGCTTTTTTGCCTTGATGACCTAGGCAAAAAAAAGCATAGGGATGTTATAAAGTATTCAGTTCTCCTTTTTTTTTTCAAGACATAATTTGGGATTCGAACCCGCACTATCGCCCTGCATGCATCCCCCGATAGACTTCGCATACATACTAATTCTTCCAAGTTGCTTCACGTTATGATCTTGCATTTGAAAGCCCTATTAATATTGTGGCCAGCTGTTCGTGGCCAGCCGTCTTTGATGGTACGGTACGGTACGGGACAGGTACGGTCGAGGGTAATACGACAACGTCTACCACCTTGATGACCTAGGCAAAAAAAGCATAGGGATGTTATAAATTTTTCAATTCTCCTATTTTTTCAAGGCATAACCTAGGATTCGAACCCGCACAATCGCCCTACATGCATTACCCGCTACACTTCGCATTCATACTCATTCTTCCAAGTTGCTTCACGTTATGATCTTGCATTTGAAAGCCCTATTTGAATATTGTGGCCAGCTGTCTTTGATGGTACGGTACGGTACGGGACAGATACGGGATAGTGCCAGGCGTGACACACACACCTAAACAAACAAACAAATAAACACCAAAATAAAGCTGTGTGTACCCAGGCTAGTGCCAGACGTTACTGAAGTAACGTCTTCTGCATAGCTACAGGAATAAAACTAACTCTGCCGTCATCACCATGCATCTACGAAGTCAAAGGTTTTCCATAATCGATTTTCTTGTCACTATCATCAGTGGATTATCTTGACTGAAGTGAAGGCAAGCCAAGCAAAAAACAATGATTAAGCATGCATTTCAAAATGTGATAAAATTTACAAGCAAGCGACACAAATAGGAAGTAGGTGGCACAAAGGAAGGTGAGACAACCTGGATGTAGAAAGTATGAAGTGAAGTGAAAAAAACAACTATGGAAACAAAGGACTTTAATGATAGCTTGCATAGACCTCGGTCCTACCGGTAGGACCTACCGGTAGGACCATCATACACAGACATGCTGCATGGCCTCTGTTCTAACATTGACCTAAAACTTGATCCTAAACTGTTGCTAAGGGGCTAATGAAGAAGTCCACAAATTTTAGACGTGATCGCACAAGGCATACTACGAAATTCCATGGTAACAACCCATGGTAACCATGGAAACGGAGTATGGAATTATGCATTCCACGGCCTTGGCAAGCTAATAAAAACATTAGGACCTCACCACAATTGATGTGCCATGGTCAAAATTCACTTTGGACAGAGTTGCTAGCGCACCGACAGGATTATGTGCGGCCATTTTGACAATCGGTAAAATTGCGCATACGCAATGCACTGGACATAGCCTTGCATTTTGCGCCATTACTTTGCCTGACAAAGACCTCATCTCAACAATAGGTCTTTTGCCAAATAAGACACGCAGTGACTTGGCGGGGCATGGCATGCGTACTGAATGCGTGACCCAGGCACGCCATACATGCAGTGCATTCCTCCCAGCGCGAGCTCTTGTTCTGGAACCGCAACGATCAATCACCGCGTTTGGCGTGTACTCACCCAGGCGGCCAGAAAAAACGAGACTCTCCTGGATCGGAAAAAAAACTGACAGCGAAGGATTCTGTTTTCTTCTCGCTTCTTCATTGCTGTCCGATATGTAGAAAGGTTTTTTGCATTTACTTCTTGCTGGACCTTTGTGATATGTTTGATACATGGCTGATGAAGCGGTCAATGAGCCGAGCACTTCATCTCTTGTGGCGGTACGTTGCGATGAAGGGAATGTTGATAGTAGTCCTGCGAGGGAGAATCAAGTTGAATTAGCGATCCCAAAGCTCGGTTTTTGATGCCTTTGGACAACGAGTCCTTTGAAAAATGGACAATCAACCAGTTGAAGACTTACCTGCGAGCTAGAGGAGCCGGAGTGTCCAGGAAACTGGGTGATTTGCTCGATCGGTAAGTACCACTTCAGGATGCAGTCTTCAACATTTCGCACAAGAAAAAGTACATTTATCGATACTTCAGTACAATGTCATGTTTTACATTCTAACTTTCTCCATCTGTTCAGGGCCTGGTTCTATCACATCGATCCAATACTGTACACTCCAGATATATTTGGCGGCAGGCATCGGCAAGGAAAGCGGAAAACCGCTGCCATTCAGAGCATTGCTGACGCTGAGCTCATGGAAGCCCATAGCGACGCAATGAGCATAATCGTCCCTCTAGCAGCTACATTTCGTCCTAGTTTTCCTGAAACTGGGTCCAGCTCTGCTCTACCAAAGGACCTATTGTATGGTTGCAAAGATACTTTTATATTCGCCCTTGTAAGTCTGCTGTGACCATGGAAATTGCTAAACCGCCAGCACTCATATTCATCAAGAGGGGTATTATTATTCATTGCACTTTTGCAAATATTGCAATCTAAATTATATCATACTATCCACATTTATACCCACTAAGTCATTAGCTGCTCCGTATTGTGCATGATTGTTCAGGCATGACAAAATTCGTGTTGCTGAAGATCAATTCGCCATGCAATGCTAGCAACAGTTGGCATGGAAAACATATTATTTTGCTTCAGCAAGTAAAGGAGCCTAGAATACTGTGAGCAGGCAGAGAACAATCCATAATGGACCATATCTGAATGATGATAGGGAAAAGAATTACTGGAACGATCTTTGAAAAGATAGAGAACTCCCTGATTCGCTCCATCAGACGCTCAACATGAATTCGTAACGTGGCAATTTGTTGCGTTTTCTGGATATCTTCTAAGGCCATCTGTTGCTTGATCGCTTGAACGGGGGAATGTTCAGCTTTACGCCATGTGGCATCAAGAGATCCCTGTCAAATCCTTGGTCTGCCATAATCAAAGTCCCATAGCCAGCTACTGGCAGAAGATCTAAGTAGTGGCTTCTGATTGTGAGCTCGTGGTCACTGGTGGATCGCGTAAATGACTTGGAGGTAAGCGCCGCACCAGCATCTGGGGTCATACGAATGAGGCACGTCAAGGTAGTAACGTTATGCGTCTCATATGAGCTGTAGAGTTGCGACTGCGCAGACAGACTGGAAGCGATATTACATTTCAGCACTGTAGCATCTATGATCATGAATGTTGTAGGATGCAGCTTTTTGAAAACATCCAGCAATCGTTCTGCCACTTGGGAAGGACGCGGAGAGATTGGTATGTGTGCCATGGCGAAGACTAACCATGGTTATGAAAAAGCTCTCCAAGCCAATTAACTTAATCTTCCGTTCATCACCGGGTTTCCTTTTCTTCCTGGAATCGGCATCCACTGGTTTACTGCGAAAGGAAAGACGCTCTTATAATCCAGGTAAGGAAATTGAATACATGCATCAAACGCAGCAAGCAAAGGAAAACCAGTGTAGTACTGAATGTCAGAGTCTTCAAACCGAGCGAAATCTCCAGGCTGAACTCCACTTGGATATCGTCGATAGCGACTATAGTGTTCATCAGTGAAATGGTTAGAACAACACCACTATATTGTATGACATGATGGTACCCGTAGCCATTCCGCTCATCTCGACGAATGGCGGCAATCCAAGACTTTCTTGTGTCCAACTCGTCACTGCTCACGCTCTTAGCTTCTCCAGTTTTCGATTCCTTGCTAGCAGGGAAGACATTGAACAAAGTATTTTGCCTGAACTTCGGTCGCTGTTGTACTGCGGAACGCAGCAGTGATCGCCTTTCCCATGGCTAAAAAATCTGGAGAGATCTTCTAGAAAACAAAACTAAACCCTTTACAAGAACTAGGCAGAGAAAATCCAGTGACCGTCCTCACTATTGTTCTAGAATGTCGATCGCGATCGCGATCGCTTGAAGAAACATAGTTTTTGTAAGCAAAACAAAAAAAGAAGGTCACTATTTTCTCGACGCGTGGGTGAGTACACGCCAAACGCGGTGATTGATCGTTGCGGTTCAGGAACAAGAGCTCGCGCGTGACTCGTAATGCACTGCATGTATGTGGTGTGCCCGGGTCACGCATTCAGTACACATGCCATGCCCCGCCAAGTCACTGTGTGTCTTATTTGGCAAAAGACCTATTGTTTAAAAAAATTCTCAACCAAAAGCACTTTTGCAGCTCGATTTCTTGGGTCCTACCGGTAGGACCCGTGGTCCTACCGGTAGGACGGTATGCAAGCTATCATTAAAACAATTTCAGTGCGACAACATGCTTCTTTTGTTTACAGAGCAGTGCTGTCACCGTTGAGCTGGATGATGTATCATCTGCTGCTATAGTTGATGCTCAACGCTCGGATCCGGAGCTATCCACAGTCTGGTCATTGTATGACGCGGCTAATGGCAAGTTCGTTCGCCCTCCGGAAGATGACATTTCTGGTGTTAGTCGAACTGTCAAGATTATCTGGTCACAGATTGATCAGTTGTCTTTGCTTGATTCTGTCTTGTATGTATTGCCTCCTTTTGCGGATCATGACCACGTTGGTGAGTCACGCCGTCTGGTCGTACCATGCTCACTTCAGGAGCGGCCATGATCGCTGTACATTCTCTTCCTACTGCTAACCATCCTGGTGTGGAGAAAACCCTGTCTCAAGCTCGTCTGCGTTTCTACTGGGTTGGAATGGCTTCTGACATCACCGAATTTTTTAGATGCTGTCACACCTGTGCACAGATTCGAGCGAAGAATCCAACAAACCGTGCACCACTTCAGCCAATGATTGCCGGTTATCCGTTCGAAATTGTTGCCTTGGACATTGTCGGTCCTCTGCCTGAAACGTCACTGGGCCATAAGTATCTCCTGGTCATGGCAGATTACTTTACGCGATGTAATCGCGGTCGAGGCATTCCCTTTGCGCGATATCACTGCTGCTTCGGTCACTGCAGCTGTCGTTAATGGCTGGATCAGTCGGTTCGGTGCACCTGAACAGCTTCATTCAGATCAAGGGGCCCAATTCAAATCTCGGCCATTTGGGGATATCTGCCGTCTCCTTGGTATCCGGAAGACGCAAACCACGCCGTATCATCCTTCTGGTGATGGTCTGGTGGAGCGCGTCAACCTCACTCTTCTAGGTCTGCTGCGTGCCCACATTACTCCAACCAGTACGGAGTGGGATGCAACGTTCCCTCTCGTCTTGTTGTCACATCGTGCTGCACACTGGATTCAGTCCAGCGCGCCTTCTGTATGGTGCGGATGTCCGGTTACCAACTGATATTGTGTTCAATTTACCTTCGCCACCTTCCACTGATATGCATACCTATGTCCGTAGTCTCGACACTTCTCTGCGGAATATTCACGTTGAAGCCCGTCATAATGCTGATCTTGCTCATACGTCTCAAGAACAGTTCTATAACCATCGCGTTCATGGTGAGCCTTATGTTGTCGGTCAGCAAGTATATCTTCATGATCCAGTTATCCGTGCTGGCGAGCACCGTAAATTTCATCGTTTCTGGTCTGGTCCACATACTATTGTGCGTGTTCATGGTTCGACATCATACACATTATTGCTGAATGGAGTTGAACGTACTGTTCACTTCAATCGCTTGAAGCCAGTAACTTCATCGTGCCCAGTTACCTTACCGTCGTCTGTCAATGATCTCCCCGACGCAGTGAGTTTGTCAGCTAATGACTTTGTTCCTGTTGTGCCACATGATGCCGATGACTCTGTGCCGAGTACGCCTCCGTTGTCGCCGCCTGTTGCCGTATCAACTCTACCTCCTCCTTTTGCTACTCCAGTATTAGTGCGTCGATCAGGCCGGACCCGCACTGCTCCTGCGAGATTTGACTATGTTTTGTAGTTAGGTCAATGTATACCCGTAATTTTTTTCTATATTATAAATTTAATTGTTTTTGCCCTGCTTGCCTATTATTCACGAGGTCGTGAATGGTGAGAGGAGGGGAATTGTGTAGTATAGGCCAATAATTGTGTAGTATAGGCCAATGATTACTTGAGTATTACTGTAATCATTGCATGACGATTGTTATTTCTTACATTTGTATTTCGTATTTCCTGCTCCTGTCCACGTGACGAATCGCTGGCCTTGTAAGCCGCGCGCATGCTCGCGTATTTCTTGCCTTTCTTTCTCTTCTCCTCCATGACAAGATTTACTATCGATATGAGCAATTTGAGTGCCTGGTGAAACCTGAGAATGGGAATCTTGTCTTAGGAAAGGGAATCCTACAACAGTGACAAGAAAATCGATTATGGAAAACATTTGACTTTGTAGATTCATGGTGACGATGGCAGAGTTAGTTCTATTCATTGCTTTATTATAGTTGTTGTCGCCGCTGCGTTTATTCGAATAAACATGCGCCGAATATTTGTTGACTTACAGCAAGAGTGTTATTAAAAAACGTCATTCTTTGGCAGAAGTATGATGAAGTGTGTATATGCTTTCCCGCCCTTACCTTATTTTGTAGATATGGTGAGAGTTCATCAGGTTCAAGACAAATCGGTCTATTGTCCGTTGTTCTGCTTCGACTACCGTAGCTGTAATATACAAATTATTTTTGCTTTGATCTCTGGCTACGCATGATCGCATCAGTGAGCCAAACCGCCGCCAAAGGCAGATGTCATGAAAAAATTTCGCCGTGGGCTCGGGGATTGTCGAGTTGCACACTCTTTCTTATGTACTCTTGCTTCCAGTATTCTGCATTGAAGTGGCCGTTCCCACACTAGTTTTGGTCCTATCATGGACACGTTGCACATCAGACTACATGTAGCGGGTGGCTGTGTTGCGTTCAGTCTATTAGAACACGGTCTCTACTTGGCAGGTAGTATAAAAGTTGTCCATCATAGAATACGTTTAGAAAGATGATTTGAGGCTTCTGTTCAAGAATCGTGTACAGTGCAGAAGCCAGTAGTATACTACCAGCTACATGTATGTAGATGAGAAAGAGGAGGGGATGATACAGTGTGCAAGCGGTGTTCACACATCCTAAGACCTAATCACCTACAAGTACATACTAGATGGCCTTGAGGTGGAAAAGGGCTCACTACTAGTTAGTATCCTGGTATATGTAGCACTCCTGAAGCTGTACATTGACACATTGTAGGTGACAGCACACTAGTGGTGGAGCGCAGTTATCACCCAGCTGCTACATGGCGTTTGTTAAAGAATGAATATTCTTGGTTTGATCTGTTGCCTGGAGATTGATCTTCGTTTGAAACTCGAGTTGAAATGGAAAACATCGTTTTGCAGTATTTTGGCCTAGATTTGATCTAGCTCGGCTATATTATCTGATTATTGTTGTGCACCTGCAGGTGATATACACATACAGATGTAACAAAGGCTATATTCTGCAAGGAAATAATAAGTTGGAGTGTCTGGAAAATGGCAACTGGTCAAAGGAGCCACCAACATGTGAAGGTTAGTCTTACAGTGTAGTAGAGTCAACTTTGCGTATAACGACACTCGGCGGGGCATCAGAAAAGTGTCCTGATTCGCGAAGTGTCGTTATACCCGAAGTCTCTATAACGTATTACAGTTGGATGGGACTTTGCTCTGGGCATGGACGTTCTGTCGTTATTCGCGAATTGTTGTTATATCCGCAGTCGTTATTAGCCAAGTTGACTGTAATAGTTGTTTTAGCCTGTTTTACAGTTTAGCCTTAGCATGCATTTCAGTTTAGCAGTAGCATGCATGTCAGTTTACCAGTCACATTGGAGAAGGACATCTTACTACTTCCTCCGTATACAAAACCTTCGTGACTTTATTGCAACGGTGATTTTGAGCAAGAACCTGCTCAACAAACCGCGCCAAAGGCTGTAATCGACAACCCACATTCATGTCGAGGTAAGTTGGGTTGATCCCGTACAGATTCTCCACGGAAGCTATGCGTGTGAGGACACTTACTTGCCCGAAACAGACACAGTGACCATAGCCAGCAATCGCATGTCATCACGTACATTGAAAATCAACATAATTTTGCGAATCGACCTTTTTTTCGGGATCACTTTTCAACGAGGACGAAGCAAAGTCGGCCGAACGAAGCCCAGAGGAAGAAAATCACCCTCTCCACTTCACCATCACGATACTGACATAGATACGAGATGAAACAACTAAAAAATCCACAAGAAAACTGTACGACCATCATCGCGCTGACTTTGGTCTGACTTTGGGCTGAGAATTTCTATCATGATCAAAAATGTACGATGAGCACTCAAAAATCAGCCACAGACGTACCTTTATCGCTCTCTACTCCTTTTTCAAGACACAAAAGTCGACTCTCCACTTTCAAACCAGGAACCAGACATACCAGTGGTCCTTTTCAGCTGCTCCACGAGCGCAGGAAATGTTCACCAAGGGGCGCAGAGCAGCATCCATTCCAGAAAAAGAGCTAAAATACGAGTGAGACTGCATGCCTGAGTACATGAGTACATGTATGAGTACATGCAGAAAATAGTCAATTTCAGCGTTTCTGCTCCAAACAGCAACTAGCTTCGACTAGAAACAAAGATTACACCAAAGGATCAAACAACAACCATTTTCTGCAGTTTTTTTGCAGATGGCTTCCTTGTGCTTGGCCCAGCACGCCAAAAATCACACCTCGGAGGAGTACAAAAATTACAACTCTCAGATGTCCTCGATTCCTGGCCATGAAAGTGGAGCTCGCGGAACACGGAGTCACGCTGTACTCGTTGCCATGAAGTTTGCCAGGCTCGTACTTACAGTGCGCGACCTCATACGCAGCGTGAGAACATTCCGCTCGCACGGCAAGATGAAACATTTCAGTCGTCTTGCAACCAGCGCAGACTGCGGATCGGAGTGTCGACGACCTGGCTTTCTTCGCCTCTCTCCAGTCAGATGTCTCCTTTGTCGCCAAGGGGAATTGCAGGGACCTCCTCGAAGCCGTTGTAGAATGCTGGAAGGATTATCCTGCCGAGAAAATGCAAAGCGCATGGATGTGCTTGTGCGACTCGTTTCACGGCATAATGGAGGTCGCGGGTTGGAACAACTGAATATAGTCGACACAGATTCGCACACAGCTCTGGAGATGAAGAGGACGTAGCCAAAGTCCAGTGTCGAATCGTCACTGCGCCTGACGAGAAACTGAACGAGTTGCGAGCGGAAGCAGCGACTGTTGGCGATGCGGAGTCACTGTTGTCAGGTGACAATGACACGAGCTACGAAGACTCTGAATAAACTCAACCTCATTCGTCTGAGTTGCTTTTTTTTCTTTGCATATAACTTTTAAACAAGTTGGACAATGCCACGAGTGTTATTCCAAGTCAAACGGAACAATTCCAGAGCTGTGCGCAGCCTTCAAAAAAAGTCACGAAGTTGTTTTGTATACGGAGGAAGTACAAGTTTTCCAATGGTCCAAGATGAGGTTTGAAAGAGCTAATAGGCACTGAGCACATCTTTAAACGTGGACAGGCATTGAAACGAAAGATCAGGGGCGTCACCCGTGATGGGCACGGGGGGCACGTGCACCCCCCTAAAAAATCCGACCTTGGTTTTCTTGCGAACTCCTGGTTATGAAAAGTGTAGTGCTGGTAGAATCGACTAATAAACTGCATGCACTAAAACTAGTTGTACTGTGCTGCCGCGATCGCGTGAGTGCATGTAGCGAGTGCAAGTAGCGAGTGCATGTAGCGAGTGCATGTAGCGAGTGCATGTAGCGGGTGCATGTAGCGAGTGCATGTAGCGAGTGCATGTAGCGAGTGCAAGTAGCGAGTGCATGTAGCGAGTGCATGTAGCGAGTGCAAGTAGCGAGTGCATGTAGCGAGTGCATGTAGCGAGTGCATGTAGCGAGTGCATGTAGCGAGTGCAAGTAGCGAGTGCATGTAGCGAGTGCATGTAGCGAGTGCATGTAGCGAGTGCATGTAGCGAGTGCATGTAGCGAGTGCATGTAGCGAGTGCATGTAGCGAGTGCATGTAGCGAGTGCATGTACATGACCAGTACGAGTACCAGTACGACTCGTAGACTAGTTACACTAGTTACACTGAAATGGCAGCAAATGCCTGAAAATGCTTGCAATTGCCTTCAATTTTTGAAATTTTTTCCCGGGGGAGGATAACGAAGAATTCTTGTCCCCGATCGTAGCGTCTTCTTGGCTTGTTGCAGAATCAAAAAGTCTTTCATTGTAGTTACACTGAAATGGCACCAAATGCCCGGAAATGCTTGCAATTGCCTTCAATTTTTGAAATTTTTTCCCGGGGGAGGATAACGAAGAATTCTTGTCCCCGATCGTAGCGTCTTCTTGGCTTGTTGCAGAATCAAAAAGTCTTTCATTGTAGTTACACTGAAATGGCACCAAATGCCCGGAAATGCTTGCAATTGCCTTCAATTTTTGAAATTTTTTCCCGGGGGAGGATAACGAAGAATTCTTGTCCCCGATCGTAGCGTCTTCTTGGCTTGTTGCAGAATCAAAAAGTCTTTCATTGTAGTTACACTGAAATGGCACCAAATTCCCGGAAATGCTTGCAATTGCCTTCAATTTTTGAAATTTTTTCCCGGGGGAGGATAACGAAGAATTCTTGTCCCCGATCGTAGCGTCTTCTTGGCTTGTTGCAGAATCAAAAAGTCTTTCATTGTAGTTACACTGAAATGGCACCAAATGCCTGGAAATGCTTGCAATTGCCTTCAATTTTTGAAATTTTTTCCCGGGGGAGGATAACGAAGAATTCTTGTCCCCGATCGTAGTGTCTTCTTGGCTTGTTGCAGAATCAAAAAGTCTTTCATTGTAGTTACACTGAAATGGCACCAAATGCCCGGTTATGCTTGCAATTGCCTTCAATTTTTGAAATTTTTTCCCGGGGGAGGATAACGAAGAATTCTTGTCCCCGATCGTAGCGTCTTCTTGGCTTGTTGCAGAATCAAAAAGTCTTTCATTGTAGTTACACTGAAATGGCACCAAATGCCCGGAAATGCTTGCAATTGCCTTCAATTTTTGAAATTTTTTCCCGGGGGAGGATAACGAAGAATTCTTCTCCCCGATCGTAGCGTCTTCTTGGCTTGTTGCAGAATCAAAAAGTCTTTCATTGTAGTTACACTGAAATGGCACCAAATGCCCGGAAATGCTTGCAATAATTCAATTTTTGAAATTTTTTCCCGGGGGAGGATAACGAAGAATTCTTGTCCCCGATCGTAGCGTCTTCTTGGCTTGTTGCAGAATCAAAAAGTCTTTCATTGTAGTTACACTGAAATGGCATCAAATGCCCGGAAATGCTTGCAATTGGCTTCAATTTTTGAATTTTTCCCGGGGGAGGGCCCCGTACCCCATAGTCGCCCCACCTCCAAAGTCGGTGCAACGGGCCTGCTATCAGCGAACTTTTTCGTGTTTTCCTGTGCAAAATTCCTGTGCACCCCCTGTGAAGGGGTCCGGTGACGCCCCTGAAGATGATGAGGCTTACCCCTTTGAGGACCGAGGACGAGTTAATAATAATCATAATAATAATTTTTGAAAGGATTGGGAGAACTTCAATTTCAATTGAACCTGGTACCCTGTGTTTCTCAATCATGGTCTTAGACCATCCCACTATGCCTGCCTGCATGTTTCAGGTAACATGGCGAGAAATTCAGCGGTCAGTCAGTTGGGTTACCTTTTGTAGTTCCAGATACTAGAATTTTTGAGTGCCAGTGGTGTCTAAAACATCTGCTGACAACAGCAAACCAAGCAGCTCCAAAAGTAGAAAGTGATGCTGTAGCCTTTCACAATTGCAATCCTAGACCCTACAAACACAATGTGAGTTGGGAAGAAAGCCATTTTCTCTAGGGCTGAAACGATCGTGGATTTTCACGTATCGATTACTCTTTACCTTAACGATCGAGTAATCGATTATAATCGTTAGCAAATACAATGCGTATCGGTTATAGCGTGGTCGTGTAAAATAATATACCGCCTACAAGAATGAACTGTTTTCATAATCATAACATGGCTTTCAAGTGCACTTTTATTCTTACAAGCAATTTTATCGCATAGTAAAATATATCGGTCCTAAGAATGGACTTTGTGTAGCAAAACATGCCAGATTAGTACAAAGTGTATCGCCTGTAGTAATAACATCTGTCCCATGCAGTTCTGATCTGACTCGCGTTGCGTCGTAGACGTAGTGGCACTAGTGCCGCAGGTTCAACTGTTGTGGTCATGTAACTCTTGTTGGATAGCCCACATGGTAAGCCTATGGGACTATGGCCAGCCGCATGCACAGTAGCACTAAGCGACTACGTAACCCGTCGTTGCACGTACAGTGATCTTCCTGCCCCTGCGCACATGCATATGATATGTCACACTTGATGTATCGTGTGTAAGAAATATCGGAAATAAGAATAGAAAGTCGTTTTTCAAACACCCACGCTATAACCGATACCTACCGTAGTGTCCTCATTCTGTGCAAGCATCACTCTGCTTCCACAAACTATGCCTTCATAATACCAACAAATCTGCATAAGGGAAAGGGTAGCTCCCAAACATGGCAGTTTTGAAGTCAATTTAACCTCAGAACATGAACCATACCCCTGGCAACTGCATACTCCCAGCGGAAACTGATTCAAACTTCACAAAACGAGGGTTTACAGTACTTTCTGGACAAAAATTTAAAAAACGCAAAATAATCGTAATCGGTAATCTAAACGATTGCTCGATCGTTAGAGTTATCAAACGAGTACTCGATTATTCGGTATAATCGTTTCAGCCCTAATTTTCTCATGATGAAGATTGTCGGCATCAGGAAATCTGGCTTATGGTGTGATTGTCAGTGTATTCCTTTGTCTTTGTTTGTGTGTCCAGTGAAATGTGGTGCATCACTACCAGCCGATTTTCCGCCGCAGTTGCAAGCAATGTCAAACAACTCCAACACCACCTTTCAATGTGGACGATCAGCTGCCGATATCATTGTTGTGTTTGACGAGTCGAAAAGCATGTCAGAATCACGCATAGATCGGCTGCAAATGATCTCAGAAAGTCTTGAAACATCTCTTAGAGAGCATGGGTTTGGCCTGTACCCTGGAATAGACAATCATTATACTCTTGTCAGCTTTGGTAACAAGATGAGAGTACCAAGTGTCATTCGTAACGATAAAAATTCACTGGTATATGACATTGGTGGATTTAAGGAGGCTAGCAAGAAGCTGTTGAAAAAAACCGATGCTCACGTAGAAGATGGTTACAATGCTATTGAGTTTGCTTTGGAGAACATCACTGATCCCGGGTCCAATGACCAACTGCTAAGACTGGATCGTCCAGATATAGCAGTAATTGTTCTATTGATCTCGGATGAGGACCGAGATGTTATGCCCGGGACACAAATTTCTCGGTCAGATTTGAAGAGGAAATTGAAGAGGAAAGGAGTCCTTTTGGAAGTTATTGTCGACAATAAAATTGGTCTTGAGGGTGCTTATTATGGTGTTGATTCCAGTTACCGGCTTTACTCATCAGATCTGACTGTTACAAACGGAAATAAATCCCTAGCTAATCTGAGAGCAGGTGTTTACAGGAATACTTACAAAGACTATACATCAGTTGCATTGGAACTTGGTGGAGCCATGTGGGATTGGAACTACATCTTCAGAAAAGAGAAAGTGAACTCGTCACATGTGGATGCTTTTGTCAACTATACAGTGTCGTCGGTGGAGCATAAAGTTCACAAGTGTTGCTCATGTAGCTGTGTTCAGGGTGCCACTCATCGAGCTCTGCATTGTGATGTAGCCAAGAAAGAGAGCGAGTGTAAAAGCAAGATTTGATCAATTGTTCGGCTGAACATTCACTCTATCTAAGCACATAACAAAAAAAATAGCATTCTCACTCTCAAGGTATATGCCCAAGATCAAGTTACCAAATAGAGCAGACAAGAGCAGGCAAGCAGCTATTTACTCGTGTTTTTTGCAGTTAACTCAATGCTAGATAGCATCTGCCGTTTGGGGCTTTGCAAAACTCACTTCCCGCCTCTATTCCATTTTTGCTTTCTTCCTTCTCCTTGTTGTCAAGTGTTGTGCTGCACCCATCAATAAAACTTGCGCAACTGCATTTGGTATGGTAGCAATGTAGGAAGTGTGGGTTGGCGGGTTGGTCACAAATCAAGAACACTCTTATGATGATCTGAACAGATTGTGGAATGATGCTGTCACCTATAAATGTTCCCCTCCTATTCAAAGAAACCTTCTGCTACTGGTGTGAAACAAGAGACCTAGTACACTGTACCTGTCAGCTCAGTACCGTGCCTATTTCACCGGTTTTCTTACCCAGCTCATCATCATACGAGGCGATTTGGCTTGTTTTAACTGAACATGGTTGTAGTCAAGTGGTGTGCTTCACATGGTTGTATATTGCAGTCTGTCCAACCTTGCCACCATTCCAAAGCAGGACACCCACAGCATAATGTATACAAAGGCAATTGTGTCCCATGTAAATGTATACAAATGTTTACGTCCAAAGCCGGACTGTCCTGCTCAAAGCAGGACGGTTGGGCAGTCGTATATTGCCGTGTTACAGTACATAAACCGTACCCGTTGAGTCTAAAAATGAGGATGAGCCCTCTTTGGAAAGTGTCTGCAATCATGTCCTACATTCTCACTACACGTGTACTCTCAGTATTCAATTGCAGGGTGTGCCCTTTTTTTTAAAACAACTTGTCAGTATTCACCGGACGATGTATCCAGAGTGCTGACAGTGCTCAACACCACGGAGGATGTCTCCAGAGTGCTGACAGTGCTCAACACCGCGGAGGCAGAGCGTAATACAGAACAGAACAAGGACAATCGAGGCTTGTTTGCTGCTACTTCAAGTTTCATGCTCACGCAATCATCAGCCTGAGGCAACACTCTTGTGTACTCTCAGTATTCAATTGCAGGGCGTGTCTTTTTTTAAACAATTTTTTTGTAAAATGGCATGACAAACCAGGATATCCAGTCATCAATATTCTTCAGGAATGAATAGATATCACTTCAATGATTGCTAGTACATGTAGATGAAAATGCATTGTACGCTGTGAAAGCCATGATTGTATTTGAATTTGTAACCAGTAGCTGTGTCAGACTGGGGACAGTCAGCATAGCACCGCAGCCATTTTTTCGTTTCCGCATAGATGGATGGGTAGGACTAAAGGGACAAGCTCAACTTGTATTGGTGTGTACCAGGGAGTCGTCAAAATTAATACCATATTTGACGACTCCCTGGTGTGTACCCGCTACCCCCTGGCAAGGCTCTCCCACAGATTCCAGTACAAAGGCCACGGCCAAGTGTCCCACTGAGATGCGGTCGCTCGCCCGGACCGCTTCGACGCGAACACCTACGAAGAGCAGCCTGTGACGTTTATATTTTATGACAGAAAATCCGAGAAAATCCGCAAAAAAATTGAGCTTGTCCCTTTCGCATAGTGGGTTTTTCGCATAGTGTATTCCGTGACCTACTGCTCTACATACCAGCAAGAGTACATAACCCCGGGGTTATGTACTCTTGATACCAGTACCGGTATTACGGAGGATTAGCAAGACGAAATTCGCGTTCGCAAACATTTTTCAGTTCGCGAACTGGATTGCGAACTTTCGCATTTTTCGTTCGGAAAAGTAGTCGGAACACGAATCGTGGATTCGTGTCAGGGCAGTCATAAATTTACCACGCTGTACTGCCTACGTCGTGTCAACATCGTGCATGTGCGAATTCTGTTTGCTAATCCTTCTCATAACGCGAATTCCGTCACTGAGTTCGACTTTCTTTGGAGAGCGAACGCGAACGCGAATTTCGTCTTGCTAATCCTCCGTATTGTCTGTAACAAGTGTAAGCATTGAAACCGTACTACAGTGTAGCGTTGTTCTCCCCTGATGGCCCCGCCACATGACAACGCAAACGCAAACTTGATACTCTTTTTCTTATAATCAACGAATGACGAGGGCGCAGGAGGAGAAAGGAACTGTAAACAAACAGACGAAGGAAAAAGACATTGAAGAAGTGGGACGAGTGTGTGATAGGTAGAACACGAGCAGGGCTGTGTGTTGCCAGAAACAGATCACGATGATCCGCTACAGAACTTCTTCGTGCTAAGGCAGTGCCTCATAGACTAAGTTCGCGTCTTTCGTGGATCGAGTTCACTTTTTCGACTCATGAATTGCGAGACCCAGATATCCTGCAGGACACCTTCCACTGTTACCTTGGACTCCTCTGTCCAACTCGTTGCAACAATTACGTGTCCAGATGCTCCACACAGGATCGAGTTCACTATATCGACTCATGAACTGCGAGACCCAGATTTCTTGCAGGACATCTTCGCTGTTACCTTGGACTCCTTCGCCCAACTCGTTGCAACAATTACACGTCCAAATGCTCCACACACTCTACATATGTGTTAGAATAGGACCCAGTGGAGATTTATCCAGTACCAAGTACCATTGCCGACTGTCTTACTTCGATGGAGTCCACTACGGACGCCATTGCCGTGCTGAGTGCTAAGCTACTTACATACAAGGAGTCAACTGAGTCAACCATCAGGCGTCCTAACCTCTGGCGCTCTTGCTGCACTGCGCAAAGTCTCTCCATTACTCGTATAATATAGAGATGAAGAAGAAATGCACCAGTTACACTGTGGACTGCTACTTATATTATAAGTGTTCCGCAAGGCTCAAGGCTCCGTCTTGGGGCCCTCTCTCTTCAATCTGTCAGTCAGAAAGCTCCCCTCTGTACCCCAGCACTGCACGGCTCGACAGTACGCGGACGATGTCTCCCTTTACAAAGCTGGCAAGAACGTTGAACAGTTGTGCAAGGAGCTGACAGAAGACATTGTCAAAGTGAAAGAGTTCTTGGCGGCCAGAGGCTTACTGCTGAATCCTTCCAAGACGCAGTTAGTCGTGTTCAGGTCAAAGTGCAAGCCCCTTGACCCTAGCGTCGCTCTACAGCTGGGTGAGGTCACAATCAACCCTAGTGCACACATTCGTTACCTTGGCATAGTACTCGACGAACATCTCTCCTTCGGAGAGCATGTTAGGCAACTAGAGCGGAAAGTTGGAAGTAAGTTAGCCATGTTCAGAAAGGTCCGAGATCACATGACGGTAACTGCGAAGCGTGCATTTTACATTTTGTTCCATTCAGACAGTACTCGAGTATGGGAGTAACTCATTGGCTCATTGCCTGTCAGTAACTCTTCATGACCGTCTAGTCCGTCTTAGTAATAGAGCTCTACGCATTGTGTTCAGTATGCCTCGTTTTTCTGACGTATCCCTTATTAATGCACGCCATCAACATTCTCCCTTTGTCTGTGCGCTATCAGTTCAAACTCTATATCTTAGCGTTTCGTGTCCTGAATCAGTTAACTACTACTCTCCTTACTGATTGCTTTTGCCTTCGTTCTACTTCTACTCGTACCAATTCCTGCACTCCCTCTCAGGTATCTTCGTCTGTGACTCTACCCAAAGCTAAAACTCGTTTCGGTCTCTTTTCAGTTTCTTTCATCGGTTCCGACCGTTGGAATGCACTCCCCGCTGCAGTCCGCTTATGCTCTTCACTGCACCTATTCCGTAATTCAGTACTTTCATTTCTAGGGTACCCTGTAAGAAGGCCTTAGGCCTGTGGGGATTGCCCTATCAAAAATTTGATAATAATAATGATAATAATAATAACGTAACCAGATCTTATACAGTCAGCGAGTGTGACAAAATGGCACAAAACTGACAAGTATTGAGAAATTCGGCGACCTGACACCTAGCTCCAATACTTCTCCAAGGCGCAAACCAACAACCTCCCAACTTGGAAGGCTCAGGTTCGGAAAGGTCCAAGAGAGGAAGAGTTGGTGGACAGTTAGTCATAACTCGTAACATTTTGTCCTTCTTCTTTTCACAATAATAATAATTGTAGAAAGGAAAAGGAAATATAGATACGAGTTGAGAGTAGTTCTCCATCACTGTAACCAGATACTATATACAGTCAGAAAGTGCAATAACTAGGCACAAAACTGACAGAGTACTGAGACATTCGACGTCCTGACACCTAGCTTCAACACATCTCCGTAGCGCTAACCGACAGCCTTCCAACTTGGAAGGTTCAAGGGTATGGAAAGACCAAAGAGGGGAAGGCAAGCGCAACGAAAATGAGCACAAGCTACAGTCCCAACGGAACAAAGAATGTCGATTGTTACTGGACTATGACAAGACCAGTAGGATATTTTCCCCTTCTTACTTATCTTTGATATTTATTACCCACCCAAGTTGGGTGGTGTGCTGCTTTGCTGCTTCGAATTGTAGTTAGACCGCTTTGTCAAATATCCTACTGGTCTCGTCATAGTCCAGTAGCAATCGACATTCTTTGTTCCGTTGGGACTGTAGCTTGTGCTCATTTTCGTTGCGCTTGCCTTCCCCTCTTTGGTCTTTCCATAATCTTGAACCTTCCAAGTTGGAAGGCTGTCGGTTAGCGCTACGGAGATGTGTTGAAGCTTGGTGCTAAGCTACAGCTGCTCTTGTCTTGCCTGCCTGCCACTCCCGGTATGGTTTCCATTCCATTGCGTATCTTGGTGCCGACAGGTGGAATGCGCTGCCTCCATCTTGTCGCCTGGCTGGGTCGCCTGCTTTGTTTCGCGCTCACACAAAGTCTCATTTAGGGTTCCCAGTAAGAAGGCAACATTGCCTGTTGGGAAATCCCTAACAAAATAAGAAATAATAATAATAATAATTTGAACTCGGATGGTGAGCCAATATAGTTATGATGAAGAAAGGAAAAGGACAAAATGTTACGAGTTATGACAAACTGTCCACCAACGTAACCAGATCTTATAAAGCCAGCAAGTGCGACAAAATGGCACAAAACTGACAAGGAGTACGAAGACATTCGGCGACCTGACACCTAGCTCCAACACTTCTCCAAGGCGCAAACCAACAACCTTCCAACTTGGAAGGCTCAGGTTCGGAAAGGTCCAAGAGGGGAAGGAAAGCGCAACGAAGAAGAGCATGAGCTACGCATCAAGGCAACAAAGAATGCCGAAAGTTACTGGATGATGACGAAACTAGTAAGACTATTGGACAGACCGGCCTTACTACAACTCGACG